AAAAAAAAAACTGCTTAAGTAAAGGAATGCTGTCAGTACACAGCTGGAAACACAAATTTAACCACAGAAACACGTATCAAACTAACAATATGTCTTTATCCATGCTCTCAAAATATTAAAGCATTGTGAATACTTCGTAGAAATGTAAAAAAAGTCATGAATTGATATACTTCATATTACCAAATCTATTTAAGGTTATTTCATGCATTCATTTGGTATAGCAATCAATAAAACAAATATCAATCAAACAGTGTGTCTTTATTTGTATTCTCAGAATATTAAAACATTTTGAACACTTCACAGAAATGTTTAAAAAATGATGCAAAGATATGCTTAATACTACCAAATCTATTAAAGGTCATTTCAGACGATGCCATTTTGTCAACTTCAACTCACACGAAGCAGCTAAACTGTCAGGTGGCCTGTCCGACCTTCAGTCCACCAAATATCTCGACGCCCTTGTCGACCCTTTTTTCGCTACAGAAAACCTGGTATTAATGTGCTGCTTTATACAGAATGTCACAGAAATGTTTCGGCCGCCGCCAGCCTTTCGCACAATTGTAAAAAGGTGATATCTCCATGCCCAATATCAATGGCATACCAATCCAAAACGATGGCGCCCGTTCTCTTTATGACTTTTATTGTTGTGCAATTTGAAAGTAATCCTAGAGATGAATTTGACAGCAAAGTGGCTGCATTTCCACGTGGCGAAAATACGCATGCGCAGAAAGCTCATTTCCTTGCAAATTCAATAAAAACGTTTGCGACAACCGACTTCGTTGGGGGCTGGGGGGGGCTTTTTTTTTATTTTTTCGGAGAACGGGCGAAAATCCGTGCGCGCGCAGGATGTCATCCATAAAATTAAAAAAGTGTGGCCTTACAGAAGAAAAGTAGAGTCACCCAAGGACAACGCTGTACGAAAAAATAATTTAATCACAGAGTCATTAAAGAATTTTAATCACAGAGTCTGATGGCGTTTCTTTTGGGTCAAAACTGTTCCTTTTAGTATACCTTCTCTAGTGTATATTATTAAAGAAATACCCAAATGTTCTGTTCTGTAATATAAGGTGTTAAATAGTCAATCATAAAACCTTTTAAAAAGAAGTTTTTAGTGCCTTTCTAAAATCATCTCCTGATGATTTAGTTCTAATAGTACCTGATTCAATTAATTCATACAAACATTTGTGTTAGATACGAATGTGTTATCTGTACTAACCCTGATCCTGAATTTCACTGAGCCTAACCTAACCCTAACCCCTTGACTCTTAACTCAAACCTATGGGGTGGATGGTATTTATATTTTCTACTACTTTCGTTTATACCATGACAGTGAAACCTATTATGAGTGATGTGCACGGACTTGTTATTTGAAGTGCGCCTGGTTTGGGGACTATTCCAGGGGAGGATGATATTTTAACACATTGTAATTTGTCTGCCAGATCATAGCAGGGGAAACCCGACACTGGCAAAGAGGCAGATATGCGATAATTACCCATCGAAGCCTGTTTTTAGCGTAATAAAGAAATTGATTTCAGTTGTAATACTTAACAGCGCTCTTTGTCAAATTATTCTCATCGGGCTGATCATCGTTGCTGAAATAAAATTGTAACAACCAACACTGGAAATATGCATTAACCTTCCATTCCCTGGATATCACTTTAGTAGTTGTGAAATAATGGAAGATATGATGTGATGGTAACAATTAAAAAATAAGCAGAAGTGCACATCCATAAATGACTGTGACTTACATGAACGTATAACCGTCTCACATGGCATTGGTTCTTTTTATAAAAACCTTTATCAGCTCTTTCAAAGGCAGTGTATCAATTTAATGTAGGATAATACCGATGAGTAGAGGTCTGGTATTAATAAATAATCATCGAACAGAGCAGCTTCATTTATACATCACTTAACGCATTGCAAAATAAAGTCGGCAACTGCAAATAAACAAGGTTAAGTGCAATGTCCTCACTTTGTTCGAGAAAATCCAGTATCCGTATCTTTTTAAAACTTTTAAGTTTTGAAAACGACTATATATCACATTTTCCAAAGGATGAATTATCTGTTTTAGGTGTGAACCAGACCACGGTGCCCAACATTTCAGCAGTTGCTGCCTGCGCCGGGCCAAGACTACATTACATCCACTTAAGTCATGAACGGAAGGTACCAACGGGCTGCATAATACACGTAACATTACGTAGATAAAAAGAAAACCATTTAACGTGGAGCCTCTTTCCTCGGGGAATGTTCATGATATATATATATATTGGCTTCCTGGATACTGGATTCCCAAATGTGCAGTCACCCAGGGCCGCTAACGTTTATGTGCTTGCCGAGAAACACTCTCTGGCAATCAATAAAAACCAATATGTGAGCAGCTGCGCACTGCGTATAGAACGTGTCCATGCCTGCTACGACTGCCGATATCTCCATACCCCTAATGTAAGTAACTCTGCCGAGTACAGACTGCAGGACACGAGACTCGTGTTAACTTCAGTACGTGGTGCAGTTGACTGATATTGTAAAGGTGTCCAGGACTGCTACGACTGCCGATATCTCCATACCCCTAGTGTAAGTAACTGCCGAGTACAGACTGCAGGACACAAGATCCGTGCTTACTTCAGTACGTGGTGCAGTTGACTGATATTCTGTTACTGGCTGTGGAGAGGCTGCTGGTCTCTCTCGAACATTAAGACAATTTTCGTTTATGTTACTTNTTTCTTTGGAGAACGGGTGAAAATCCGTGCGCGCGCAGGATGTCATCCATAAAATTAAAAAAGTGTGGCCTAAACCCACCGCAATGTGAGCAACGTAACACGAACACCAATGAACTTTGTAAATTTACCATTAACTTTTCCATGCTTTATCAGCATTTATAATTTAAGCTAAGTTTTACACTTCTTGCCAATTTGTAATATCTCGATTACACCTCATTTCACTCAGCCAGAAATGGTAACACAGAAGGAGGCAATGGGACGCACGGCCCTCCACTACTGCGCCGAGACCGAGAACGTTCGGTGCGCGGAGCTCTTACTGGCGGCAGCTCCAGATTTGTTGAACGAGAAGGACGCAGACGGGTACAGCACCCTACATCTGGCAGTACAGATCAGCAACAAGCCGCTGTTTCAGCTGCTGATTCAGAGAGGAGCCAACGTGAACGCTGTGGACAACGAGAAACATACTGCGGTGCATTGGGCGGCAGGTTTGTCTATAGAACTTTATATTTTTTATTTCACATGTGTATGAACACAACAACTTTATCGATGAAAATAGAAAAAAGTAACATTATAGGAACATTTTACTGTAAAAAAGAGAAAAAAACAGTTATTTGGGTTCAACTAAATCGTAGAGATTTTCCTAGAATAGCGATTGTTTATCCCACCAGCAATTCAAGTTTCAGAAATAACTGGAACATGTATAACATACATGTCTTTAAGTCCAAAATGACTGATACCAGTCATTTTGAGAGGGGAAAGGGAGGACTGTAAGGGACGCGGTGGCGCCCCTTAGCATGTCCCACGCCCCTAGGATGTCGCGGCGCCCGCGCCTAGTAAGATTTATTATAAGGTATTATTATAATGAGACATTAAGGTACATATAAATAGAACAGGTGGTGGGTAGAGAGAAGGAGTTGGGTAGTGGGAATAAAGCTGTTTGGAAATCCACGACTCTTGTTGCTCACTTCTTCTCGATCTGTGAACCTAGAATCGAACCTTACACGGTGATGTGAATATATTTCCCCTGAATAACCTTTGTTCACTTTCACCATTTTTCTAAAAACCAAACACTTGCATGCTTTATGTTTTCTCTTCAGTTTGTGGCAATGCAGAAATGCTGGAGCTTCTGATCGCCCAGAAGGCTAACCCGTCCACCCCCGACTCTCACACGGCATACCCCATCCACTACGCGGCCCAGATGTGCGGCAGTGACGAGGCGGTCGGGATTAAGATCATGGGCAAACTTCTGTCCAAAGGAGTGCCCGTAGACTGCATTGATCAGGATGAGAGACAGCCCTTGCTCTGGGCCGCAAGTGGAGGTGAAAGAAACTCTCTCTCTCTCTCTCTCTCTCTCTCTCTCTCTCTCTCTCTCTCTCAATCAATCAACTTATTTAAAGCACGCTTATATACGTACTATCATTAATTTCTAACCTTGTTCTTAAAGGTAGCAGGAGATTTTGATGATAAGGCTATATTTGTAACAGAATTTCTCATGGCAAGGAAAGATGCATGTTTATTTAAATGAAATGTTTGTATTTAAAAGCGAATTTTTAATTGTTTTTCCAGGCAGTTGTAAGGCATGCAAAGTTCTTATCGAGGCAGGCGCTAAAGTGGAATCGTCGGATAAAGATGGGCTCACAGGTAAATATTTGGTCGTAGAAAAGTTATAATAGTAGGAAAGATAGTAAAACCGTTTTTTAAATAAAAATGATAGTCTAAAAATTATCTGCAATGCTTCGGTGCTTGTATCAGAAAAGTTTAAAACCCAGCAAATGACATAGTATTTTTTATACGTTAGATGCATTTTCCTTTTATTCCTTGTTATTATTATAGTTATTATTATTTTGAAGAGGCTTATGCCTATTTGAATTTTTGAAATTCTCTTCTAGCCCTTCACTGTGCCTCAAGTCGGGGCCATGCAGACACCATCTTTACCTTGGTAACGGAGTGTTCTGCCAAAGTTGACTCTCTGGACAAGAACGGGTGTACGCCGCTGTTCTACTCACTGACCATGCTCCACCTGCACTGTGCAAACATTCTGCTGGAGCTGGGGGCTGACCCCAACCATCAGGATAAGAAGGGAAGAAGGTAGAGAAACAAGAAGAAATAGCTTGATTTTTTAAAAAGATTTTATATTTAAAAACAATTCTGTTTATGTATTGAAATTAGATCAAAGGGGCCAATTCTTTAACTGAAAGAAGTAATTTTTTTGTGATAGATTAGTATTGTTTGACATGAATTTGCTATTTAAAAAACTTTCAAGTTAAGCTTCATTAGCTTGAAGTAGAAACACCAAGCTCGTACGAAACACTATAAGTGAAGAATTTTAAAAAGTGTATTTTAAAGCCAACAAAAGTACACAATAAATATGCACATTATATGCAGTATTTGTAAGGTAACACAAAAACGTCTGCAAAGATGTTTCTGTCTTCAGCCCTGCCCACTGCTCTGCAGCCAAAGGGTCCATTCCTGGCCTTGAGTTGCTGTCCACCCAGCACGGTGACCTGTGGTTGAGGAACATGAAGGGAGACTGTCCTATACATGAAGCAGCCCAGGGGCAGCATGTCGGTGAGTTAAAAGCCAAAGAGAATTTTAGACTCCATTCCCATAGACACCATTAGTTAGTGTGGATTGATCCAACTCTGCGGGGACTCTTGCTGAGTGCAATCAGCTTACCTGAAAGACATACCTCCTTTTGTTTCCAATGTTTTCGAATAATCACCAGTTTTCTGTATTCTACTTAACGCCAGGAGGAAGTTAAGCTGATTGCAGTCAGCAAGAGTCCCTGCAGAGTTGGGTCGATTCACGTAGACCAACAGTGTCCATTGCAAATGGGGCCTTTCATTTGTTGCTCACATCTCCCTTCTAGATATTGCCCCCTTGTGCCAGAGAAATGCATCTTTGAAGCAATTTTGTTATTGATTTGCATTTCATAATACACATAGTGTTTGTCATGCTTTAAATGGTTAAAACAATTACTTCATTTAAAATAATACCAGGCTGCAAGTCATAAACAAACTTTCAAAAGGATAAAACACAAAATACGAAGGAACAGAAATGGATTTAAGTGATCCCAAGAATAATTTCCTGTGATACAGACATAAATTACTTTAACATAAATACACCATAATCCATCATAACCCCAGGTTTGCAAGTTTGCAATACAGAATAACAATGCATTTTCTAATAACCATGTATTTGATTAGAATAGAATCTCAAGTTACCCCATCAAAACATTTTGCCATTAGAGCTTAAACTTCAGACTGTTTTTGTATTTAGATTGGACGTAATTCATTGTCACATTCAAATTTTTTTTTTGGTCTGTTCCTGCTTATATCCACTTATTGAGTGTAACACAAATTAATTATTGATGGAACCACGCTTTGTGCCATTTATTCATCCATATATTTTGTATTGTATTTTATTCTTTGAGAAACAACTGAAAGCTCTTCATCTTCTGTAATAAGCACTTCACATTAGGATTTCAATCAGGAGCTTTTAACAGATGACATTAATTCATACTTTTGATGCATTTGGTCATTTATTTTACTCTCTGAATACACAACTGAAAACCCCTTCAACCTCCGTAATTTGTGTAATAAGCAAATTCCATTAGGATGATTAAAAGAAATACAATAAGTCTGTGTTTGGCATTCGTGTGCTTTAATTTATTCATCCCCAAGTGAATTTTATTGTTCATCTTTTGTATCAATTGCTTTCATTTTAGATGTATAGATATATCTATTTACCCAAATGGATACTTTTTCCTCTTTAAATTTATTATAGTTTTTGTCTCAAAATGTTCAAATTGTCATATCACATAATATATTCTCTGTTGTCTATTATTTTACCAAAGTCTGTCACCCACCTCATTAATTTTTTATCTGCATGTTCACCATGAAACAGTATTGATTATACTCTTTTGTATAGGCATGTCCATGTCAATACATCTACATCATTTGACATGTGTGCAATGATTCTCATAAATGTCAAATCTGTAAAAAGTGGGGCTTATATTTGACAATGTATTATTCTTATATTATCATTTTTATGTATAAAATTAAATTATTCCACTTAAAAGAATTATTTCAAACTCAACCATCATTTTATGATAAACTTTGAATGAAAGGTACAGCACTTATTATCAGCAAGTCTCTGTCATTTCCAGCTGCCTTTGAAGCTTAGGCTGCATTCCCAGTAAAAGCTAGCATTGTTCTATGTAAAGGGTGTGTCATTCAGTTTATGTGATTGCATTCAGCAAGAGACCCTGCAAATCCCCACAGAGTTGGGTCTTAGAACAATAGTCTCATTGGGAACGCACCCTTATATTATGGTAAGGCACAGGGATTGTCAAGTAAAATTTACTTAATTTTTTCATTTTCTTGTACACTGACGATTCCAGACACAGTTCTCTACCTCCTGAAGTTGATGGAAGGGCAGGCTAATCTGGCCAACAAAGATGGCCGAACCTGTCTCCACATTGCTGCCACCAACAATGACCTTCAGATGTGCAAGACCCTGATACAGCATGGTGCTAATGTGAATATTACTATGAAACACAAGGTAAGACCACACCACCACTGCTGTCAGTCTGTGGTGTTCACCAATGGTCTGAGGTAACTGCCCAGTAGTTTTGGTGTAAGGACTGGTAAAACAATATGTGGGAATTTTAGAGGTTGTTGATCAGTTTTTATAATATCAGTTTTTATAATATATAGATTTCATATTTGGATCTACAGTTTGTTGAAAGACTTTGAGGTCAGAATGTGGAAATTTTGTGTAACTTACTGGAAAAACAATTATATATATATATAGAAATCGGTTGAGTTGGATTAAGGTTTAGGATATTTGAAGTTGTGTTTATGCAGAAGTTATTTATTCACAATAATCGCTAGCCATATTGTAGTGCTTAGATATTTTTTTCAGACAATTGTGTTTTGTGTATGACACTGAGAAGTTTAAATATTTATATTTACAGAATAAACATGTATCTCCTCTTGATGCTGCTCTCGCCAGAGATAGCACCGAATGCGCCACCTATCTGCGATCACGTGGGGCTGCAACAGGGGACAAAGTCATCAACTGTGCAGCAAGAAGTATTCAGAAAAACTGGAATTTTCACAAAGAAAAGATAATGCAGAAAAGGTCCACTGCACACCCGCCTGGAAAAATGGAAAGCCTTCCTCCAGAGAAACAGGTTTCCAAGAAATCTAAACTCTCATCTCCCTCACCATTGAGCAAAGAAAAAACAAAAGATGCCATTGAAAATAAAGAAGGGAAAAAAGAGAAAAATCAGCAGAATAGATTGAATCATCAAAAGTCCAACAAAATGTCACCAAGGTCGGACACAGAGATAAAATCTCCTAGATTACTAGCAGATAATAATTCACGTGCCAACAACATTAACAGCAAACAAAGAAAAGAACAAGTCCACTTTAAGAACACACTAGGTGGTCAAACTCAGCCCAATGACCAGTACAGCCAGCATGCAAGAACAACCCCTAAACCAAAGTCAGCAGCAGGGGATGCTGTTAAAACTGGTCCTAAATCGACCAAAGACAAAACTGTAACACAACATAAAAACAACACAGCACCGAAGCCTGTACAACAAGCACAGACTACAAAAACTGGAGAAAAATATTACCAACCAAAGAGCAACATAGGGGAAAAAGTTTGGAAAAGCGTCAAAATATACGAGTTTAAACGACAAGCATCACACAACTTGGTGAAGTTTAAACGTCTTCAAATGATGTCTGGGACTCCGTCACAAGATGAAGGGGTACTGGTCAACAAGTTGATGAAGCTACAAGAGACGGCTGATGGAGAAATAGACGTAGAAGCCATAGCCAACTGGGATGCATATCTGAAAGGTAAGCTTAATAATACCAGTTTCAATATTTGAAATTTGTTGCCATTTAATATTTTAAAAGTTATTTAAACCATTTGATATAGTGGAAATAACTCTTTACTGAGCAGTTAGTAGAAATCAGTTGGTACCTTTAGATACATATGATTTGAAATGTTTTAAAACCAACTTTTTTTAAATTTCAGAATGAAGGTTAAATAATATTTCTGACAAGGAAACACTGTTTGAAGTTTATGTAATCTCTCCACCATATTCATTTGAGATTTTAATTTTTTTCACTTTTTCTACAATTATTTTTTCCAGAGCAAATCAAGGCATTATCAGTCACATCTAAGAATAAGAAGATACAGAACTTAAGTGCATCATTAGAGGTAAAGATTAAAATGATTCAATTTCATTCAGTCTAGAGGCAGAAAAAACAAAGGTCAGAAGTTTGTCCTTACTTCAATACCTAAAATGTTGGTCTACTTCAAATTCGGACTAAAAACAAATATCAATACTAATTATTAAAACATTTTTTCTATGATTTGTTATTTTCAGAAAGAGTTTGAGCAAGAGGCCATTAAATCCAAAATGAAAGCTGATGATGAGATGAAAAAACATGAAGAACATCAACAAAAAATAGAGGTTAATAAGAATGTTTGGTTGAAAGATTTTTTTAAAAAATTATCTTCAAATCTACAAAATGTTATATATTTTTTATATTTTAAAATGTATTCCTTAATAAAAGATTCATAATTGACAAATACTTGTCATCAGTTGGTTTACTGGCAATTTTATTGGTTTCAGGCACAAGATGAAATGGACAAGCAGATTGCTGAGACTGCACTTTCTCAGGCACTGGAGAGAACCAACAGCATGTACGAACGCGTCAATTCCAGGGCAAGCTCTGCCCTTCAGAGGGCACGCGAAAGCAATTTCCATCTAAATGAAAACATGAAGATAAGACGTGCTGAACGATTGTCAAAGTCACCAAGAAGTGATAATGACAGTCCCAGAGATAGAGATCAGAGGGGCAAGAACAAGACTGAGGCAACAAGAGCAGAGAATGGAACACCACTGGAAAATGAAAGTGAAAGTGCTGCCACTCATTGTGAGGTTAAGGAAGGGGGAAATAGTAATGAGACGGGACACCCTGGAAGGTCTCCAAGGGAGAATAAAGAGAACAAGGAATTCATCTATGAAGAGTGAGTAGATAACAAAAATGATAAGAAAATATAGTGAGAAGGGGAGGGGGAGTTGGCCAAAAAATAAGTGGAATCTTGGGACAATTGCTTATGGATGAAGTAGAAAATTTCATGTCATAGAAATTCAGTAATCTACAAAAGATATTTTGTGCTGCAGCTGGTGCTTAGCAACACTTTTCTTTCTCTTTAATTTATGCCAGTAACTTATCAAGTAAGGAATACTAACAACTACTTTTGCTTTAAATTTTTGACACAATTTTCTTTCGTGCAAAATCCATTATTTTCTATTTGACACACACTTCTTTATTTTAGACCACTTCCTTGTCCTTGTAATTCTCAAAAGTTTTCTCTGCCAATTATAATGTAAGTTCTCTCTGCACTGCATGATTGCTGTGTTTCCCAGTTCAAAATGCATCCCAACTGTGAATGTGCTTGGGTTCATACATATTCAACTATATCCTGCTATTGCAAATGTGAACATAACCTTTCTTTGATCAGCATATAGGATTTAGCATTACATGTGTTTAACCCAAATCTTATCCATATTTGGAAGATCTTTTTGCTTACAGTTCCTGAGCATTTTTAATTTGAAGTTGATGAAATGATGATGTCCCTCCTTTCCCCTCCTTAGAAATTAAAGTGACCATTATAAATGTTTTCCTGTCCTCTGACAAATAATAAATTGAATACAAAGAAGTTACCAAGTACCTTATCTTAGTTCTGAAATCAGCTTTACTTTTACTATCCACCTTGTTGTTTATATGCATGTGTATGCTTTTTATACCATATTTCTTTATTTATGTGTTTCCCTAATAAAATGCTAATCTTTACTGAAAACCTTTATTCTCCCTAAAAAGAAATCATGAGGAAATAACATTTTTGCAACATTTTCAATGATTTGCACGTGTATTGTGTGAGGGTTGAATTGTGCTTGCTTATTCTTTGAAATGAAAGGAAAAAACACTTTGCAGACAAAAAGGTTGGTATGACACACGGTTCTGTTTTAGATGTCAATTGAAAATAGGGCAGCATCAGATTCATGCATTCACATATGGGTTTAAATTATGGCCATAGTAAGTAAATGTCAGAGATTGAAAAATTTCAAATAATTGTCCAGTGGCAAGTTATGATTTTTTTAATCAAAAGATTATACTGAATGACTTTCCATATTCTTAAGATAACACTAACATGATTTTTTTACTTATCATTTATAAAAGCATGAAAAAGATGTTCACTATGAATGTCTTAAAATATTGGAGAAACTAAAATTGTGCCATTTTCTACAATGCAGCCAAGAAGGGTCTCGCAAAAGTAGAAAAGCCATCATGGAGGAAAGGAGAAGAGTGCATGAGGAGTGGAGAAATACACAACTCAGCAGAAGGGAAAAGAGTCTTTTCTCAGCATACGCACCATTATGTATTCCAAAAGAAGATGCAGGGACGCCTGGGGGTAGGTGAAATAACAAAACCATTGATAAATATATAGAGTGAAAAAATCAAGGATGATAATAATTTCAAGGGAAGTACTTAGCTGCCTAATCTAATATTGTTATAACTAAATAATAATAATAATAATAATAATAATAATAATAATGATAATAATCTAAAAGAAGAGCACTGTATCATCTTATCTATTTTATAGTACACTGCATTCTTATCTGGTAAAGTGATGAATTTGTATGAATTTGGACTTGTTTATTTTCTGATGATACCCTTTTCAAAAATAGAACAATACAAGAAATACTGAAAGTTATAATTATAACACATATATATGTATAAATGCTAAAAATATGTTTCATTCTCAGGCAAAAAGAAGCTTAGAACCAAAAGTGCCCCTCCAAGGTCTTCACTAAACTTTGATAACATGGCTGAAAAACACGAACTGGACCAAATGGATCATGCTCTGCCCAGTGTCTCCACCTATCCTTCCCGTCCGTCGACCTCTGTGGGTCACCACCGCTCCAGGACGCCCAGCTCTACACCAGACTGTGAAGATCTTCAAACAGAGATGATCATGACACCAAATGGAATAGTGAAAAAGAAGTTGGACTCTCAAGGTAGTAACAAATTGTTGACATTGTCATTTAGATTTCACTTTAAAATTAAAAGGAAAAACTTTTGAAAAATTCAGCATTTTGATGCAATTGAGTCCAAGTTCATCATGTGTTTCTTTGCCTCTTTAGAAAAAAATGGATATTAAACTACTTATTGCTTTTAGTTTGGGGCAACTTTTCAACAGAGGCAGCAAATTTATCATCTGATTTTACATAATGAGACATTTGAACTTGGCAATTACTTGCATATGGTACTTTTAAAACAAAATGTATGGCAGAAAATACCAAGAAATGTCATTTTCCGCAAATCAAATTCAGGTCATTATTAAGAAAAATCTTATTGCAGGAAAAGACCCATCCAGTTTATCCAGAGCATCCACCCCAGCACATGGTACCAATTATTTTTTATTTTATCATTTGACCAATTACTGAGCATTGTTACTGAACTATTGACTTTAAAGGGAAAGATGTGAAGTTTCAGTCAGAACAATAATCATTCAATTCATATTTTACACAGAAACTTCGACAAATTTTGAATTAAATCATTAATATAAACAGATTTTAAAATAATAATGTTACAAGGCTACTCAATTTGTTTTGCTTTATAGGTAATTTTTCTCCACGCTATGATGGACGTTTGAGGCCAAGGAGTTCTCTGGTCTTCATGGATCCAGATACATATGAGGAGAAGAAAAAACAGGAGCAGAAAAATAAAAACAAGAACAAAACTGATGCAGATTCTTCTGAGACACAAGAAGTACCAGCAGAAGTGGCAGCAGAATCCTAAAACACTACAATATATTCCAGAATACTTACAATTAAAGCATGTTGGCTATGAATTAAACCTTGCTATTTGATAGGTAACACTTTATCCAAGTTCACAGTTCCTATAGAGGGTGCGAGCTTTTATCTGCATCCACTGCTTTTATTTATTGTCCATGAACAGTTTTTTTCACACAGCTGACGCACTATCAGTACCAAAACAGGATATTGAACAGATATATATATATATATATATATATATATATATATATATATATAGTCATATTTTAATATAAAATTATGAAATGTACCATGCCATCATTTTGTATTTTGGGTAATACCTAAAAAAAATGATTCAGTAAATCATATTTAAAAGGGCACATACACACACTAAATGTTTCAAAGCACTAAAAACTCTGTATGAACAGTAACATAACATTTTATATGTCCTTTTGTGAATTACTTAAGACAAATTCATTTTCTATAAGCAATGACCCAAAGAATTTTTAACAAATTAAAAATGTTACTACTTTTTTTATTTATAACATTTCTTTTTATTAATTGCTTACAAAAGAAACTTGCTCATGACAAGGCATTAATGAAAAGCCCTGTAATACAACCAAAGGCATTGTAGTTGTAAATTTTGTGGTTCAAAACACATTTAAAACAGCATTATATTACACAATCTGTCAAAACTACTGATACAATCAGGGATGTAACTGGGTCATAATAAAGACCCCTGAAATTTGCTGTATGAAGTATTATACTTTTCAAGATATTCCACTATGTAATCATCTGGGCCCTGAATTTGCTAACAGCTGAGTGAGTGAAATTCCATCAGCAAACAAAATCCTTGTTCTCTCAGATAATCAGCAGCATGTTGGTATTGAAATTCATTTCTCTGCCTCTGGCAGCCTAACTTAATCATCATAAGACATCAGATATGAACACGACTTTTTAAAACACTCTCTTCAGAACATAAGTAATTTCAAAACTCTGTATCTGTGCTGCCCATGGATATACTTATATGCAAAATGGGTGGAAAACCTGACTGTTTCCATGCTTCAGAACCCCCTATCCAGGAGGAATTTTGTCACATGTTCCAAATATATACCCTTGACGTGAACTATACCAGCAGTCTCAAAGACTCGTGTCAATATAATTTTCCCTGGATTCATTTTTTCCAGGTGAGCCCTAAGGTCAGCTTCAAAGGCCTGAAAATAATAATAATAATAATAATAATAATAATGATAATAATAATAATGAAAATAAAAGAAATTTGAAATTGTGCTGTTTGACAAATAATTCTGAGAAGTTTTGAATGATCACTTTTTTTTAAAAAATAGAATTTTATTTTGGTTTTGTACCAGTAAATATCATTACTTTGGATAACCTGATTATTTCAAAGAACAAAATTATTGCATTATTGCAATTAATTCAGGAAGAAAATGAAAATGTGTACAAAAAAATTNTTTGACAAATAATTCTGAGAAGTTTTGAATGATCACTTTTTTTTAAAAAATAGAATTTTATTTTGGTTTTGTACCAGTAAATATCATTACTTTGGATAACCTGATTATTTCAAAGAACAAAATTATTGCATTATTGCAATTAATTCAGGAAGAAAATGAAAATGTGTACAAAAAAATTAAATAGTTTGCTAGCCTCACCCTAAATAGAAATTTAAGCTTAATGCTAAACATTCCAATTTGGTCAAAAAAAAGTACATGTAAAAAAAAAAAAAAAATATATATATATATATATATGATTTGATTCAAAATACTGATTCAACTGAAATCTCTGCCTATATTAAATTCAGTAAGTGTTTTAAGCTTACCCATACATCTCCTGTGATATATCTTATTTTTGTTAAATGTCTTTTATCTTTATCCTCCTGATAATAAACTGGATACATATGGTTCTTTGTTCTACTGATACAGTAGGGATACTTCCCTGCAATATTTTCTGAAAAGAAGATATTTTGTACTTTATGATCAGTTTAAATTTACATCCCTTAAAAAAGATGCTTTAAAATCATTTTAATGGTGCACAAACAAAAGGGTCACTACGAATTTGGACAATTTTTCCTGCTCAGTTAGACTTGTATGTCAGATGTTAGCATAACAATAAACCATATAATAAATCATATAACATAAATGATTATCATAATCCATTTATGTTTTAAAGGAGGAAAATGAAAGCTAATAATACCATATTCATTAATTAAAGAATTGCTGATTAGTCTGCGAGATAAACAATCAATCTGGTCAATTTTTTGGCAGTTGTAACAAAATTTTGGCCACCTACTGTATTTCTCACCTGCAGGTGGCACCCAGCCAGATGGTGTCCGATGATCTGGTGGATCTGGAATGGTGTCTTTTGGAAGCAGACGCTCAACATATTTCCATTCTTCTGGGTCTGTGGATACCTCTACATCGGTTAGAGTGCCTTTTACCCTCACTTTTTTGTCCACTTCTTCTCCATAAATGACATTGCCGGTGCCAAGAATGCTACAAGCCTGCAATCGATTGGTGTTTATTAGAGCCTCTACAACTTTGACATGAGATGTGCAGTCGGGCCCGTGGCCCGTGCAGTCGAGTTGCCCGTTTTGGCCTTACACTTACCACAGGTAAGGTCTCATTCCACCCAATGTTTCAAACAGTGAAGGTTATGAATATGCCCATCCAGGCAAAAAAGTTTGCATGCAAGGCACTGATCAAAACTGATCAAAGCCGTAACATATCTTAATTTAAGTTAATACATAATTGGTACTGTTGAAGTGCCCCCCCCCCCCCCCCAAGCTAATCAAAATAATGTAGTGATTTTATTTTTTTTTGGGGGGGGGAGGGAGGTTTATTGATAAATATATTTATTTTCAGGACAAACTTACCCGTCTGAACGTCAAATTAAGACATTTTTGAAGAGATCCACTTCTAACACACGACTTGATGGCGGCAGCCATGTTGATTATCGCAATTTCTCGCGAAACAAATCATTGTTCATTTAAAACTGGTGGACTGAGAGTTGTCCAATTTTAATATGTACTAAAAACAAGGAATATTTTCTATTCATACATCATTTCAAAATCTGGTAAACTCAGATATCCTTGAACAAAAGCATTAATTTTGGTCACATGATAAGATCTCGCAAAGCTTTAGAACTCACTTCCGTTCGCCAAAATTGAACTCGACGTCAGTTTTTAATCAAAGCGCAGTGCAGGTAAATTCGACCCCAAAATTGTTTTGTGTGAATACGTACCAAATCATAGTTGTATATATTTAAATATAAAATGACACTAAAAACAGAAAATGAAACTTAACAATGCATGGCAGTTTAAGCAGATCAACGTTAATTTTTTATCTGTCCCCCGTATCTTCACATTTTGAGCGTGGACGAAAAAAAAATGCATTGCTTCATGTCTTAAGCCTTAGGGGATTTGATACGTTATACAGGCTACATATAGCTTTTCTTCGTTTCTTGTATGAGAAATACTTTTCTTAAGTGCAATAAAAATAAGCAATTCTGAAGCACAAACTCCTTTTTTTTCACAAACCACACTTGCCTCAGTTTTAGGCCTTAAATATTAATATTGTTATGCAGGTCATTCCACTATGTTACGAAGAAAACCAACACGAATCGAGTTAAAGCTGGATGACTTGGAGGAGTATGAGATAGTGAAGAAGGAGAGAGAAAGGTTAAAGAAAGCTGCCCTTGAGAGGACAGGCATGTCATCAGAGCTCAGTCCTATTGTTCCCGAGTCGCCACAGAAACCCAAAAGGGAATTGATCCACGAGAGGATAGGATACAGGCCACAGGGTGCAAATACAGGAAACACCATACGTCCTCTGCATTGAATGGCTTTGACTTATCATCATCGAGTGATGTGCTGGGAGAACCACTCCAAAATAGAAGCACTGGTATGGAGGGAACAGGTTTTGTGTTTAAAGGCACATTGAGAACCAGTCCGTTGCCTTAAACTTTTCAAATCACTGGTCTTTCAGACTTGTAGACCTCAGAAAATACTTATCTGAATCAAAAGCTATTTGTCTGAATATGACATCTACAGATAATGGAATCTAAAGCAACCACATAAATTTTCACCAGCCTAAGTCTGATCAGACTATAAACTTTGATGATTCAATTCAGTATTTTTACCTGCCTGGAGTCAAGATTTTTAACTGACTTGGACCAGTAGCTAATGTCCCAAAGTATTACCTGTTTTCTGCCGGGGACTGTGTGCGACTCCATTCAAAAGGAGACACATCAGTTGATGTATGTGTTTGTTTATATCCCAAACAATCCGCAGGTGCCATTAATTGTTCAAATGGTAGAAGCTGTGGGGTTGTTTCAGTGAGAAGTTTGTGAAAAGCAGTAGGTACAAATGATCTAGAGGATTGAAGGCAGATGTTCCCTTTAGACGTGCCTGCCAACTTGATTATTTTTGCCACATTTGCTGGTCATGACAGTGGCAAAGGAATGAGGAGGTTGATAGGCTTATACAGTATTACCTGTCCTCTAAACTGCCTTGAGACTTTTCTTTCATTTGTATTTATGATAATACAAGGGAATATCACCTATTACTATCTCATGTGCCTCGGGCACATTTATTATTTATTTACTGCTTTTGTAACATCCATGGGGTGACAATAAAAAAATCATAGTCTAAAAAAAAAAAAAAAACCCCAATGGTTTTGTGAAATAAAAATTGAAGTTTTAAGTTTATGGGGTTTCCTGTCACATCTAAAAATTTGAAATACTTATTTTATTTTTTTGGAGCACCTTTGTGGCTGAAGTCCAATTTGACATTTTTAACCGTTTTAAAATGTTATTCACTTGCCAAGTGGGGGGGGGGGTCTCACTGAGTGCAATCAGATTGACATACCTTCCTGGGATTGAGCAGAATTCAGAATAGTTCATGGTGATTAACAAGTACATTCGAAACAAGAGGAGGCATGTTATTTAATTTTATTGCATTCAGTGAGAGTCCTGCAGAGTTGGATTAATCTATGTAAAATGATAGTTACATTGGGCTATGGGCCCTTAGATATGAATTCATCTCTGAAGCTCAGGGTAGTGTACTAGCCATTACCAAAGCCATTTTCCCCTGACGTCCTTTTAATCTTGGACATAATATATGTCTAAGACTTTATTTATTTATTTTTTGCGCTCGTCTTTTAGACATTTGGCCCACTAGTGCCAAAACTTTTATTTGTAATTTGCTAGGTGGCTTTGTTCGGTAAAAAGATGTGTGAATCATGAAAAATGGCCATGGTCAGACCTTTTTTGCAACGTAACAGTAATGATTTTTCGCATATATTTTTTAGACTGGGTTCCCATACTTAGATCGATCCATCTGGATCGACTTAACTCCCTGGGGGTTCACGCTAAATTGCTATCAGCTCAAGAGGCTTACATGTCTGCCACGCCTACCGAATCAGCTTGGGTGAAAGATAATTACCCCCTAACAGCTTTAATAGGTGTGACAGACATTTAAGCCGGTTACGTCGATAGCAATTTAGTGAGAATCCCCAGGGAGACAGACAGATCCAAATATCTGTGGGAATGGTCCCTTAGTGCCGTTTGCCCAGTATTAAAGTATCATAGGCCTACTGTGCTTTTGTTTTACTTCAGAATTGCTGAATGGCTTTGTTGCGTTAAAAGGCAGATTCTTTTTGAAAATCAGAGTATTCAGATTTTTTTTTTTTTTTTTNTAGTTTGCTAGCCTCACCCTAAATAGAAAATTTTAGCTTAATGCTAAACATTCCAATTTGGTCAAAAAAAAAGTACATGTAAAAAAAAAAAAAAAAAAAAAAAAAATATATATATATATATATATATATATATATATATATATATATATATATATATATATATATATCTTTGATTTGATTCAAAATACTGATTCAACTGAAATCTCTGCCTATATTAAATTCAGTAAGCTTACCCATACATCTCCTGTGATATATCTTATTTTTGTTAAATGTCTTTTATCTTTATCCTCCTGATAATAAACTGGATACATATGGTTCTTTGTTCTTCTGATACAGTAGGGATACTTCCCTGCAATATTTTCTGAAAAGAAGATGTTTTGTACTTTATGATCAGTTTAAATTTACATCCCTAAAAAAAGATGCTTCAAAATCATTTTTAATGGTGCACAAACAAAAGGGTCACTACGAATTTGGACAATTTTTCACGCTCAGTTAGACTTGTATGTCAGATGTTAGCATAACAATAAACCATATAATAAATCATATAACATAAATGATTATCATAAGCCATATATGTTTTAAAGGAGGAAAATGAAAGATAATAATACCATATTCATTAAGAATAAGAATTGCTGATTAGTCTGCGAGATAAATAATCAATCTGGTCAATTTTTTGGCAGTTGTAACAAAATTTTGGCCACTTATTTCTCACCTGCAGGTGGCACCCAGCCAGATGGTGTCCGATGATCTGGTGGATCTGGAATGGTGTTTTTTGGAAGCAGACGCTCAACATATTTCCATTCTTCTGGGTCTGTGGATACCTCTACATCGGTTAGAGTGCCTTTTACCCTCACTTTTTTGTCCACTTCTTCTCCATAAATGACATTGCCGGTGCCAAGAATGCTACAAGCCTGCAATCGATTAGTGTTTATAGTGTTTATATATTAGAGCCTCTACAACTTTGGCATGAGATGTAGAGTTGAGTTGCCTGTGTGGCCTTACACTTACCACAGGTAAGGTCTCATTCCACCCAATGTTTAAAACAGTGAAGGTTATAAATATGCCCATCCCGGCAAAATAGTTTGCTGCAAGGCACTGCTCAAAACTGATCAAAGCCATAACATATCTTAAAGCAATAATAACTCTTCGTTTCGGCCAAAAAATGAATTTTCCTGGAGTAAACAACAATTTTCCCATACTTACCAATGGTTAATGAATCCATTTTTACATTCAAAGTTAGTCCCTGGTTTTTTTCTAAAAAGTTTGGTTTTTTGTTAAAATCTCTTAAGAGATTTTAACAGAGTATAGACATCAGTGGAGGTCACGTGGTCTAAAGACAAGTTCAGATATCAGAATAAAAGCTATAACTGCTGTTTTTGTGGTAAAACAGAATACATTATATTTCTATGAGTTATTCACAAGGTTTTTATTGTGAAATATAGATCTCATATGAAGAGTTATTATCCCTTTAATATATAATTGGTACTGTTGAAGTGCCCCCCCCCCCCCCCGTCACTCTCGAGTCTAGCTTTTTAAAGCTAACCAAAATAATGTAGTGCTTTTATTTTGGGGGGGGGAGGTTTATTGACAAATATATTTATTTTCAGGACAAACTTACCCGTCTGAACGTCAAATTAAGACATTTTTGAAGAGATCCACTTCTAACACACGACTTGATGGCGGCAGCCATGTTGATTATCGCAATTTCTCGCGAAACCAAGCATTGTTCATTTAAAACCGGTGGACTGAGAGTTGTCCAATTTTAATTTGTACTAAAAACAAGGAATATTTTCTATTCATACATCATTTCAAAATCTGTGGTAAACTCAGATATCCTTGAACAAAAGCATTACTTTTGGTCACATGATAAGATCTCGCAAAGCTTTAGAACTCACTTCCGTTCGCCAAAATTGAACTCGACGGCAGGTTTTAATCAAGGCGCAGTGCAGGTAAATTCGACCCCAAAATTGTTTTGTGTGAATACGTACCAAATCATAAGTTGTATATATTTAAATATAAAATGACACTAAAAACAGAAAATGAAACTTAACAATGCATGGCAGTTTAAGCAGATCAACGTTAATTTTTTATCTGTCCCCCGTATCTTCACATTTTGAGCGTGGACGAAAAAAAAATGCATTGCTTCATGTCTTAAGCCTTAGGGGATTTGATACGTTATACAGGCCTACATATAGCTTTTCTTCGTTTCTTGTATGAGAAATACTTTTCTTAAGTGCAATAAAAATAAGCAATTCTGAAGCACAAACTCCTTTTTTTTCACAAACCACACTTGCCTCAGTTTTAGGCCTAAATATTAATATTGTTATGCAGGTCATTCCACTATGTTACGAAGAAAACCAACACGAATCGAGTTAAAGCTGGATGACTTGGAGGAGTATGAGATAGTGAAGAAGGAGAGAGAAAGGTTAAAGAAAGCTGCCCTTGAGAGGACAGGCATGTCATCAGAGCTTAGTCCTATTGTTCCCGAGTCGCCACAGAAACCCAAAAGGGAAATGATCCACGAGAGGATAGGATACAGGCCACAGGGTCCACATACTGCAGGAAATACAATACGCCCTCTGCATTGAATGGCTTTGACTTATCATCATCAAGTGATGTGCTGGGAGAACCATTCCAAAATAGAAGCACTGGTATGGAGGGAACAGGTTTTGTGTTTAAAGGCACATTGAGAACCAGTCCGTTGCCGTAAACTTTTCAAATCACTGGTCTTGCATGTAGACCTCAGAAAATACTTATTTGAATCAAAAGCTATTTGTCTGAATATGACTTCTACAGATAATGGAATCTAAAGCAACCACATAAATTTTCACCAGCCTAAGTGAGTCTGATCAGACTATAAACTTTGATGATTCAATTCAGTATTTTTACCTGTCTGGAGTCAAGATTTTTAACTGACTTGGACCAGTAGCTTATGTCCCAAAGTATTAGCTGTTTTCTGTCAGGGACTGTGTGGGACTCCATTCAAAAGGAGACACATCAGTTGATGTATGTGTTTGTTTATATCCCAAACAATCCACAGGTGCCATTAATTGTTCAAATGATAGAAGCTGTGGGGTTGTTTCAGTGAGAAGTTTGTGAAAAGCAGAAGGTACAAATGATCTAGAGGATTGAAGGCAGATGTTCCCTTTGGACTTACCTGCCAACTTGATTATTTTTGCCACATTTGCTGGTCATGACAGTGGCAAAGGAATGAGGAGGTTGATAGGCTTATACAGTATTACCTGTCCTCTAAACTGCCTTGAGACTTCCTTCATTTGTATTTATGATAATACAAGGGAATATCACCTTATACTATCTCATGTTATTGCCTCGGGCACATTTATTATTTATTTACTGCTTTTGTAACACCCATGGGGTGACAATAAAAAAATCATAGTCTAAAAAAAAAAAACCCAATGGTTTTGTGAAATAAAAATTGAAGTTTGAAGTTTATGGGGTTTCCTGTCACATCTAAAAATTTGAAATACTTATTTTATTTTTTTGGAGCACCTTTGTGGCTGAAGTCCCATTTTACATTTTTACCTGTTTTAAAATGTTATTCACTTGCCAAGTGGGGGGGGGGGGCAGGGGGGGGGTCTCACTGAGTGCAATCAGATTGACATACCTTCCTGGGATTGAGTAGAATACAGACAAGTGATTAAACAAGTACATTCGAAACAAGAGGAGGCATGTTATTTAATTTTATTGCATTCAGTGAGAGTCCTGCAGAGTTGGATTAATCTATGTAGAATGATAGTTACATTGGGCAATGGGCCCTTAGATATGAATTCATCTCTGAAGCTCAGGGTAGTGTACTAGCCATTACCAAAACCATTTTCCCCTGTCGTCCTTTTAATCTTGGACATAATATATGTCTAAGATTTTATTTATTTATTTATTTTTTGCGCTCGTCTTTTAGGTGACATTTGGCCCACTAGTGCCAAAACTTTTATTTTTAATTTGCTAGGTGGCTTTGTTCGGTAAAAAGATGTGTGAATCATGAAAAATGGCCATGATCAGATCATTTTTGCAACGTAACAGTAATGATTTTTCGGGTATATTTTTTAGACTGGGTTCCCATACTTAGATCGATCCATCTGGATCGACCTAACTCCCTGGGGGTTCACGCTAAATTGCTATCAGCTCAAGAGGCTTACATGTCTGCCACGCCTACCGAATCAGCTTGGGTGAAAGATAGTTACTCCCTAACAGCTTTAATAGGTGTGACAGACATTTAAGCCGGTTACGTCGATAGCAATTTAGTGAGAATCCCCAGGGAGACGGATCGATCCAAATATCTGTGGGAATGGTCCCTTAGTGCCGTTTGCTCAGTATTAAAGTATCATAGGCCTACTGTGCTTTTGTTTTACTTCAGAATTGCTGAATGGCTTTGTTGCGTTAAAAGGCAGATTCTTTTTGAAAATCAGAGTATTCGTTTTTTTTTTTTTTTTTTTTCAAATTTTATTGTTTACTGGAATGTGCCTATTAATGTTAAAACGAACCAATGGAAATGGCCCTTTTCTGTTAGGGGTCCGTATGTTTGTAAGTTTTTCCGTGTAATTTACTGCTGTTTGCAGCAAGTACAGAGAAGTTATTATGTTGCTATGTTACTAGGTGATTCTCTGTACCCAGGTGTGACAGGAATGGTAGTCTTAGGAATGGAAGTCTGGGGTCCCTTATGATTAGCACAGTTTAGAGTTAGTAGGAAGTGTTTAAGGTTATACATGGGACAAGAAGTACCTGTACTAAGTAACAGAGAACGGACTACAGTTCCTAGCGGACTACCATTCCTGTCACAACGGGTATTGATAAATTGGGATTTTTCAATTCTCTATCATTTCAGTTATGAAATAAAACATCAAATTCATTACTTTAAAAAAGGAGGGGCAAACTGATAACCCTTTAATATTTATTGCTAAATTTCTATCTCAAAAATAACCACATTTTTATTAACTTAAGTATAAAGAATCGGAATATGTCTCTCGTTTCTTGTGATCGAGTGATAGTAAACTGTCAGTATATCATAAAGCCTGTGCTGAGTTTACGTGAAACATAAAAAATGAAAATAGTCTCTCTTTGATACTTTTACGCGAAACGTGAAAAGTGAAAGTAGTCTCTCTTTGAATACGTAAATGTTTAAAGCGTGTCCGTGCAGTGCGGGTCGCTGTTCACGTTTTATCTTAATTCTCTCCCTGATCCTATTCATCCAAACCAATTTGGATATCCATTAACTTCTTTTGAAGACGTTGAAGCAATTTCATTTCGTCAGCCAACTGAAAAAGAATTTACACGAGGAGTAAGACATTAAAAAGAGGTACAAAAAACAGTAAATGAACAAACTAGAAATAACTTATTGCAAACCATTGTAATTGAAATTCATCCTGAATTTTTCACCCGTTATCTCCTGATAGACCTAGCGTTCTAGCTTTTCTTATATTTCAAAATAAAAAGGGAAAAGGATTTGAAAATTAAAATTTCCCTGGATTGGACCTGTTTACTCTTCAGGTTTGTAAGACACGAGGTGTGGCAGCGAACTGGTGAAATATATTTAGATTGCTTTACGAGATGATTGCATTAATTTCAGACAAAAGCATGAATTAAAATTTAAAAATTAATGGTTTATTTACAAATATTTGATAAAAGAAAAGAAAAACCGAATTCTTTGAGTTGTTTCTTAAGGAAAGAAATTAAATGAAGAAATCACATCATACCTGAAGCTTGCCGTCATAGCTTCTTTTATTGCGACCGTCTGCTACATTCAAGGTTCTTCTTCTTCTACTAAAGGTAGCTGGATACATTGCAACATATAAAACATTTAACAACTTAAAGGTATTCATCTAAATAACCTTTAATATGCAATTAACTTATTCGGTATTTTGTATTTCAATACTTCAGTCAAACAGAAAGATTTTGACTTTATCGGGATTGTACCTTATTTATATTTTGAAGAGAACCAAAAAGAGAATACACACACAGAGAATGCTAAACTGAAATGTTTTAATAACATCTTTGTCAAATGTGTAAAGCTTAATGTACCGGTAAATAGATGGATTAATTAAGAGGACAAAAATACAGCTCTTCTCTGAGTTGTAAATAGGTTTTCTTGTAGCGACCTCCAGGGAACCACTTAAAAACCGAAAAATGTGTCCCAAATTCACGTACGTACCGTCAGAATCTGCAAACATCTGCACAAGAAGCAGTGTCACCAACAAAAGCGCGACAATTCCTGTTCTGGTCTTCATAATGGCCACGCCCAAGTTTTCAGTTATACAGGAAATAAAACTGTGGTGTCGGAAGATCGATGGCAATAATGTATTTCCACAGAATTTAGAGTCTTTTATTGGCCTGTCCACGGTTAATATTGACCTTCTTGAAGGAACCGGTTTTGTACCCGTGTATGTCGAGGCCAAGGGGCGTGGCCAGGGGGTCACCAGAGGCTTGTTTGTCAACATGTCCTATTAACCCTTAAGTTTTCTTAGCTTTATGGTCGAAATGATTGGTCTAGTTTTGAACCAAGACAAATGTTGTCTTCCTGGTTTACTTAAATGAAATATTGCGTCACGTGAAACTAAAGAAAATGACAATGAAGCAGGGTGGCCGCATGTCCAGGTTGGTGGGTCCTAGTTTCACCGCAACTAACCTCCCCTTTTTTCATTACTTCTCTTTTTGTTATTGCTCACAAGGCATCATACACAAATACAATGAAAGTAATAGATGCACCACGACTCAGCGAAGTGTATCTGACATACCGTCAAGTAGTATTTCTCACAACAGCGGCCATCAAACTATTTACTGTCGTTTCGTCAATTGTCTCAAGTGGGGAAGGTTGTCGCTCTTTTGTAGTTTGATTTAATTCCAATTTTTTTAAAGTTAAAAACACTACAATTAGATATCGATACAAAATAGGCGATTCGAATAATGTTGATGCTTCGGCAAGTAGGCTATTCAAATTGACGTAAACGCCTGTGAATGCCTAAATAGATAGATAAATAAATAAATGATTAAAAGAACTTTTATTTGTGGTCGTAGCTGGAATATAACCAGCTACGACCACAAATAAAAGTTCTTTATTTGTGGTCGTAGCTGGAATATAACCAGCAGCACAGGGGCGGATCCAGGATTATTTGAAGGGGGAGTCCGCGGATAAGAAGCACCCCCCCTTTGGCGTTTGGTAAAGGTAAATTTTTGGTAGTGGACGAACGGTGCTATTTGGTACGGTTTAGAACTATGATTCAGCTAGTCAAAATTCAATTTTCAAGATTAGAACATTGGTGTGATTTTTTTTCCAGAAATCAAAGGGGAGGGTCAGGATCCCTCTCCCCCCCCCCTAAATCCACCACTGATTGCAGGCTTTCGTACTTAAAAAACAGAATAAACAGTAGGCAAAGACCATTTTCTAATATATCATTTTCGGGAAAAGGTGTTAAAATGGCCATGTAATCGTTGTTGTCTCCTTTGGAAGAAGTAGTATATTTCAACAAAAAGTGGACCTCAGTTGTATCTAAATGTACTGTAAATATTTTGACAGTGAACATTTGTGAACAGTTTTAGCCAAAACATCTCACCCAAAATGGGCCAAATCTGTTAAAATTTGCATAACAAAAGTTGCCCGTCGTAGTGCAAGCTGAATACTCACTCTGCAGTTGGGCACAGTTGAGTGAAGACGCAACATTATGTGTGGTGAATTCACAAGTTTCAGCTTTTATAAGACGCAGAAGCAAGTATATGGTAAGTAGCGCTACTTCTTCAATAACCTCCCTCAATAAAACACAAATGCAACCGAATGAGAGAAAATTTATTTTAGATATTAGCAGTGCAATTTGTTGTAATATTATGCCCATCGTTACTTGTACCGTGTGTCACTCACAATGTAAGAATATATTGGTTACAATGCTTTGGAACAACAAACGTACAGGAGAAATGGTGCTATCAGCTGACCGTTGATGAAACAATAAGTTCGTTGAAATCTTTCAAACTAGCTATATTTAGTTCTGCACGTGTGGAATTTTCTGTATGACCCCTGACAATTAAGAGCGCATGTGTGTATTCGTGTAAATATAAACATAACTGCACAAAAAGACTGATTAATTTAGATAATATTACTTGTCATAGTTCTGAGTTTTTGATACAAGAAGTCTGCTCTAGCAAGGTGAACATAAATTTAAAGTCAAATTTAATCAACGTTTAATCAACAACGTCGCTTTTGAAGACAATTACGATGATTTTCAGCGATTTCTTTTGGGTTACATTTATGTACTGTAATGGATTGATTATTTCACCTGGGAAAAATTAACAATTTTTAAAATACATCATTTGATCATCATTATTACTACTACAAGAATAAGGGTCCGCATAACTTTTAAAGTTCTCTTACTTGTTTCAGATTACACTTGGGTAAATCCATTTATGCTTAAGATTCCCATGCTGTCAAAGATCTTTTTGTAAGGTAAGTGTTTTTAATATAATACAACACACGTTCACGCTCATAAAGCGATTGTTTACAAGTGAGTTTTGCGCAGGTCGACTACTGTCTCCAGTGTACCGTATTCTGTCCCTCCATTACACGACCAACTACATGTATATTAAAACTTGATTGTACTTCAATCTAGTTACGTGTAATTTATTTCATATATCCTTAAAAGAAAATGTTCAAATAAGATGTTTTGCGCTTCTCTAGAATAAGTCAAAATGATCTCAGTCTGTCAGTTGAATCAAAATTTGTATGCGTTATTTTGTCATTTCAGACGCCCACGGAGAAACTGTGCAACATGGGTCTGCAAGCAACAAGGTCTTTGGTTGACATATATCATGCTCAATTCCATCTCTTATATCAAATCCGAATAAATATTTCTATAATTCCTCGTTATTTTTTCATATTGATATAAAATACACAGTTCAGCAATATTAATGTGGGAAAGGGAAAGATTACATAGATGTGACAACTGTCTCAAATTCAATCTGGAAACATTGTGTAATTTTATCTTGGGAATGATGGTTTTCCATAAAACCTGGGGTATTTAAAATTGAAATGGTTTAAAGCTTTGTAATGATGCACAGTATTTTGTAAACAAAAACTTGGACATTAAAGCTCTAACCCGCTGAAAGAATATCTAAATTTCAATATGAAGTATAAATTTACAATCTTGCTATCTATTCATAAGCTTTTGATTTGTTTGTAGCAACATGCATGTCACCCCTCAAATGGAATGGGATCATCCCATCTGTCACAACTCGAATGTAATGGAATCGCCCCACCTGTCTCCCCTTGAGTGAAGTGAAATCGTCCCACCTGTCACCCCTCAAATGGAATGAAATCAGCCTACCTGTCACCCCTCAAATGAAGTGAACTCGCCCCACTTGACACCCCTTAAATGGAATGAACTTGCCCCACCTGTCACCCCTGCAATGGAATGGAATCGCCCCACCTGCTCCCCTCACCTGGAATGAACTCGCCCNCCTGACACCCCTTAAATGGAATGAACTCGTCTTACCTGTCACCCCTCAAATGGAATGGAATCGCCCCACCTGCCTCCCCTCACCTTGAATGAACTCGCCACACCTGTCACCCCTTAAATGAAGTGAACTCGCCCCACCTGACACCCCTTAAATGGAATGAACTCGTCCTACCTGTCACCCCTCAAATGGAATGGAATCGGCCCACCTGTCATCCCTAAAATAGAATAGAATGGTCCCACCTGTCGCCCCTCAAATAGAATGGAATTGTCCCCACCTTTCACTCCTCAAATTTGATAGAATCGCCCAAAGACGATGCGTTTTTTTTTCTCTCACTCATATCAGAGCAGTCATACGAGTATCATTCATTTCAATCTACAAGTAAGGACCAAATTTTCAATGTATTTATTCTATTTTTATATTATATAATTATATGACATCTTTAATAACAGAAAACCACGAAGAACAAATTAAATATTTACTGGGGGACTCGTGTGCTCAAATAATAAAAGATAATGAGGAAATAGAAAAGAACAGGACTGGACTCATTGGACAAAAAATAGGCCGACAGGCGATATTAACCGTTTAAATTTGACGGAAATAATAAATCTGAAAATTGGCAGCTGCAGAATTTACTCATATTAATAATTCGCGCCATTTTAATGAAACTACTTTGTGTTAATTTCAAATTTTTCATTTACAAAATTTGAAAGCACTTTTAGATTTAATCTGAAGAACAAAAAATGGTTTCCAAATAGAGTATAGTATAGGTTCTAAAATCTGGTACATGTCAATTTAACTTTAATACTGTGTATTTTAGATTGAATCAAAAACTACCCCCAAAAAGCGCATTTATTTTCATAAATTGTTTGCCGTTCACAAATGTAAATATTAACAATAAAAAATGACTTATACAATGCAAATTATAATTATATAGGGTAGTTGATTGGCTAATAAACAATCTTACCCAAGCTTCAACATCGTGAAAATTGCGTTTTACTCTCAACTTTGCATACTCTCTGAAAATAACATGTCATTTTAAACACTTAAATAATTGCACTATTGCATAACGAGATAAATTTTAAAAAAAGCTGGATTGGTTCTAAATAAAATGATGTACATAGCATGCCCTAAGGTATAATTTTAAACATATCATGATCAGTCCCTTGGGAATATATATAAAACAAAAAGGATCGATTTCTAAGTATAAGTTCTAAAGGGAACACAATCGATCACAATGCTCCGTTTCAATATGTTAAAAAGTGTTTAAAAATCAGAGAGAGAGAGAGAGAGAGAGAGAGAGAGAGAGGGAGAGAGAGAGGGAGAGAGACTATGTACAATTTTCAACATATAGCAGCTGCGGTGCGAATGGATCTGGATCTGCGGCAGGTTTTAAAATACATCTCGGAGACCAGGAAAGCTTTAGTCAGGTGCACATGCACTCTGCAGGATCTCGGCAAAGGCGTTTGCAGTTCTGAAATATCAGAATAACAATAAGATGATGATATTTCAATCTTCGAAAGAAGAGAATCCGAATAAAGATTAGAAAATGGAAAAACTGCTCATGCCCCCCAAAAAATCACATTTAGGCTAACTAAACAACTTGAAAAGTTGACTAAACGGGGTTTGTATGCTAAATTTTTAAAAAGTTGATATTTCTGATTCACGATGAGAAGAATCACAAGAAATAATACGGCCAATACTTTTGAAAAGCTTTTACCAGGTAAAGGGACCATTCCCAGACCCTACCGTACTAACTGTGGATCGATCTATATCTGAGAAGGTTCACATTAATATATCAAGTACATGTACTATGGAAGTGTTTAAAATACGAAATATGTTCAGGTGGCCTAATTACATACAGTGAGTGACACTGAAGTGACATTGGGCACTAAAAATAAAACAATCTAATATAACTATTATATTTGTATTTTTACTGGCAGTACGTGCTTTTCAAGATATTTAAAGATTTCACTATGGAACTTTTCTCAAATCCAGTCAACTACTCAGCCCAATTTAAAGTTTAGAACGAGTAAAATAATAAGAAAGTATTATCTGGTAGTTTGAACTCGTAAAAAACATGAAAAGCTTTTACTCACATGACAAATTTGTTACAATTTACGAAGCTGAATAAAAAATTCCGGCTCTGCGACTTCATCACACATATCAACGTCTTGTCCTCACAGTGTGCAGCTGTCAAGTGACCAGCCAAGAAGACACGAGTAGTGCGCACTACGCTGAGCGACTTACTGTTATGCAAATTACAGCGGGTTCGGCACATTCTGATTGAGGGGTTGCTGTTGAAATCATTTTCATTTGAATTATAGTCTGGTTTATTTGAAGGGGTGAGGTCCGGAACGACAGACCTCGGATGCGAAGCCGACCATCCATCCCTTGGTGTGGGGTTCGGGGCCTGCCCAAGTTGTGGTGATTTGGAGAGCAAACAGTGCCCTTTGCTACGGTTTAGAACTATGATTTATCTAGTCAAAATTCTAATTTCAAGAGGAGAATATTGGTATTGGTGTCAGGACCCCCTGCCCCCCCCCCCCTCTAAATCCGCCACTGCAGCACTGAGATGTACAAGGCTGAAGGACATCAAGCAAAGCAATGTTCACTAACAAGAGACAGAGATTGTTTCACTTATAGATTCACAAATATAGAGTGCGCGTTTTTTTACTGGGAGATTTTTTGCACAAAGATAATGTGATCACCCTGCCGGCCTCTGGGGCCTACTTGATCTGTTGGTTTTGTCCTTTTTTGGTTTACAAACTTATTGATATTCAATGTCTAATTACCTATCTAAATATATGGAGTTATCTACTAATAAGCTACCTGTAACTACGAAATAGTCTTTGATATTGTATTACAACTATTTGACATGACAGGAAATGTATTATGATGTTATAGGAAATGTATGGATTGTTTTTCTTAACTGTTGATTTAGAAACAATTTCATCGGGTTATTTTAAAAGGAACATCATTCAGAACAGAAATGATTTCCTCTACTTTCAAATGTTTTATCTTACAAAATTTTATTTGCTTTGATTTCAAGGGGCTTTAATAACTAAATTACTCCATCACCATAAGCGTGATAGAATTTTCAAACCTATCTCGTTTGACAAAAAACATCTTGTTGTGCATATACTAAATAAAACGAAAGCATTTCAAGATATTCTGTAATAATCAGAAGTTATTCTATTCATGAACAATTCTATTTACAGTTATGCACCTTTGTTTTAAAAATATTACAAATCTACTGTATCTTCTAAAACACGCTTCGGGGAAAACGTGTTTTTCCTGAATAAAATATGCAAGAGAAAAATATCGCGAAAAGGGACAGTAGTAGTATTTACTTATTAACGTGACATGTGATATAGATATACAAATCACCCGGCCTCATGGGCCTATAAGTCACCGAACTTTGTAAATTTTGGTACCTGTAACCTTATGGTCCACTGCACGCTTCTCGTCTTTTTTTAACAAGACCACACTTTAACGCTACCTGGAGACATCTGCTCAATTCTTTTTTTTTATTTAGGGAAAATGGCTTGTTTTAAAATCTACTTCGTGCCGTTACAGTATTTACCCCATTTAATGTATAAATGCAAATAAGCTTAATTTTAACAGCTCAAGGGGCTTCAAGGGGACCGACCTCGAAAGAATTTGTCGAGTAGATTGAGAATTCTGACATTTTCTCTTTTATACCGTCTCCACTAAGATTATACGTGTGCACGTAGTAACTGCATATCTTGGCTCTTTTTTTTCGTCCTAAATGTGTCCATAAAACATAGCACAGCTGTTGAACGTATTTATGTCCCAATTTGGTGTGCATCGTAAAGCTAACAAAATAGGAGCATAAGTTTATCTTTTAGAGTTTTATTCCTGAATGATGAAGTTTTAGGTATGTTTTCTGTAATGGAAACAGGAAAAGTGGGGGGAGAGACCTACAGACAACAAAAGGCAGTTTTTGAACTTCAAAATATTTACTGAAGCTCCTCCAAGCAATGTACAAAATGGTAAAGGCTTTTTATTAAATGTATGCCTTACATTACAAAAACTAAACAGCAGCAACTAAAGACTGTCATGGGCTGTGATACTCGACATAATTAAAAGATAAAAAAAGAAGAAAAATCTTCAAAATATCAGATTAACACAAGCAGATTTTGGGAATCATGGTCAACATTACCTCAGCTGACTTACACAATAGATTGAATTCAAAACTATGTCTACATAGGGAAATTGTTCATATATGACACATCTTATTAAGACACTGGATCTACAACAAAATTTAATGTACACAAGATACATTAAGAAATCTTGTTCACATCTTCCCCTTCTCCCTGGGCATCTGGAGTATTGGGAATCTTCAAACCTATGATAATGAAATGATCTGACCATTTCTCAGAGGGAGAAAACATGTAACATTTGGCAACATACAACGGTTGATATATTCATATATATATAATACATAACACACTGAAGCCCCAGAAACCACAAATTTAAAGCTTTTAGCCTGTTCATCTAAGCTTCATTCTTTCATTTGTAAGTCTTTTAAGATGCCATCTTTTCAATTGGCAAATGACAGCAAAGTCTTAAGACTAATATTTCAAGCTTTAGCACAGATGATAACAATACATTAAAAAAAATCTACATACATACATCTATACTCATTAAACTAATTTCATACCCTACACAAGTTAATAAATCTTAAAGTTTTGGATAAGCACTTCAAAATTTTGCACAATGCCATTCAATATGGATATATGATCTGTTTGAATTAATAACTTCTACTCCATTCAAATATGACTGTACAAGCGAAAGGCTAAGCCTGGCCAAGTAACCAAGTACATTCCTCTGTATTAAATGGTGGAAGTCTCTCTCAGCTGTTAAAAGTTGCTGTAAGATGATATGAGGGTCTTGAAAAGGGCACACTCTTCCATTCTCTGTCTCTGCAGGCAGCTAGCACTAGCTCTATTTACACGCTGCAATCATAAGCAACAAAAATACACTAAAAACACAATAATAATAATAAACGAGACAAGTTCTACAAATCCCAAGTACTAAATGATATAAAGACTATTCCAATAAAATCTTTTAGGCAAGTTAACTCTTTGGATAAAATATAATTTTCAACATAAAAAAGAAGCTGTCATTAATAAGAATATAAGATTAAAGTCAAAAGACGATCCAAAAAAATGCTAAATTGAATAGATCTCCCTGAATCTACCAAAATGCAAAAAAACTGGTTGATTGTGTGTTCTACATAAAACTTTTTGAAATTCTTAATTTCAGAGTTTCATACTTAAAGACTGAGAAGAGTCCTCCACTTTTTCTATTCTTTTCCTGGGTTTACAAGAAATAATGGGTGCTGTCTCCGTGATATAATTACACCACACATTCATACATATCTTTGGTTACATATATATGTGTTATATACATTTGGAGTGTGACGCTAGTGCTAGCTCATTTTCTATGAAGTGATAAAAAAAGTGGTGCACTCTTCACAGTCGTCAACTTCAACGTAGCCTTAATTCTAGAATCCACTGTAAATATGGCAAGGTATCGTTATAACTAACTTTCTATTACTATAATGAAGCTGTTAAATCTGAAAAGATAGACCAGGAATGTCTCCATACAGGTGCTTGAAGACTGCAACATCAAAGAGATAGACACAACACACTCAGCTTCAAAACTGCAGTTTGTAAAAATCAATGGCAGTGAGTCATTGTGAAGTGGCCGCTCTCAGAGTTAGACAAGGTGGTGAGCAGTCTATCTCAGCCACTGTGATGAGAAAAGTGAAGAACAGGACACACAGTGTTTAGTTTCAATTCCTTTCTTGTCCTTCTTCTTAGCATTTGAGTGCTCTAATTCCTTGAGCTTCGGTGGTACTGGAACACCCAAGATATATGGTCAATTGACTCCCAGCTCCATAGAAATCTTTTTTCCCCTTTTTTCACCAGTGCATTACACAAATTGCACTGAACTGAGATATAAAAAAAAAAAAAAAAAAAAAGAAGCACACTGCATGATTGAACACATTACTTTCTTCTTCTTGTCAAGCATGGGTTCAAATCATTTGCACACACAAAGCTAATTTCTAAGGCAGAATAGTCTGTCAATCAAGGCAGAATTGATGAGTCGCAGCAAAGACACACACTCAAGAATGTTTATCAACAAGTGTGATGTGTGTGTACAGTTAATTTTTTTTTCTATTACTTTTTCTTCAGTGTGAAGAGACTGCGACGTTTGGATTCGTCCTTCTTTTCTCTGCCTGGAGACTGACTGCCTTTGGCTGGCAAGGTTTGAGACCGAGCCTCTGAGGGTTGTGTCCCTGTCACTGCACACAGCTTCTGGACCCATGTGTTCAGCTCATCCTGAAATGTAGAAATCTCTGGGTTAAGATGTGCTAGTATTGTACCACAGCCTAAACTGTTAAGTCTTTTAACACACACAGCATGGATGTGTTTTCTTCAAGAGTGTTTTTGTATCCCTCCCCTCTCACTCATACACCTTACCCCATTATGACAGTGGAACAGATATATTCCGCTCATAGCATTTAGAGTATTAACTAGAACAGCTGGTATAGATTCCTCTATTGAATTATATCTATGTATTTCCTCTCTCTCTCTCTCTCTCTCTCTCTCTCATCAACTTACATCATTATGGCACTGGAACAAGTAAATTCCTCCATTGCCCATCTTCATCCTAAACACATGGGAACGTTTGTGGTAATCAGAGGCCACCTCAGCAATGGAGCCCTCTAGGGAAAGGGGTTGTTCATGGTGGATATAAGCAGTTGGGTTCTGAAATGTGAAAAGATATAGATTTGAGGTGTTGGAGTAAAATTCTGAAACCAGGTAAAATTCATATCATATTGAACTTTTTTTTATTTCACATCTAAAGAATGTAATATTCATAATTTGCATTCAGTAATAATTTCATATGTAAAAGTTTTATCACCCACACATTAATTCTTTACTAACATAATTATATGGTTAAAAGTGGGGATATTCAAAGAACAGAGGGTCCAGTAACTCCTGTACAATAAGACATGTCACACTCACTGCTTGATAGTGTTTCTGGTCCTTGTAGAAGGCTAGGGCCTGCCCGTCCAGTACACAGTATACCTTGTCCCATGACCTGAAGTAGACCATATACAATTATATAGACTTGGTTGAAGCTGACATGTTTTGCAGACTGAAGAAGAGTGATGCAGACTGACACATAGATAAAAGGTTTCCTTTTTCTCTAATTGAACATAAAACCAGTGATAACATCATTTATTAAAAGTATGCGTGGTGATCTCACAGATAATGATAACAGTTTTATTCCATTAGGTATTAAATTATAATATTACAATGAATGGCAAGGTTGGACTTTGAGAAACTCTGGATTAAAATAAAAGTTATAATCTATGTTGACAGATAATACAAAGTGCTTGGTGTGTTAACAGATAAAAGTGGCAAAATTATGAAAAACCAAACATACTTGGCCTCCTGCATACCGCATTTTGAATTTCTACGAGAGCTATTTACCTATTAGAAGCTTTCTTTGTGGCACTTTCCCATTCATGTTTTCTAGTCAGGACTCCTTCCAGGTGTTCTTTTTGTTCTTGGCCTTCTGGTGCTGGCTCTGTAATATATCACACTGTGTATTAGTGGACATACTTTCTCTCTCTCTCTCTAATCTTTGAAATCAAATCAAGTACCAGTTTCACAAAGGAACCAAAGACCATTAGTTGGTCTTCATTTGTAATAGATATTAATCTATGTCAATCCAGGCCAAGTACTCCACAGTCCACTAAAATACAGTAACAGTTGGTCTACAACAAAAACCATGTCTTTCCTTTTATAAAACAGACAATATTTCGTTTTTATGGACTGATACTGTTCCCAATATGTATTGGCCCAAAGCAATACAAAAGTTTGGCCTTAAAGTGAAGACAACATTCTGTGTGAAGCACTGTTGTGAAACAGTCCTCAGCTCCATTAACATTCCTTCAAATGCTGAAAAAAAGTACAATATGAGGATATATCTATGAAGAAACATTTCCAATGCCAATATTTGATGAGCTCTTTCAAGGTCAGAAAAAAATCACATCGGGAGTGGTTCAGGTTGCTAAATAATGGGAAACTATCCATGCTTTTCTAATTACCACCTGTAAAAGATAATCTTGAAACAGTGACGAGAAAAGAAAACCCAATTGTTCTCTTTAACTTAAACCTAAACAGGCAATTCCAAACACAAACCAAACGCTTTTCTTTCAGAGAACTTAGGCCTTAAGCCATCCATCTTATATGTGTTCTGCCATCAATAACCTTTTTCTTTATAAGAGCATGTGATCATGTGTATGTTGGCCAACTATGTAGTCAACTTTGTTACTGAAGAGATGTCAGTATAAATGTAGCTGACAAACCATTCTGAGCCATTGTCACCTTTGTATACATCATTTTAAGACAATTACAAAAACAAAAAGTATAGTCAAAGGGTCGAAAGAAAGAGACAAGCTGACATAGAGATTATTTGTGAAATGCAACTTAGCCAGTTATCCATAGTAGTTTTCAGTAAGACTTTTTTAGAACTTAAATAGTTCTATGAAATTAGCCCATGGCTTTCCCCCATCTCCTGACACGATGAAGCTTGTTTCAGTCTGTATTAATACATCATACCTGTTCTTGGCTGCAAAGTGGCAGCCTTCTGCTTTGCCCTTTCTTCCGACTTGGAGCGCTTCTTGCCTTTACTAGGTTCTAAGAGATATCAAATCTATTTGTAAATCTTCTGTGTGTGCACATAACTATCTACCACCCCCTTGCAGGAAACCAGTGCGCCAGTAAGCAATTTTTTTTATAAATGTATTTATTGAAAAACTTGGGTGTTTTCTCCAAACAAGAACAAAAAGTACAAAAAAAAAAAAAAAAAGACAAAAAAATTTCCCGTAAGTTTAGATGATATGAAATTAAGGTACATACATTCTTTTCTTTTCTTGAAAAGAAAAAGTTACAGTTTATAACATGTTTATTTTTTATATAGCAAAGTATTCTTCAATGAATGTAAAAGTAAGAGTGTCACCCAAGTTTCCTAATAGCCACACTAATAGAATAAGCTTGATACTGAATGGATTAAAGACAGCATGACACAACCTCAAATTCAATAAAATTCTTAAATACCAACTTTATCTCGCACTTGATGAAAATCATAATATTTTAATGGAAACAATATATTTACCCAATTCTTTTAAAATTGAGAATGTGTCTATGAGTAGTCTTAATCCATCAGGATATAAAGCTTCCCAATCTTCAGAATCAATGAAAAGCACTGTGTCCCCTATTTCCAGCAGATCTGAAGTCCCTGGTGTCCAGCACCATCACTTACCTTCTACCAAGCAAAGCCACCCACAGCCAAGCAGTCTAAATTTTGCCATTTTGATCAAAGCAAAATCAAGAGTATCTTAAAATTCTATTTGAAAGGCCATCTGATTGAGTTCATGATCAAAGGCTGCAAGTGCCTCCTACTGTGTAAAGAGAGCCCATACACCCTTGTCCTTTGTTGTCCTTAAAGCAGTTTTACCAACTTGCCTTTTTTAACACAAAATCCTCAGCAATGCACAGATGAAGATGATACTTAGGTTTGGAAGATTGCATAATCTGATCTTAACTTTGATTTGCAAATTTCAAAAGTAGCTCCAGCTCAAAGATGTGAAGAGAAAGAAGTTACAACACACATATAAGAATAAACCTGTGAGCTAAGGGCCAAATCCACCTGAATCACCCAGAATAAAAAAAAAAAAAANAAAACTGCCCTCCACTTATCGTGTTTACAAGGAAAGTGCACGGCGCCGACGGCGACGGCGACGCCGACGACGACAGACGCAGGTGATGGCAATATGTACAGACACATCTGTGTCTGTACATAAAAAGAATCTGAAATGGCTTATGTCCCAGACGGCAAAGCATGCAGTTCACTGATTAGACTTCTGATCGTAATCAAGGATCAAAGCTTTCCCCAAATCTCTTTAAGGATAACTCCTCAAAATCAATTGATAATATATACCCATATATATTAAAGCTGCCATGTACCCGCTTGTGCTATATCATATTTGGTGCTCCTTATCACTTTGTAACCAAGCTTCAGTAATCAACTGATGCTCCTAATCATTCAGAGCCCACGTTTCATATACGAAGCAGAGCTTGTAGCAGTTAATGATCAAGGAAAGCTATATACATTTAGCTTGTGCAAAATGTTTCTTAAAACAATAGTGATTGTAGTGCTCAATATTTGCTATTTCCAATTGCAGCAAAGTTATTTCAACACTTTGAGATACATCTACACAAAAATGTTTTGTGATTTTAACTTAAACATCTTTAACTTTTATGTCCATCTAACTCTGACAGAACCTCAGAAGAATCATTTAACCTATTTACATAAATAAAAATCATAGTGCCCTTTCCAAGTCAACAACATCAAAACACAACATTCTATCACCAGGGAAAACAACAATAATATAATATACATTTATATATATACACATGTATAAATCATGATCACTCACTTTGTTCCTCCTTAGAAGGTTCGCCCACCTCGCCCTCTGGTGGCGTGGTTTCCAAAACAGTCAGCTGTTGGCGTTGTTCTATCACAATAATACACCAAGAAAACATTTAACACATAGGTCTCAAGGATCATAAGAAATAGCGACACAGGTAATGGTAGATGTAGTAATAAAAGTTCTAGTAGTAGTAGTACAAGTAGAAGACATAGCAGAAAAAAACAGAGAAAGGGTTGTTGATACCACCATGAGGACATTTAGCTGCTGTCTGTATCTTGTTTTAATGCAGATATATTTCAGCCGGTTGCTGGCATATTTTTCAGCCCACTGTTAAGTCAAAAAATAAGTCCAATTTCAACCTGCTGTCAGTCAAATGCTGGCATAACTTGAGACTATTATCAGACAAATTTTGGTATAATTTCAGCCATTTGTCAGTAAAACAAAAGCATAATTTCAGTGTACTGTCATTCATGTGTTGGCATAAATTCCACATACCATCAGTCAAATGTTGAAATGCATTCAGCCTAATGTAGCTCTAATGTTAGCATAATTTTAGCATAAAACAAGTAGAATATGTTCAACTTATCCAAAATTTTTATTTGTCTCACATGGTGCCTGTACATCCATAACCAAATTGTATACAAGAATATAAGGTGATGTTCAGTTACTACCAAATGTTGGCAGTTATTATCTATGCAAAATTTGGAATTTTCTTGGAAGAAACTTTTGTCAGTCTTTTCCAAGCAAATGATGTCAAATGTATCATGGTGATATGCAGACAAAGAGAAGTCAACAGGCAGTTTAGGACAGTGCCCCAACATATCAGCAACAGGCTCTTGGTAAGAAAAAGAAGCAGAAAAGACAGGAGGAAGCTGAGGAAAAAGCATAATGCAAAGCTTTTCAGATACACTTGTGGCCTAGCACTAATCAAGAAAAAAAGGATCTTCCATCTTACTATACTGAGTAAGCCCTTCCCTTCCCCACTAAAGAAATATTTTACTAAAATATCTCACTATGTAAAGATGGTACTAAGTTTATGAAGATTGTCAAACATCATTGTTGTAAGTACAGGCATAGCATCAAAAATGTGAATATGCTACAAGGACGCTATATTAATCAAGATTGCTCTGTAAAACTATTGTCTGTTATGGAACATTCTGCAGACATGAGCCTAGTTTTTACAAAAAACCTCAATACATTTATTATGGGACCAAACACCTAACCCAAATAAATTTTGGAGTTTTATGTACTTTAAAGTCACTTAAACAATGCAGAATTCTGCGATTCTGTGGAAAAAGCTCCCATCCGGTTTTGTATATTACACCAATTTATCTTTTGCAAGATAATTTGGTTTTAGAGTTACTGTTTTTAAATTTTAGTTTCAGGACATATTTCAAAAACTTGTTCAGAAAACTTTGCATATCAACGTAAACTTTACTTTCATATTCCCAGTTTATGAATGCCAATTCTTTGGTATATCAAAATATTTTCATCTCCCCAATATGGTAACCCCAGTCACAGTTGGTGTATCTGAACATGCTTCTTGTGCGTCCACCATGCAGCTGTATTGATACATACCTTGCAAAGCTATCTGGCATATATATGCCCCATGCTTTGATGATAAGCTTAAGCCTTGGGCCAAAAGCAGTCTCCAGAATAAAAAAAATACTAACATAACTGATCCATTATACACTCTCATTCATCATCAACATCATCATCATCATCATCAGTATTGGTACAACCATCATCACTATATCAATATAAACCACCAGCATACCAGTAGACTAAAAGCTGTCATATTGGTAATGAACACACACCTTGCTATATGCATATCATTGTATCAAATACTTCAGATCTATAATTAATGACACTCTGAAAGATTTACCCAAACCAAAATGCAAGTCAAAGTCCTTGTCCCCGAGCACAGAAATGGAAATGTTGTTCTTTTTATAGCCAGTTTTATTTAGGGTATAATGATATTAACTAAGAAAACAAGGAGTAGGTTAGGGAATGGGGGAACAAGTATAGAAAGTCTGTTAATAAGGGAAAAACAAGCCCCAGATAGTGAAAAGATAAAAACCTGATAAATCCCAAATTAATGCACTGTCCAGTTTCAAACAGTTGTGACAAAATAACAGGGTCAGTATTAAATATATGCAGTGGCATAAAATAAAAGAAATCAAACATCATTTTGAAAAAAAAAAAAAAAAAAAAAAATCAAAACATGACCAAGGCATTCTGAAAATCCATTTCTCACTTGCAGTCTAGCAGATTTCTTTAAAACCCTTTTAATTTTTAAAATAAAATATTAAGAACAAATCTCAATGAAATGTGTTTTCAATGACAGAAATATAACATACAATGTATGGAGAGGTAGTTGTTGGAACATTTCCCTACGTCAGAGATATTCTACTTAAGTTTTTTGTCACAAAAATTAAGATATATCGATTATAATGAAATCTACTAGAAGTGTTTTTATCATTATCACCTGGTGGTGTTCTTGTGAGGCCTTTGATATACACTGCAGGCTTGCCAGGGGATCCTATGTAGTAACAAAGAGTGTTTCATCATTGCTTGCACAGCCACTTAACAGGTTCTGGGTTAATTCATTTACCATACTCATACAGGTGGCAGTCTCTATAACCACAGTTAGTAAAAGCAGGTCGTTGCCGTGCTATGAACAGAACTGGGTCATTGCTATGGTTACCAACTGTGACCCACCCACCATGGCAGGTGTGTGTAGAGATACAGAACTGAAGGGCTTCGTGGAGGTCATGCTCACACTATACTCACAATTTTCCTCACAAGAAACTACTTGGCTGCTGGGAACTAGGCTATGAAGATGCTCTAGTATTCCTGGCATGTACCCGTGGAGCTATTCTATACTCAATTTTTAATGCTCATTTTTTGTCCTAACACAAAATCTGTAGGTAAAATGAGAGAGGGGTAGGTATCCATAGAATACTGTTTGATGCAAAGTCTATATCAGATCACTTTTTTATAAGTTTTTTTAAACAGATTACATGCTACTGTGGAAGATTTAATGAAATTCAGCACAGAATTGCTCCTAGGATGCATGCCAGATTTTGAGAAAAGATTGGAAACATCACCATATAGATAATCATAATTTATCAGTCTTACCTTGATTTGACATGCTATTAGTGCAAGATGTCTAAATATATTTGCGTAGCATACATATGTGTATACTATTCCGTCACTACATAAAGACATTCAATGCAGCTATTAAGACCTAAACCATAATATCTGCTACTTGTATGTAGACTGTATACAGTGACCAGAAGCCCCTTTCAGCAGAGTGGGGAAAGATCTGAGAAGAGCAGACAGGATGCATTGCACATTCTTGAAAGCAGCTTGAATTCTGAGTACATGAATACATAATGGCAAACAATGGCAAGTGATCATTAGAAATAAAATAAAGATAAACACTATCAACACTGAGTTGATCTCCAAATAATCCAAATAACACCACTGGATAAGTGTAAAAAAGAAAAAAATCAAACAATAGCAACATGACAAGTACAGGTATACATTTATTCTACTTGATAAAAAAATTGTGAACTTGCTCTCTAATCTAAAATATACTGTGAAGTGTGTGAGACATCGATATCTAGTGCACGTTACTTAAAACACCACAACACTTCTCCACACAAAGGACCAACCTGGCTCTGGTTCTTTCTCTCCATTTATCACTGGCTGGGCATCCCCAGAGGCAGGTTCTTTCTCTACAACTGGCGCAACCTCAATCTGGACCTCAGGTTCTGGTCTATAACACAGGATGATTACAATAATGATAATAGTAGACACTACCATTTGATGCTATTCTGAGACACAGTGATAATCTATATCAACAGCTTTAATTTCGACCTCAGGTTCTGGTCTTAAACACAATAAAATGCAACAGCAATAAAATGTGACTCTGGCACAAAGTGACAATGAATATTAAGTGCTTTGATTCAAAAGTTGACAGTTTGGATATTTGAGTTTCAACATAAATAGTAAGAAAAAAAGATTTATTAAAAAAATTAACATACAAAAAAAAGTTCAATAATGACAATGACATCTTGACTTTACGTGGTGACACATTTTAAAAAGACACTAGCAGTGATCCGAAACAAAGACTCACTCTGGAGGAGGTGCAAATTCCTCCATATATTTCTGCCGAATTGATGGTTTCTCCGGAGGTACTTCTTCAGGATGTTGGCGGCGATATTCCTCCTCTTCTCGCCTTTGCCTTTCTTTGATTTCAAACTGTAATGATAAAAACAACTCAATAATGAGGAATCTTCATATAAAGGTTAACAAACTCTCATTCAAATGTCAACAAATGCCAGCAATTCAACTTTATGACAATCTTAGCAAATACTGTTAAAATATTGTCCACAAATGTGTATTGTCAACAACATATTAAATGATCTAAATAATTTTAATAAATGTAAGATTTATTGTTTTTAAGTTATTATTTTATAGATAATTGCACATTTATTAAAAATATCAGACTTATAACAAGACAGAAGTGTCAAGAAGCAGTGTCTAGCACACAGCTACGACTCCCAAATTCTACCAAATATTAAAATACAATACCAGTTTTTATTTAAAAAGTAGATGTAGTTAAAATAAAGATTCTGTTATGTAATTCTACTATTTACTAATGTCACCTACAGAAATATAAAGTTCATCTACATATTTAAGAAAAAATCTGTTGGGATTCTAAAAAAAACCCTGATAAATTAAAATCATTTGGTGGTCGTACCTTTCTGAGAAATGAAGACAATGTTAATATATTATATATATAAGTATTAATATATAATATAACATAATCTAATATTTTAAGATAGTCAAAGCCACACCTTGTAGCACTTACAAAAAAAATTACAATGAATATACAGGTACATCATTATAAGGCACATAAAATGGTTTATAGACAAAAAAATGTTGGCCCATTTTTAAACTAAATAAATAAATAAATGAAAAAATAAATAAGCAAGAAAAATGAAAGCATATTTTTGGCATTATGAATAATTTTGAGTGACAATATACATTGAAATAATCAGTTCCTGTAATAGTAAGAAAAGCTATAGAAGCATTAGTATGTTATGGTATATATAAGTGAATACATTTCCCAATCCTCTACCACCATCATCAGCAGCATCAACAGTAGAATATATAAAGGCAGTGAAACATTGAAAACAGATGAAAAAACAGAGGCAGTTATGCCCCTTAACAGAAAAGAAGTAGGAAGAATTGTGAATATGCCTTGTGTATGATGCAAAAGAAATTCACCGAGTTGTCTTGTAATGATTCGCGACTACTATCCAAGTCACGGAAGATGTCTTTATACTTGCTGGCCAGCTGCTGTAGTGCTGGAGCCTCTGCCTCAGTGGCTCCCCCTACCTCTTCCTGACGCCTTTCAAGCTACGTGAAACACAGGGAAGAGAGGAATATATCAATCATGCTGATCATGCAGAGAAAGGGGCACTTTAGGTGAAATAGTCATGCTTGTCAATCAATAAAATTTATAGAAACCAAGAAAAAAATTAATATTTTCAGAATGGTAATGTCCACAAATAATCATTTTCATGAATAATCTTTTAAAACTATTATGTTTATGTTATTTAGAGAAAAGATTTATATGGATTAAATGGATGAGCCACACCACAAAGCTGTATTTTCAGCCCACCCCTCCCAATCCCTATAGGTGGCATGCCTGTCTGAAAGATCCAACCAGGGAGAGAAATAAAAAGCTGGGGCCATGCCAGGGATAAGCTAAATACATGGATTGTAAAGTTTGACAGCTGTAACAAAATGTCTTGATCTTTTTTTTAAAAACAGAGAGGGATATAAATGTATAATGTATTTAATGTATAGAGGACAGGATTAGAATCTCTGGAATCTAACAGTAGACTTGGAGGGTGCATTGAGGTAACACACAAGGAGGTGAGTAGGGAAAATACAGCTGCCAGGAAAGCTACAGGGAGGCATTTGCCACTTTTTAACATTGTCATTAGAGAAAGAAAAGTTAGCTGAAGAGAGAGAGAGAGAGAGAGAGAGAGAGAGAGAGAGAGAGAGAGAGTGAAGGACACAGCATTAGCAACTTAGGTATACATTTTTAAAATGCTTACTTTTTGGACAGAAACTAAAGCAAATATTCTGAAATTGACAAAAGGCTAGAAGCAGCTATTGATGACAGTAGTAGTAGTGTTATATAAGAGTAATCCCTCTGCCATTAGTGCTAAGGATTATCATTAAGATTGACATTGATAATATTGACGTTAAGGTAGTGGGCTGGTTAGTATCTCCCCGCCACCTGCAATTGAAGCTAGAAAGAAAGTAGATTATTACATCATCTGGCTCGTCCAGATTGGTTTCATAGGGTTCTTGGAGCTGGACTGCAGGGATAGTGAATTCAGCTGCAGCCTGTGCTCTCAGTTGTTCTTCTAATGACACTGACTGGTCGCCATCCTCCACAGAGGCTCTTTCCTCCTTCTCAAGCTGCCTGCGCTCGAGCTAGAAAACAAGTGCCATTAAGACATACTGAAGACACTCAACATTGCAAGTGCTGAAGACTTGATAGGGGTAGACTGACAACATGAGAATGGCTAGTATCAATGAAAAAAAGCAGAGGTGCACATCCTGTGACAAGCAAAAACACACCAAAATGATCCTTTTTTATCTACTGCACTCTCTGATTTACAAGCAAAGCAATTTCCACTTCAAATGTAAAACAAATATCAAAATTCAAACAAGACGTACTGTTGTGAGCCTCTCCAGTGCTGTGAAGCGATCTTCCTGGGCAGCAGCAGATTTCTCAAAGGCTTCGTGCTTCTTAATCAACTTCTCCACCTCATCTATGGTGCTCTGGAACAGAAACACAGCCATTCAGAACATTGTTCTCTGAATAATGTTTCATTTGGTCAGTTTATGTTCTAAAATTCACATGTATTTTCTTCTATCATCACTTCAGCATTTGTTCCGAGTAACAATTTGAACAACATCATCTTCATAATTTGTTGCTGACATTTTAATAAAAGCAGTATATCCCTTAAATATAAGTTTTTCTCATTCCCCTGTAACCACAGTTCAGCAGCACTCTGCAAATACATGGTATGTGAGAAATACTTACACCAAGGTCTGTAGTCTGTAGATATGGCTCTTGAGCAACAAGCCAGGCCTCAGCCACAGCAGCGTCTCTGGCAAACTGGTACACCTCAAGGACTGAAATAGCACACAGTTTAGTAAGTAATAGTTTAAATACAATGTAAATCTTTCCAGAAATTGAAATTGTATGCAACTCATTGTGCAAAATATCCAGAGAAAGTGGTTTCCTTGTCTTAACTATGAAATACGTATGAGTATAATCTAGTAAAAGGTAATCTTAAAGGTTGACAAATGGCAATTCTCCAACATTCTAAAGAATTTACAAAGTTAAATGTACTTGCATTTATATGAAAATGGTCATTTGTTCTAAATTAACTTCTTTAGTCTTAAAATATAGATGTTGTATATGAAAGCGCTGTTCACTTACTAAGTTGTAGGTATTCCCATCTCTCCTCCCACTTCTCCATCATCATGCCTCTCTGTGTGGTCAGCTGGATAAGTTTGTCACGCACCTAGCAAAAAGGAATAAAATGGTTGAATATCTAAGCAAAATAATGAGAATACTACAATTTACTCAATAAGATTTGCTTAAATTTTTAACATGGGAATATAATATTGTAACTTGTAGTATTAATGTCATTTCAAAGTATAATAAGCAAAAGGTCTTGTTTTTGGCAACAAGTCATTCTACCTTTTGTACACACTAAACTAGACATTTTTTTGCATTTTGTTTAGTTTCTCATCTTTATTATAGAGTTGCCTTCGTGTATTAGGTTATACCCAGTTTAGAGTAACTATTTCTCCTACCTCTTCTGATCTAAAGTGTCTCCTGGCCAGCAGATCTTTGCCCAGGTTGACACAGATGGTGAAGTTCTCATCCCTGGCGTCTACTTCAGCTTTCAGACTCTGGTGATTGTTCATCAACAGTTCCACTCCTGACACATCCCTGGGGGTAAAGTAAATAATAATTATTATAAATAAAGAGAAAAAATAAACAAATAAATAAATGATCATTTTATTGAAGAACATAAAGATCACTTTTTTTATTCCAACTTATTTCCAAACGCAACTTTTTACACAACTGCATCTAAGTTATACAATATAACTTCTGTGATATATAAACTAATTAAAACCCCTACGTACCTTGGTTTTTCTTGTGTATTCATCTGTCTGTTAATGTCATCCATCCACAACATGAGATCGCGGACCATGTTAAAGAAGCGGAACAGATCACTGATATCAATCAACTTATTCTTGCGTGCCTCCACCATCACCTGTAGATTCCTCCAGGCGTTCACCACCTCTGCCTCGCGATCTTGGATCTCTCTGGCCCTGTCCCCTGCGTAAGCGGCAAACAGCCTTGCTGCCTCCTCCTGCACTTGTTGCACCTGTGTCCCCAGGGTGATGAGGTCATGCTCAAAGTTGGCATGCTTTCTCTGCAGGGCAGCCACACTCTGAGCATCACGACCCAACTCGTCTGGGATAGAGTTCTGTTTCTCCTGAAGGTTTGAAAAATATAAAAGTCAATGACAGTCTTTTGTAATTCAAGTTATTTGACAAATATTTAGTCCTTTCAACAAAGTGAAATTGTTTATGTCCACCAAAGTTCTTTGCAATACCAGTAACTTGGCAAACATTCAGGTCAGCAAGCAATTATTGATTGGTGTGTTTATTTGTATATTAAAGAAATCCTTATCTAAACTAGCATACAATTATATAGAATATACAGGAGAGAAAGCAAATATTATAGTAATCTATTTCTGGACTTATAAGTCTGTCAAAGAGAACTAGTCATAGCAATCATCTATTGACAGTAAGCTTTACAGAAAAAAGTCCAGAACTGAATTAAGATTTCATTGTATAAATCATCTCAACTGCCATTTCTCATAACCTTTCTTCACTTACATAGATTCTCTCCAAGGTTTCCTTGCAGTCATTGAAGAACTTCCACAGCTCCCAAGAAGCCTGTAACATCTGTGTCCTGGTGTCAATGAGCTCCAGAAGATCTGCCCAGGCCTCATTCAGGCCATCCTTCCACTCGGCTATTGTGGCAGCGTCAGAGTGGCCCAGGGCTATCAGTTTGTCTGCCATGTCATTGGCTGCAGCCACGCGTTCCTCACCAATGCTCTGGGTGTCCCTGGCAAACTCCTTGAACCGGTCACGTAACATCTGTAAGATGTGGGAGAAATCAAAACAGTTAATATTAAAAGCAGTAGAAAGAAAAACAGTAGTTACTCTTTCACTTAACACAAATGAAAACATTCTGCCTAGTATACACACAGCCAGAAGCTTATTGCGACATGTGTGTAATCTTGACAAAGTCTGCACTATCCTGATATCTTAACTGCAAACCAATTCAACATAAATCACGTTTGGTAAACCATGGCAGCCACTTACAGTGACGTGTTCGTAATCCTGTCCAAGTTCATGCGACCCAGCGACCACTCTCCTCTCCTCTATCCACTGCTCTAGATCATCTACCTCTCTGTTCAACATGTACAGTTTCAGGCACTCGTCCAGCTTGCCTCTCCTCTCCTGGGCAAGGTCCTTCAGTCCAGCATAAAGTTTGTCCACCTGGGCCTGGCGGCGGGCAATCTGGTCACTATACAGAGACAACAAGAATATGCCTTTAAAAATCCACCTCACTTAAAATATATAAAACTTCATCTATAACCTTTTAATATTGTTTTAATAACCTTCTATACTATGATATCATGCAATACAAATGCTCTGGTATAATGTCATAATTATGATAACAATTATTATTACTGTCACTATTATCTGTTATATTTCATTACTTTTTTTCATTATCCTAGTTGCTATTATCATCATCATTATTAACATATGCATGATGCCTCATGTAGTAGGTACGTACCACTCTGGATGATTCTCATCCATGAGATTCCTGGCTCTCTCCCCAAGCTGCCTGACAGTCTCAGCATAGTCCTCTACAACATGCTCAGTGTGCTGGTGTTTCTTCATCATGTTCTGGGCCCCCACCTCATCCTTAGCACGGTCCTCAGACATCATGTACAGCTCCTGCTCTCCCATCCAGGCCTCAGCCTCTGCAGCATCGAAGTAGTACTGAAAATAGATAGGAAGACTGGTGTGTTCATACCTGTGTAAGTGACCAAAAACCTCCATTCTTTTAAAATAATGATACTCACATTCAGTAACTGTAACAAGGTGTATATTTATACAATTACTGCTGTATAATACAAAGTGAAAAGTACCTGAAAGGCCACAGACAACAAAAAAGTCAATCTGTGTCTTAAACCCATTTGAGGAGGTCCTCCAGGAAATAATTTTTTTCATCACTGCACTGATACTATACTAGATACTATCTCCACATAAATATGTCACACAGAACATGTTTTACAACATAGACACATCAAATTTTGAGTCTTGTTTATCCATCTTTGCAACATTATACTGTAACAAAGCCAAGAAAAATACCCATCCTTTTCCTAGTCATGACATTCATAACATTAAAAGCCTACCTGCTGTGCAACCTGTGACAGAAGTAGCCTGTTTTGCCTCTCGTCTACAGCTTCCTTCAGCTCTCCCCAGCGTCGTAACAGCATATCGATCTTTTCTTGGAAGAGTTCTGATTGTGGGTGTCCTTCATTGATCATCTCCTGGCCAGCGTCGCAAACTGCGTTGATTGTGTGCTCATGACGCTCCAGGTCTGATCTCAGAGTCTGTAAGTAGAAATAGCAGTAGACAGAGTGTACAAAGAAGATTTCACTGCATAACTAGATAGTTATAATGACAGTTTATTCAGTCAACATTATTATATTTCATAGCATTTGATAGAAAATTTTCATTTCTTTTTTTTTTTTTAACCCTTTTCATATTTAGTATATTTTGAACAGTGATGTTCATTATGGATATAAAAATGATGACTTCATACCTGGTTTTTCTTCATCAGTGTCTGTACACTGAGTAGGCTGTTGCCATAGTTTTCTGATGTTGCCAGTGGCATGCGTTCGTCTATCCACAACATTTCGTCCTCGACGTCACGCAGGAACTGATGCACTGCCTTCTGTTTCTCCAGCTGAGATCGCCTCTCCAGCAGTGGAGCCTGCAGCTGTACAAAACGCTCCTGGACAAGGGCTTTCTTCATCTCGATCTCTTCCACCTTGGCTGGATCTTTACTTCTCAGGATCTCTGCTTGTTTGTCCAGCTCTGACATCTGTTCTTCCTTGATTTTCATTTGACCTTCTAGCAGCTGATAAGGTAAAGATTTATAACAAACTTTATAAGTGAGCTATTTTAATTAAATCATTTCACAACTTGCAGATCATAAATTTTATTATACCTTTGAATACCAATGTACACTAAATTTTTTAACTACCAATGTAAGTTCAGCCTCACTCACATTTTGCTTCTGCATAAGCAAGTTAACCGTGGTTAGATCTTGCCCGAAATCGGCTGTGATGATCTGAGACTCCAGTGTATTGAGGTAGCCATCAATATCATCGCAGCTCTGTTCATACAGGACTTGGCGGTTGGCGTCGAAAAGTTTCTCTCCTTTCTCCTGTGTGGTCTTCTCCAGTTCTTCCCACTGAGCAGCCAAGCTCTGGAGACGAGGCTCTATCTGCTCTGCAGTGTCTGGCTTGTCTCTGATTAGCTCACCGCCAGCCTAGCAGGGACAAATCAGAGTTAATCATAGCCCTAATATATATTTTAGACTTATAATAACTACTAAGGCTTATGTCATGTAAATGTTTGCTTTATTTTATAATTATATAAATTTCAGGTAACAAAAGGTATGTACATAATGCTCCAGAACAAGCATGCATATCTGCACACTAAAGGAGTATAAAGTTATATTGCCCAGAAAGAAAATGGAAGAAGTATTCTACCTGTTGTAATTTGTGAAGCCTATCCTTGTTGGCAGCAATCTCTGCTTCAAAGGCCTGATGCCTCATGTATTTGCTGTGAATGTTCTTGGCATCACGGTAGGTCTCATCCTGTGCTGCAATCATCTTCTCCTCAAGCCACTCTCCAAGCTGAAACAAATATACATTAAAACTATACTATTCAGCTGGTAAGATTCAGTTAAGTTCACTACTTCCTTAGCACAGATGGTTTGCCTCCCTAACAGAGGTGGTTGCTGTATCAGTCTTCAACACTAAAAAATACTACTAAAGTAAGGTTTTTAGATGAGTCATTACTATCCAGAATCAAAAACGTCTTAAATATAAGACCAACTTTCAATCTTTAGTGCTGTAGTGCAGCAGGCCCCAGGACACAGAACTGATATGAAGTGGCTTACCTCATCACAGTCCTGCAGGAACTGCTGTAGTTGAAGTGAGTCCTTCAGTCTCTCCAGACCTTCATATGCACGCTGACGATTGGCATTGCGTCTGAAGTGGACAAAACATACTGCTGGTAAAAAGATTTTATAATAAGAAATATTTTTAATGAAGCCCTCTTCTACAATATTTCACACGAAACTTCATGCCTGTCACAAGCAAAAATGCAATCATACAAAATAACACGCAAACACTCACTCATACACACCCTTGTGCCACCAACAAATCAGTGTTCTCAGCCCTCTTAGTTATCTTATCTGCTGTGTGCACGCGCACGCTTGCACGCACACACACACTCCATGCATAGATACAAACAAACACATGCCCACCTCTCATCAATATTCTCTGCCTTCTTAGATATCTTGTCTGCTGCATAGTGGTTCTCATCATCCACCAGCCTCTCAGCAAACTGCAGGACCAGGTTGATCTTCTCATCATTGGCATCCATGGTGGTGATAAAGGCTTCATGCTGTTTGATCAGGTTCTCTGCTGCTTCCAATGATGTCTATAGTAGAGTAAATGAAGTCAAACAATGAGACGATATCACAACACAGAATATATTTTAAGATGAACTGCAGCCTGAATGTGTTCATGTCGAGTTTTATCATTGAAAATCTAAACTAATACCTACCTTTTATTATATTTTGTTGGATCTTTCATCAACTGCTAAATTAAACAGGTATATCCCAACTGTTAAATACATGTTTTTATAATCCTTATTTATCACCTATTATGACAATGATTTTCTAAAATGAAAAATAAAGTAGATAAACTCAAAACTCATAACTGCAGAAGATACCTTTCCTTCAGCTCTAATTTCCAGTCCTGCAATTATTTTAGTTGCTCGAAACTCCCTCGAGACCTTTCCTTCAAGTTTTGTTCTTTTTACCCACCCACCCACCCTCCCTTGTATAACATGCAACACATGCATTATGATGATGATATAAAAGCCTACTTCTAGTGAAACATCTTTTCCTTGTCAACAACTGAAACCATATTTTTCTTAAAATGTACAATAAAGTGTGCTCTAACTGTGTGGTTAGTAAATCATCCCTAAATAAAGATGAGGAAACTGCCTACTTAAGCAGGCAAAGTCACAACATTCATGCCATATGTGAGTTGACACACGCCAAACACTCTTATTGCACTACAGCAGGGAATGCACTGCTTCACTGTTTATAAGCATTGGGTATCTGATTTTTATGTTTTCAACAGATATGGGGAATTCTATCGCATGATCATGTACTGTGTAAAACTCAAATAAAAAAGCCAGAGTTATTTTAGAGGTTTTTTACTTGATGACTTTAAAGAGGGGAGAGAAGGGGGACATGCATATCAACCACAATTGTAAGACCTTTTTTCTTTTCCTTTTAAATAGAATGTAGTGACAGGGGAGAAGGGTAAATGTTGAAATGAAACATTTTTTAAAAGGACAATAATACTCCAAACCACAGACATTCTATTTTGTTACAGTAACTGTCATAACACTAATACAGGTATCCATTCACATTAGAATGTCACTGAACAATAATACAGATAGTTATTACAACAACACTACACAACCATATTCAGGCAATGGATCAATCAACTGATCAAGGATTTTAAGACTTCCAATACACTATCAATTATCAGTTGAATTCTTAAACATCTGTTCACATTTATCACATAGTTAGGAGTTAATAAAGACTATAAATAGATAAATAAATAAATAATTGAAAATTTAAAAGATACTTCATGTCTTGTTTTTCACTTGCATTTTCAGTGACTAGAAGGTTGTACTTGACTGCAAGTTAACAAGCCTATACATTTACAAGAGGATTTCAATCACTGGTTAAGTTGCTTAAAGCACAGGTCTGATCTTTTTGTAGGGCACAGGAAGCAACTATGAAGTTTTTTAATAATTCAACATCTTATAGGTCAGATCAATGGCATCATGCTTTGTATAAAAAATCACAACAAAAAGCTATGATAATGATAATACTGCTAACAAAATAGAGGTACAAGATAACACGAGGTGGACATGCAGCAGGCATTGCCTGGTTAATGCCTTTGAACATTACCTGCTTGTCAAGTGTCCCAATTGTAGTCTGTGTGATTAAAATAGGGAGAAGTGAACAGAAAGAAGAAACACACAAGGCAAAAATGACACACTCGTTTGGCATAATTTCGCTGATAGATTTGATAATTATTATAGAGGAGTCTGTCAAAGATCTTAAATCCAAAACAGACTTCAGGTAAATGTGACATCTAGATTTAATTGTCAGGTTTTCATTCTTTTATCCATTTTTGATATAATTTTCCTTCATTCTCTTCTCTTATAAACTTTTTACATTGTTAGAAAATCTTTTGCATTTCTATTTCCATTGCAAGAAAGCAAATGCACTCTTAATATAACTTAAATTATGTGTTCAATCAATAACAGCCGAAGCCTTTCAATCTGCAGTACAAAAATACTGATATTTCAGAAATGAAATAAAATCTACAAAATACAATGCAAAGTTTGTGCAAAGTTTGCTGTAACACACAAAATAAAGAATTGGTCTGTGTGATTTTCTATTTTCTTTTTTAAATAGCTGCTAGTGCAAATTCTAAGTCCATAAAATTGTNATTTAGGTATACATTTTTAAAATGCTTACTTTTTGGACAGAAACTAAAGCAAATATTCTGAAATTGACAAAAGGCTAGAAGCAGCTATTGATGTCAGTAGTAGTAGTGTTATATAAGAGTAATCCCTCTGCCATTAGTGCTAAGGATTATCATTAAGATTGACATTGATAATATTGACGTTAAGGTAGTGGGCTGGTTAGTATCTCCCCGCCACCTGCAATTGAAGCTAGAAAGAAAGTAGATTATTACATCATCTGGCTCGTCCAGATTGGTTTCATAGGGTTCTTGGAGCTGGACTGCAGGGATAGTGAATTCAGCTGCAGCCTGTGCTCTCAGTTGTTCTTCTAATGACACTGACTGGTCGCCATCCTCCACAGAGGCTCTTTCCTCCTTCTCAAGCTGCCTGCGCTCGAGCTAGAAAACAAGTGCCATTAAGACATACTGAAGACACTCAACATTGCAAGTGCTGAAGACTTGATAGGGGCAGACTGACAACATGAGAATGGCTAGTATCAATAAAAAAAAAGCAGAGGTGCACATCCTGTGACAAGCAAAAACACACCAAAATGATCCTTTTTTATCTACTGCACTCTCTGATTTACAAGCAAAGCAATTTCCACTTCAAATGTAAAACAAATATCAAAATTCAAACAAGACGTACTGTTGTGAGCCTCTCCAGTGCTGTGAAGCGATCTTCCTGGGCAGCAGCAGATTTCTCAAAGGCTTCGTGCTTCTTAATCAACTTCTCCACCTCATCTATGGTGCTCTGGAACAGAAACACAGCCATTCAGAACATTGTTCTCTGAATAATGTTTCATTTGGTAAGTTTATGTTCTAAAATTCACATGTATTTTCTTCTATCATCACTTCAGCATTTGTTCTGAGTAACAATTTGAACAACATCATCTTCATAATTTGTTGCTGACATTTTAATAAAGCAGTATATCCCTTAAATATAATAGTTTTTCTTATTCCCCTGTAACCACAGTTCAGCAGCACTCTGCAAATACATGGTATGTGAGAAATACTTACACCAAGGTCTGTAGTCTGTAGATATGGCTCTTGAGCAACAAGCCAGGCCTCAGCCACAGCAGCATCTCTGGCAAACTGGTACACCTCAAGGACTGAAATAGGACACAGTTCAGTAAGTAATAGTTTAAATACAATGTAAATCTTTCCAGAAATTGAAATTGTATACAATCCATTATGCAAAATATCCATGTGAAAATGGCTTACTTGTGTCTTAACTATGAAATAAAAATGAGTATAATCAAGTAGAATTATTCACTTACTAAGTTGTAGGTATTCCCATCTCTCCTCCCACTTCTCCATCATCATGCCTCTCTGTGTGGTCAGCTGGATAAGTTTGTCACGCACCTTGCAAAAAAAGAACAAAATGGTTTAATATTTAAGCAAAATAATGAGAATACTTTTCCAATCCCAAGAGAAGTGAACAAAGTATAGCTAAAATTTACTCAATAAGGTATGCTAAATTTTTTATCAGCAGTTACCCTTAACATGGGAATATCATATTGTTACCTGTAGTATTAATGTCATTTCAAAGTATTATATGCAAAAGATCTTGTTATTGGCAACAAGTCATTCTACTTTTTGTACATAAACAACGTTTATTCAAAAGAATGAAGTGGAGGCAAGGCGCTGGAAGCATTATATGCTCTCCACAAAATTAAATTAAATAAGTAAATAAATAAAACAAATGGATAGGTATATACATATATACAACAGAGTAAATGTAAAACTTCATATATATCAGGAGCACAAGTTAAGTACAGAAAGAAAGAAGAGGAAAAGAGATAATACCTATTAAGTGATAACAAAGTTTACGAGAAGAAAATTTGCAACAGTGTCGAAGATAATTTCATTTTGGGTGGGTGATAAGGATTTATGACCGTAGAGAAATAACGACAGCTTTTCTTTTTGTGTTTTGAAAGAGGTCTTGCTTGCATGTAGAGTTTCATTTATTTTTTGGTAAAGGGGAGGGTACTTTGAATTGAGTAAAGGGCATCTGAAGAAAAAGTGAAGAGGGGTTTCAAGGGCACCACAGGTGCAGTGTGGTGTATCAATAGTAGTCCAGTTATGCCTAAACAATTCTGCTCTAAATAAACAACCGACCCTCGCTCTGTTAAGAATTTTTTCATGATTTCTGTTCAAGTTTAGTGTTGTTGTTGAAAGCGACCCAGCAGTGAGGTGTTTTTTTATCGAGTTCTTGTACCTTTTGTACATACTAAACTAGACATTTTTTTTCATTTTGTTTAGTTTCTCATTTTTATTATAGAGCTGTCAATGTGTATTGGGTTAAACTGAGATTAAAGAAACTATTTCTCCTACCTCTTCTGATCTAAAATGTCTCCTGGCCAGCAGATCTTTGCCCAGGTTGACACAGATGGTGAAGTTCTCATCCCTAGCATCTACTTCAGCTTTTAGACTCTGGTGATTGTTCATCAACAGTTCCACTCCTGACACATCCCTACGGGTTAAATAAATAATGATTTTAATCAAACAATCAATAATTTTAAAGAAGAACATAATAATCACTTTCCTTTATATTTAAACTAATTCTAAACAATTCATCCATCTCAACTTTACTCTTTACACAACTGCTGCTAACTTATATATTATAATTCATTTTGTGCCAAATACTGTTATAAACCCCAATATACCTTGGTTTCTCCTGTGTATTCATCTGTCTGTTAATGTCATCCATCCACAACATGAGATCGCGGACCATGTTAAAGAAGCGGAACAGATCACTGATATCAATCAACTTATTCTTGCGTGCCTCCACCATCACCTGTAGATTCCTCCAGGCGTTCACCACCTCTGCCTCGCGGTCTTGGATCTCTCTGGCCCTGTCCCCTGCGTAGGCGGCAAACAGCCTTGCTGCCTCCTCCTGCACTTGTTGCACCTGTGTCCCCAGGGTGATGAGGTCATGCTCAAAGTTGGCATGCTTTCTCTGCAGGGCAGCCACACTCTGGGCATCACGACCCAACTCGTCTGGGATAGAGTTCTGTTTCTCCTAAAAGGTTGGAAAATATAAAAGTCAACAACTATCCCTTGTAATTCTAGTAATTTGACAAGTTTATGTCCACAAAAGTTCTTTGCAATACCAGTAACTTGGCAAATATTTTGATCAGCAAGCAATCATTGGTGTTAATTTGTATATTAAGGAAATCCTCATCTAAACTAGCATACAAGTATATAGAATATATAGGAGAGAAAGCAAATATTATAGTTATTTATTTCTGGACTTACAATGTCTGTCAAATAGAATTAGTCATCTACCTTACAGAAAGAAGTCCAGAACTGGATTAAGATTTCAATGTATAAATCATTTCAGCTGATATGTCTCATAACATTTCTTCACTTACATAGATTCTCTCCAAGGTTTCCTTGCAGTCATTGAAGAACTTCCACAGCTCCCAAGAAGCCTGTAACATCTGTGTCCTGGTGTCAATGAGCTCCAGAAGATCTGCCCAAGCCTCGTTCAGGCCATCCTTCCACTCAGCTATTGTAGCAGCGTCAGAGTGGCCAAGGGCTATCAGTTTGTCTGCCATGTCATTGGCTGCGGCCACGCGTTCCTCACCAATGCTCTGGGTGTCTCTGGCAAACTCCTTGAACCGGTCACGTAACATCTGTAAGATGTGGGAGAAATCAAAACAGTTAATATTAAAAGCAGTAGAAAGAAAAACAGTAGCTACTCTTTCACTTAACACAAATGAAAACATTCTGCCTAGTATACCCAGCCAGAAGCTTATTGCGACATGTATGTTATCTTGCCAAAGCATGTACTATTCTGATATCTTAACTGCAAATTTGTACCAATCCAACACAAATCATGTCTGGTAAACCATGGCAGCCACTTACAGTGACGTGTTCGTAATCCTGTCCAAGTTCATGCGACCCAGCGACCACTCTCCTCTCCTCTATCCACTGCTCTAGATCATCTACTTCTCTATTCAACATGTACAGTTTCAGGCACTCATCCAGCTTGCCTCTCCTCTCCTGGGCAAGGTCCTTCAGTCCAGCATACAGTTTGTCCACCTGGGCCTGGCGGCGGGCTATCTGGTCACTATACAGAGACAACAAGAACACACTTTTAAAAATCCACCTCACTTAAACTATATATAACTTCATCTATAACCTTTCAATATTGTTTTCATATTCTTTTGTACAATGATATTATACAATACAAATGCTCTAATAGCAAGAAATTAATATCACTTATTATGCCATAATTATGATAACAATTATAATTACTGTCACTATTATCTGTTATATTTTATTACTCTTTTTTCATTATCTTAATGTCTATTATTATCATCATTATTAACATATGCATGATGCCTCATATAGTAGGTACATACCACTCTGGATGATTCTCATCCATGAGATTCCTGGCTCTCTCCCCAAGCTGCCTGACAGTCTCAGCATAGTCCTCTACAACATGCTCAGTGTGCTGGTGTTTCTTCATCATGTTCTGGGCCCCCACCTCATCCTTAGCACGGTCCTCAGACATCATGTACAGCTCCTGCTCTCCCATCCAGGCCTCAGCCTCTGCAGCATCGAAGTAGTACTGAAAATAGATAGGAAGACTGGTGTGTTCATACCTGTGTAAGTGACCAAAAACCTCCATTCTTTTAAAGTAATGATACTCACATTCAGTAACTGTAACAAGGTGTATATTTATACAATTACTGCTATATAATACAAAGTGAAAAGTACATGAAAGGCCACAGACAACAAAAAAGTCAATCTGTGTCTTTAACCCATTTGAGGAGGTCCTCCAGGAAATAATTTTTTTCATCACTGCACTGATACTATACTAGATACTATCTCCACATAAATATGTCACACAGAACATGTTTTACAACATAGACACATCAAATTTTGCGTCTTGTTTACCCATCTTTGCAACATTATACTGTAACAAAGCCAAGAAAAATACCCATCCTTTTCTAGTCATGACATTCATAACATTAAAAGCCTACCTGCTGTGCAACCTGTGACAGAAGTAGCCTGTTTTGCCTCTCATCTACAGCTTCCTTCAGCTCTCCCCAGCGTCGTAACAGCATATCAATCTTTTCTTGGAAGAGTTCTGATTGTGGGTGTCCTTCATTGATCATCTCCTGGCCAGCGTCACAAACTGCGTTGATTGTGTGCTCATGACGCTCTAGGTCTGATCTCAGAGTCTGTAAGTAGAAATAGTAGTAGACATGACAGAATTAGAAGTAGCAGTAGACTTAGTGTGTACTAGATAGTTATAATGATAGTTTATTCAGTCAACATTATTATATTTCATAGCATTTGATAGAAAATTTTCATTTCTTATTTTTTACCGCTTTTCATATTTAGTATACTTTGAACAATGTTGTTCATAATGGATATAAGAATGACTTCATACCTGATTTTTCTTCATCAGTGTCTGTACACTGAGCAAGCTGTTGCCATAGTTTTCTGATGTTGCCAGTGGCATGCGTTCGTCTATCCACAACATTTCGTCCTCGACGTCACGCAGGAACTGATGTACTGCCTTCTGTTTCTCCAGCTGAGATCGCCTCTCCAGCAGTGGAGCCTGCAGCTGTACAAAACGCTCTTGAACGAGGGCTTTCTTCATCTCAATCTCTTCCACTTTTGCTGGATCTTTACTTCTCAGGATCTCTGCTTGTTTGTCCAGCTCTGACATCTGTTCTTCCTTGATTTTCATTTGACCTTCTAGCAGCTGATAAAGTAAAGATTTATAACAAACTTTATAGGTGCGCTATTTTAATTAAATTATTGAAAAAACTGATAAGCTTAACACTTTTTTCTCATATTTCTTAGGAACCTCGAAGGAAATCAATCACATTCAATGAAAAGTTTTCTTTTTCAAACACTGTTAAGAAAGAAAGAGATGATAAGAAGTACATAATGTGTATACAAATGATGTGTGCACTGGCATTTTAGTAACTCCTTGAAAATCATTTCACAACTTGCAGATCATAAATTTTATAACATCTTTGGATCCCAATGAACACTAAATTTCTAAACTACCAATATAAGTTCAGCGTCACTTACATTTTGCTTCTGCATCAGCAAGTTAACCGTGGTTAGATCTTGCCCGAAATCGGCCGTGATGATCTGAGACTCCAGGGTATTGAGGTAGCCATCAATATCATCGCAGCTCTGTTCATACAGGACTTGACGGTTGGCGTCGAAAAGTTTCTCTCCTTTCTCCTGTGTGGTCTTCTCCAGTTCTTCCCACTGAGCAGCCAAGCTCTGGAGACGAGGCTCTATCTGCTCTGCAGTGTCTGGCTTGTCTCTGATTAGCTCACCGCCAGCCTAGCAGGGACAAATCAGAGTTAATCATAGCCCTAATATATATTTTAGACTTATAATAACTACTAAGGCTTATGTCATTTAAATGTTTGCTTTATTTTATAATTATATAAATTTCAGGTAACAAAAGGTATGTACATAATGCTCCAGAACAAGCATGCATATCTGCACACTAAAGGAGTATAAAGTTATATTGCCCAGAAAGAAAATGGAAGAAGTATTCTACCTGTTGTAATTTGTGAAGCCTATCCTTGTTGGCAGCAATCTCTGCTTCAAAGGCCTGATGCCTCATGTATTTGCTGTGAATGTTCTTGGCATCACGGTAGGTCTCATCCTGTGCTGCAATCATCTTCTCCTCAAGCCACTCTCCAAGCTGAAACAAATATACATTCAAACTATACTAAGATTCAGTTAAGTTCACTACTTCTCTAACACAGATGGCTTGCCTCCCTAACAAAGGTGGTTGCTGTATCAGTCTTCAACACTAAAAATGTTTAGACCAGTCATTACTGAAATAGTCTACTACAGACTACTATCCAGAATCAAAAACGTCTTAAATATAAGACCAACTTTCAATCTTTAGTGCTGTAGTGCAGCAGGCCCCAGGACACAGAACTGATAGAAAGTGGCATACCTCATCACAGTCCTGCAGGAACTGCTGTAGTTGAAGTGAGTCCTTCAGTCTCTCCAGACCTTCATATGCACGCTGACGATTGGCATTGCGTCTGAAGTGGACAAAACATACTGCTGGTAAAAAGATTTTATAATAAGAAATGTTTTTACTGAAGCCCTCTTCTAAAATATTTCACACAAAACTTCATGCTTATCACAAGCAAAAATATAATCATACACACAAAGTCACACTCCAACACTCACTCATACACACCCTAATGGTACCACCATCAAATCAGTGTTCTCTGCCCTCTTAGTTATTTTATCTGCTGTGTGCGCACACACACACACTCCATGCATAGATACAAACACACACATGCCCACCTCTCATCAATATTCTCTGCCTTCTTAGATATCTTGTCTGCTGCATAGTGGTTCTCATCATCCACCAGCCTCTCAGCAAACTGCAGGACCAGGTTGATCTTCTCATCATTGGCATCCATGGTGGTGATAAAGGCTTCATGCTGTTTGATCAGGTTCTCTGCTGCTTCCAATGATGTCTATAGTAGAGTAAATGAAGTCAAACAATGAGATGATATCACAACACAGAATATATTTTAAGATGAACTGCAGCCTGAATGTGTTCATGTCGAGTTTTATCATTGAAAATCTAAACTAATACCTACCTTTTATTATATTTTGTTGGATCTTTCATCTACTGCTAAATTAAACAGGTATATCCCAACTGTTAAATACATGTTTTTATAATCCTTATTTATCACCTATTATGACAATGATTTTCTAAAATGAAAAACAAAGTAGATAAACTCAAAACTCATAACTGCAGAAGATACCTTTCCTTCAGCTCTAATTTCCAGTCCTGCAATTATTTTAGTTGCTCGAAACTCCCTCGAGACCTTTCCTTCAAGTTTTGTTCTTTTTACCCACCCACCCTCCCTTGTATAACATGCAACACATGCATTATGATGATGATATAAAAGCCTACTAGTGAAACATCTTTTCCTTGTCAACAACTGAAACCATATTTTTCTTAAAATGTACAATAATATGTGCTCTAACTGTGTGGTTAGTAAATCATCCCTAAATAAAGATGAGGAAACTGCCTACTTAAGCAGGCAAAGTCACAACATTCATGCCATATGTGAGTTGACACACGCCAAACACTCTTATTGCACTACAGCAGGGAATGCACTGCTTCACTGTTTATAAGCACTGGGCATCTGATTTTTATGTTTTCAACAAATATGGGGAATTCTATCGCATGATCATGTACTGTGTAAAACTCAAATAAAAAAGCCAGAGTTATTTTAGAGGTTTTTTACTTGATGACTTTAAAGAGGGGAGAGAAGGGGGACATGCATATCAATCACAATTGTAAGACCTTTTTTCTTTTCCTTTTAAATAGAATGTAGTGACAAGGGAGCAGGGTAAATGTTGAAATGAAACATTTTTTAAAAGGACAATAATACTCCAAACCACAGACATTCTATTTTGTTACAGTAACTGTCATAACACTAATACAGGTATCCATTCACATTAGAATGTCACTGAACAATAATACAGATAGTTATTACAACAACACTACACAACCATATTCAGGCAATCGATCAATCAACTGATCAAGGATTTTAAGACTTCCAATACACTATCAATTATCAGTTGAATTCTTAAACATCTGTTCACATTTATCACATAGTTAGGAGTTAATAAAGACTATAAATAGATAAATAAATAATTGAAAATTTAAAAGATACTTCATGTCTTGTTTTTCATTTGCATTTTCAGTGACTAGAAGGTTGTACTTGACTGCAAGTTAACAAGCCTATACATTTACAAGAGGATTTCAATCACTGGTTAAGTTGCTTAAAGCACAGGTCTGATCTTTTTGAAGGGTACAGGAAGCAACTATGAAGTTTTTTTTTAATAATTCAACATCTTATAGGTCAGATCAATGGCATCATGCATTGTAAAAAAATCACAACAAAAAGCTATGATAATGATAATACTGCTAACAAAATAGAGGTACAAGATAACACGAGGTGGACATGCAACAGGCATTGCCTGGTTAATGCCTTTGAACATTACCTGCTTGTCAAGTGTCCCAATTGTAGTCTGTGTGATTAAAATAGGGAGAAGTGAACAGAAAGAAGAAACACACAAGGCAAAAATGACACACTTGTTTGTCATAATTTCTCTGATAGAGTTGATAATTATAGAGGAGTCTGTCAAAGATCTTAAATCCGAAACAGACTTCAGGTAAATGTGACATCTGGATTTAATTGTCAGGTTTTCATTCTTTTATCCATTTTTGATACAATTTTCCTTCATTCTCTTCTCTTATAAACTTTTTACATTGTTAGAAAATCTTTTGCATTTCTATTTCCATTGCAAGAAAGCAAATGCACTCTTAATATAACTTAAATTATGTGTTCAATCAATAACAGCCGAAGCCTTTCAATCTGCAGTACAAAAATACTGATATTTCAGAAATGAAATAAAATCTACAAAATACAATGCAAAGTTTGTGCAAAGTTTGCTGTAACACACAAAATAAAGAATTGGTCTGTGTGATTTTCTATTTTCTTTTTTAAATAGCTGCTAGTGCAAATTCTAAGTCCATAAAATTGTACTTACTGGGACTTCCTCCTTGGACAAGAAATTTTCTTGTTGGTTCAGCAGGACTTCTGCCTGTTTGGCGTCTCTTAAGAAGACCTAAAACAGTGACATTTGTAAACAAATATGCACATTATACTTATAACATTTAAGATGTGTTGATGTTTGAATAAAAGTAATGAAATACTTGAATTTAAGAACTTACAACAAGTAAAGAAAAGACTAACTGACATTACCGAGAGTACACTGCATCAAATATCTGTACCCTCAATTCTTTGGTACTTAAACACCTTTCACAGACTAAGAAAGTTACAAAGCTTGAAACAATTGATTATGCATCTGCTCTGAGTGCCAGTAGAGAACACAGTTCTATACCTGTAGGTTGAGGCTCTGTGACAGCAGGTTCTGTCTGTTCTCCCACATCTGGTGCAGCTCTTCCCAACCATCATCCAGAGCATTAAGACGCTACAAAACAATGAAAGGTCAGGCTTCTGTCTTTATACATACCTGTCTATTCACAACTGATTTACTTTAAGGCAAATGTCTTCACAAGCAATATGACAAAAACAGGGAAAACTCTGAACTTACAACCAAAAAGTCCATGTGATAACAATGATGCTAAAATAACAGAAAACTTTCAATCCAATCTTCTAACAATCCTCAAGTCCACTTAAAAGCAATAGTGGTTTAAATGCTGGTTGACATTCTTTTCAAACAAAAGCATCTCTAATCATTGTCCTACCTCTCTTAAGAACAGATACTGTGGGTCATCAGTTTGGCCCTCACACACTTTGGCACCATACTCCTTCATCTGGGCATAGTCAGGAGCATAGCGGTCGATCTCCTCCTTGATCTGTTGATGCTGGTTCAAAAGTTTCTCGGCCTCGGACAGACTGTTGGGGATGTCCTCAGAGGCGATGGTCACCTGGGTGTGGGACAGCCACTGCTGGAAGTGGTCAAGGTTCTGCAGGAAACGCTGAAGCTCTCCAGCTTCACCAAGCTTCTCATCACGGTCTTTAAGCTGAAAGCAATAGATCAATATATAATATATAAATAAAAACAATACTTGTAAGCCGTTATTATGTGTATCTATACTTCTGACAAATGTACACAATAATCCATTTCAATGACATAAAATATTTCCTTTATACAGATTCTAACATTGCAACTGTTTGAATTATACATAAGGAACATTAAGAATTTTAACCCTACAGCTATCTCTCACCATAATCTTAAGCTCCTGCCAGACATCCTGAATCTGTCCCAGCTTCTCTTTAATTTCATCTGCCTCCTCTGGTTTCTCTTCACACAACTTCTCAGCCTCAGTTTGCAAGGAATCAAGCTGCAAGGTTCAATATAAGGTTCAATATAAAATTGACATATCTGAATCAACTATAAACTTTTTTGTTATTCGTAATAGTAGTACAAAACACATTTTTAGGAAACAGTTGCAACATTTGGAAGATAAATATTTGTTCTTAAAAAAAGATATGTTTCTAAAGATGTGTACTGCAAGCTTCTATGTTAAATAACATAAGAAATGAATAATTCAGAGATCACAATTTTATGTCTATAGAATTTCATAAACAATATATCAACATGTAAAAGAAATTCTGATCACCAGATGATGTTAAATTTCTCTAAAATACAATAAAAACGTGGTATATGAATAATTCAAAGATCACAATTCAGTGTCAACATAATTTTAAGTACAATATATCTTTATGTATGTAAAATAACTGCAAAAAAGTTTTATATAGAATTTAGAATGCCCAAGTGTGTGTGCTATACCTTTGCTTGTATGGCTGCCAGGTCTCTCTCCATGCCACTGAGTCTCCTCTGTAAGGCCATCACTCCAGCCAGGTCATTGCCCAGTTCATCTGTGGACTCAATCAGCTTGGCCTTGTCACGAATCCAAGACTACAGGAAGAGAATAGAACAAGTCAGGCACTTCTTGACATGTACTGCACCTTAAAACTACTTCACACTTACATACACTGCAATATTCACAAGTCTGGTACTATATGATGTACTTGAACTAATCACACATACACAGACACAAACGTCCTTGCACACACACACACAAATATTTTAACACAATTCAATAACATATAATTATATATTTTTAAAAAGCCACAATCAAAAAATATCGATATATGACACGTAATGTACTTCAAACAAGAATATACATAACATCTGGAAGTAAGCAGTATTTATAAAATTAGACAAGAACTGCTTGCGCAAAGTACCATTAAATTGGTAATGTGGACAATTACACTTACAATGGTTTCAACAATTTCAATCTTGAATGTCTGTATGCCATGTGAGGTATTGAGCTCCTCTCTCTTAGCATCCACTATGTCACGTAGGCGAGCCCACCTGGTAAATGATGTAAAAGGCATAGAAGTAATAGAAATAGGATACTTATAATAACTGTTATTTTGGGAAGCATTAATGCACAACTCAATACTCATATATTCATAAATACAATACACAACAAAATATCAGGCTAGCTTTTGTTCAAGGTTTGGTCTTACTCTGTAAGTTTGATGGAATTGACTGATACACTTACCATAAAATTACTAAAATAGGTTCTTTCAAAATAACTATCAGTTGTTGTTCTAGACCATTTTTCTATTATCAATACATTTCATCTGTAGACTTTTTCTGAGGCCTTATCTTCTGCACTGTACTTATATCACACAATGAATTTTAACTGACCGCTAAGCAAATACTAACTCAAAAAGAGTATCTTAAATATCTCAGTATATAAAATGTCCTGTTTTCAGCCAAAGTTTTCATTGAAAAATTCAAAATTTGATTTGGCTAAAATTATCCAGCTATTTGATTAAGAGAAATGTTATCCTAGAGCAAGGCTATAGCTCACTGACCTGGTGTTCAGCTGGTTCTGTCTGGCCACAATCTCGTCTGAGTTGGGATGTTCATTATGGAGCAGTTGTCTGGCGATCTGGTTGACGACTGCCACCTTGGATGCTGTGGCATTCACTTCATGCTCAAAGCCCTCAAATCTGTGCTTCATGATTTCTACATCTTCAATGTCATCACTGGCAGGCACCATCTTGGCCAGGAATTTCTCCTATAAAATATTAGATTCTTTTAGGTTAAAGGATATCGCTATTACGTCATATATATCTTCAATAAGCCCCGCCTTTGAAAAAGATTTCATACATTTTATAACAATTTCATTCTATAAAATCAACAATATCTTACAATCCATTTCCACTACATACATAAAAATGCAGACTCCAGTACTGCCAAGTTATCTACAATGTTGTAAACTGTCAACCATTATTCATAACTAACTGCGTATGAATGACCAGTGATAACTTGTTACCTTTTCTTCAATCCAGGCCTCTACACTGTCAGCGTCATTGAACAGGGTGTACAGTGCCAGTGCGTCCAACAGGCGTTGTTTTCTCAGCTTGGCAAGCTCCACAAGTTCTTGGTAACGACGGTCAATGCTGCCCAGTCTGCCCTGGACCTCAGGGGAGTCTCGGTCCTACAAATAAATTTATAAAAATTCATAAAAACATTTTTGAAAATGTCAAGCGTAGGGCAGAGGAAATAATCTAGGCCTAGTGATAAATAAATTGGCAGTATAGACAACCATACATCTAAGATATAACATAGTTATACTGAACAGGAGAATGTGAAAGTAGATTATTCTAGTGGAAAATATAAAGATTGCTCTATGTTGTGAATCTTATTTTTTGATATCTCCCATTTTGAAATTGGAACCTTCTATGTAAACTTTGCTCCGAAAATAGCTATGCTGCCTACACTGAATCTGCTTTCAAGTCTGTCAATAATCCAATTATTGAAATTGTGTTTAGTCTGCACCTGAGTTTACATGTTATTCTGAAATAGGAATATTTAGCAGTCTGTGGCATAAGTCACAAGTCTAAGGCTTCACACTGACTAGCACTGGTGTATTTTTTTAAGGTCTAGTCAGAGCAACCAGCTGGTTGAAAAGCTTAAGGTGCAGACTGCCAGTGTACATCTAAAAATGTTTCAAAAGGGCATTTTCTATTTATCAAAGGATGCAATTGCAATCTATCAATTATAAGAGACATTTTACCTCCATATTTCCTTTCCAACAGCCTCCATATCTTACCTGTTCTCCCAAACTGCCGGCCTGTTCATGCAGTGCTGTGATGACACTCTGGTAGTTCTTCAATTCATCTGTCACATCCTAAAATACCAACAAATTACCAGTAAGTTTAATCCAAGCTCAAAATGGCTACATCTTTTGCTCAAACCACACATTAACAAGGGCAAAACCTTTTAATATATTCATATAGTCAGATATGCTACATTAACTTATCAAATCCCATTACAACATTCAAGATATGTAACCATTTGGATTAAAAAACGTATGTATCAAATACTAACTTGCTTTAGAAAAGAAGATTGAAACAAATCATGCGTAAAGGCACAGGGTGTGAATTCCTTAACTGCTGTATTGAAATTCAGCTGGGGAGGGTAGTAACGTGATTAAATATGTAATCTTTTAAATGATTTCATTTAAACAGCTGTAAAAAAAATTCTAGATCAAGCAGGGAAGTTAACAATTATGATAGATTTTATTAAATATTATGGTTTAGGGGATAAATAATAATGAAACACCAATAAATCGTGTCAAGTCAAAGATTTTTGAATGGATAATTGAAAACTGTGACCTTGGAAATTATGCTGCTTGGGGTAAATGAAATCATGACTATAATTCACCCCCTATACCTTTTACAACAAAAGCTGTGCATACATATGATAATACTAATAATAATGTATAACATCTGGTAGTATGCAGCCTAAATTATAATCACTTAATTAATAGGTTGCGGCCATAGTTTATGACTTCCCCAGCACCAGTGGGTCCTAGGCTGGTGGGTGGGGGGTGCTCTGTGGTGACTTAATACACTGGTAGAGTAGCAATGCTAACAAAACATGGACAAAAAAGTAAACTAGGGCTTGCAAAGGTCTACAAGGGAGATTAGTCCATCTATGCTGCCCTAGCAATGGTCAGTTTGAGTGGTCAGTCATCACACTGACCACCTGCCTTCTAGGTCAAATCTGGCTGTGAAGTGCTGGCTAACTGTAGCTGGCTGGACACACAAGGATTGTAACAATGTGAACATAAAGTCAAACAAAAAGTACAAAGAAAGCCAACTGGTATGTTATTATTGAAATGGTTCACTGCAAAAATGGAAGAATGGATTAATATTGACACAGGGGAAAGACAAGGCTATGTTTCTGTCACATTCCCCAATTGGACAGACTGCTTCTGTGTCTCCAAAAACTATAAAACAACTAACAGTTGGATGCAAACAAGGGTAAAATACTGACATGGGTACTGACAGCAGGCATGGGAGAGATCTATACCCTCCCAATAGTAAAATCATAACCACCCTCCTCTCCATCATCATTATTATGTAAATATTTTATCAACCAAATAATACCCCCAAACCTTCATCATTATTATTACTATCCAACTGTTGAAATTGAAGGTGTACACCCAACTTATCATTTTTTATTTTCTCAAATAACATGGGTTGTAAAATGTAAATTAAGCAGTTGACAATTCCCAAATACAAGTAAAGCTCAAGTTGGGCAGAGTTCTCAAACAGAAATTGGTTAATTCTTTTTAATATATTAAAAAAATGACATCTGATTTTCAATTCAAGTTTTTGAGGAGGTTTGACAAATATTAAACATTTATCTTAAAAATCTCTCCCACTGTCTGTGCACAGTTACCAATAAGGTTTAATCTGTTAGAATAAAAAAGACAGATTAGAAACAAACACAAAATAATGGCCACTCATAGCTCTGCAACCAAAGCAGTGTTGCACTGAACAGTTGCATGCACTCACTGTTGGCCGTTGCCTCTCAATCTCATCCATAATCTCCTACAATGAACAGAGTAGTGATATCATGCATTTAGTAGTAGTAACAATAGTAGTAGTAGTAGTAGTAGTATTGGTGGTATAGGGAGGGATCTGGTGCCTATTATACCTACTGTAGTGTGGTTAGAGTTTGAAAAGATGTTGAAATTAAGAGAGAAGGTGCATGGAGGGTTGGACACAAGAGAACCGTTTCAGATGTAGAAGATCTATCAAATAGTGTGTTAGTAGGACTAGATATCTAAGATTGGGTCAGTCTGAGTCAGTCTGTGAGGACAGGGCAGCCACTCTGCCTAGGAAGAAAGGTGGTGCTTCCATACAAATAAACAAATCTTCACAATGGATTATACTAACTCTTCTCTACCTAATAAGTATCATTCCATAACCAGGCAAACAATACTAAAACTATATATGTAAATGTATATAAATGCACCAGTCCTCAATACTATCTACCCAACACCAACAGAAATCCATAACTATATATAGAAACACTATTATACTGCAGGTGCCAGGTCCAAAAGAGAACAAAGATCAAATAAGATGAATAAATATTGAAGTTGAAACAATGTATATGATATAGATTTTTTTCAAACAATTAGTACCAACATAAACATTGTGAACTTTTTCTGCAAAGTTTATTTAACAAGTAGAAAACTGAGACGTCATGCCATTAGTAATCCATAACTGATCTGCACTATGTCTTCTGTGTCAACATTCCCAATTTAACATAAACAGAGGTAATAGTATACAACAAATACATTATAACCACTCATAATTGTCCATTCAGCTAGTGGACGATGGTCATTCTACCTTACCTTATGTTTCTTAATGAGTGACTGGACACTGGCCTCATCCCTTCCTACGTCCTCACTGGACACAAGACGCAGAGTGTCCAACATCCAGGTATCTACATCATCAGCATCGGCGAAGAACTGAAAGTTAAAACATGAATGGATCAGGCATGAGGGGAAGTATAAGATGGTGGGAGCCAAAGAATTATAAATAAGGCATCATTTAAAGATATCCATTTGATCCATATTCTCCTTATCTTCATGCTTTTCCTACTAATTTAAAAGGGGAAAAGAATTCCCAAAGCACCTTAATGCACAGTGATATAAAGTCTAAAGCCATTTTAGTGTACATAAAGAGGCATGTGTTTCCCATAGAGTGACCGGAGGTTAAATTATAATTAATATATATTTCTTTAAAAACTATTCCCGATCTGTTGACTTGTTGACTTTGTCTTAATGCAACTCCAAAATTAAAATCAAGAAATACTACATACGTATTTGTATGTAAGTCATGAGAAGTTCCCAAGGCTTACCTGGTAATAGTCTACAGCCTCCAACAGCCTCTTCTTGCGATATCCAGCCAGATCAATGAGGTTATCCCATTGCTGGTTGATCTCATCAATTCTGGACTGGATTTTGTCTGCGCCAAAGTTTCCGGCCTGGATCAGGTCATTGCCTACCTGGATGACAGACTGCAGGTGAGAGTGACGGGCTGTCATCTCATCTTCCAAAGACTAAAAACAAAAGAATGACTGTGTTATGTACAGATGTTTATTTATCAGACTCATACTGTCATACAAAATGCTTCAGTGTTTTTGGTTTTTTCTCTAAGATCTCTTGAATTTAGCAAGTTCATCATTGACTAATTTAGTAATGATTTCTCTGTTATTTAGCTTAATCAAAATATATATCAGAATGGAACCAGTAACAAAATCATTTATTTTCCCTCATTACATTGGGGTGCACAGGCCTCAATGTGCTCTTTATCTTGCTGTCTCAACTGTTGTTGCACAATATTGATTTAAAATTAAGATTCCAACAATTTGTTATGCTACTCTGCTCTCCCTGGTAACCGAAACACACCACTAATGCCATTCCAAGTTTTCTTTCCACATACCTTATGTTTGTTCAGCAGCAGATGGACACTGGTCAAGTCATGGCCAAGATCTGGACTGGACATGAGCTGCTCCTTCTCCTTGATCCAGCCCTCCTCGTCAGCCATGTCCCAGTAGAACTGCCAAAGTTTGCGGGATTCCTCCAGCCTGGCGCGGCGGTCTGCGGCCAGCTGCTGGAGTTCTTCATATGCAGCATCCAGACTGTCCATACGCTCTTGTACTATCTGAGGGTCACATGGTTTGTAACCTGGCAACAGAATTATCAACATGTAAACTTTCATCCTGTGAGGGAAAGAATGCACCACATAAATTGCTTTTCTTCCCCAAAACACTTTTTTCTATTAAAAAGTATTTGCCTATATCTTCTCTGCCTCCTGTTCACTCTAGAAGAAACCAAGGTGTCTGAAGATGAGATATAAGAGACAATAGGTTTAAACAACCTTTACATGTGTGCATGTCTAAATTGATTAGTAAATTTGAAAATATTTTCTCTTTTTCAATTTTCTGCAAAAACTGTTCATTGCTTCCGCAAGTGACTGACGACTAGACTGAATGATTAATCTTTATATCTTGAATAAAGACTGCCACCAACCTCCAACTTCTGCAAACTCTCCTTCAACAAATTTCTCGGCTTGTGAGTTCACGTTCTTTACTCTTTCTCCAACAACATTGATATCTGCCTCCAGCAGCATGTGTTTCTGCAGCAGGTCCTCCACCCCCATCAGATGTTTACCATAATCTTCTGACAGCAGACGTGCCTGGCAATGTACATAGGTATATAAACACATACAAACATGGGTTTGGGTTTTATTTTTTTCATATTATAAATTCCTTGATAACATAAAATAAACATGAAATAGTGAATAAGATGATAAAATGTCATATTTATTACATCCAATTTTGATTCAACGTCACTAATGATAGGCATCACTGATTTGATTATTTTAAAAGTGTTCTAACCAATATTCTCACATAATTTAGATGCAGTAATCAGTAACCTTGGAAATCGTCAAGACCTCATAAGCATTTTTAAGTCTCTCATAGGACCACCACTGAAATAAATCAATTTTTTCACATTAAAAAGCTCAATATATCACAGAGCCCCCACTTACCTTGATCTCTTCCATCCAGTCCAGTATGTACATCATCTCCTGGAAGACCTTCTGCAGGGATAGCGACAGTTCCAGTCGCATGCGGCGTGCACGCAACAACTCGAGCAGGTAGTTCCACAGGCGAAGAACATTATCTTTCCTATAACAGGGAGAGGGGAGAAATGTCAGGGTGCAAATACTTTGTTCCAATAAAAAATTTTTGCAATTAGACTGGTTAGTTTAAAAACAATCAATTTAACTAGTTAGTGCAAGCTTATACATTCTGAAAGTTTGTGATTTGTAATGTACTGTTTAGATCTGTTGTCAAATAACTTGAAAAAAAAGTGATGTACTGAAACTAAGTTTTTGCAGAAAGTACTTGACTGTTAGATATGATAAAGCACATGCTTTTATTCTTCCTTTTATCGGCAGAGACTTTACAGGTATATTTCCTACAATCAGTTTATTTTGATGAATACTTCAGAAAGACGAAAGAAAAAGAAGGCACCTTTCATATACACCACTGAAACAGTGATTGAGTTCATTTATAGATATCAATACTTAACACTATATACTACATACACTATATTCATAATACTGTCAGTGCTTCATTCTTAATTTAAGAACAAATACAAGCAATATTTCTAAGACCCAAAACATACCTGGCATTGATTCTGCTGATATCATGATAGCTTTCTTGTTCCAATTCATATGCAACTGCAACAACTGCCTGGACTCTTTCTTCATATGCATTGATATCAGTTTCTATGGCCTCATGTTTCTTAGTGGCAGCTTCAACTGCAGGCAGGTCAAAGCCAAAGTTATCTTGTGAAACCAGGCGTTGGTTCTCGCTCAGCCATGTTTCTCTCATACCAGCTTTCCTGTCAAATCTGGCTGCCAGTTGTTCAAGTTTTTCTTGTCTGAAGAAAAAATATTATTCCATCAATGCTAAAAAATCTTGTGACTCTTATATAAAGTATGTACAAAATGTAACATGTATTAAGTATGTAAACAAAGTTAAGACGGGAAAAAAAGACATTATTTTTCATTAGACTAGTAACCCAAAGATGACTTCAGTTAGTCATCTACTACACTTAGCCCAAACAAAAATGCTTTTTTGAAATAGGCCTCTGTATCATATGCAAGCACATAACTCCATGACCGAGTTATTTTGCCCACCTGATCAGTTCCTCTCTTAGAGCAAGCTCCCTTTCGTGTTCTGCTTTTTCCAGTTTCTCCCAGGCCTTGTTGATGTCTGAGATCATTTTCCCTTCTTTGGGGAAGTAAGGGTGCTGGTTGTTGGCCCTCATTTTACTTTGTAAGGTAAACAAGAGGATCTCCAGATTGCCCTTCTCCACAAACCTGAAATAATTAATATTTTATGGTTATACATCAATTTTTTGGTATAACCTAAATTCTATATAAACATTGCCTAAAACCAGAATCTCTGCATATCCTGAACAAATTTCTAGACCAAAAGAGTATGAGTTATGGGATTCTACCGTATATCGTCTCAACTCTAAATCATCTTCATTAATTTCTCATGAGTTTGTCCTTACTTTGGTGGTTTCTCCACTGTTCTATAGGTGTTAAAAGCTCCCAGCTGCTGCTGAACACCTTGCAGTGAGTTTTCAAAATGGCGGTCATTGAGTAAAGTGATCGTCTGCTCGATCCACTGCAGGAGGTCAGAGGTCAAAGTTTCGTATTCGTTGACCATGTTATCATTTTCCATTGCACTGTTCAAGACCTAGTAAAGCAAAATGTTGAGTTGATTAACATAAAATGCAAACTCAAGATACATTATTGTGTCAATTACAGATTATGCCTCATAAAAGAGCTAGTCCAAAACAAACAAGTTCTAGTCTAAAGATAAAATGCACAGACAATGGGAGAATAATATAAATCAATGACTAACACACCTACTAGTTTATTCTGATTTTGAAATTGAAAAGCCCATTTTTTTTACAAGTCAGATGCAAAATCTATTAGTCAATTGCCTCAGCCAGAGGGCTAACAATCATGAAACTACTTTACACCACTGCACTAGATATTTTCTCTGAAGGATTCCAAGAAATCTTTTCATATTAAAAAATACTTTGAAAATTGGCCTACTTTTCCAATACGCTTGCTCTGCACAGATTCTGCCTTCATCTTGGAGAAGTAGTGGTAGTATGTGACCACATAGGTAATGATAGACTTCTCATCAGGAACCTCAACAGCAACATCTGAAATTCAATAGTTATTTATGTATAATTGGATCATCAGAAAATCCTCAAATTGAAACTCGATGGTTTATAAATTCTATAAACTACAACATCGCCAACTCTTCTTAGAAACCTCTCTCAGTATTTTTCTTCCTTTATTTATTTATTGATTTAAATTGTTACAAAAAACTACCTTCTGCATCTAAAAGCTTTGTAAGCCCCAGCTTGTCTTCTGCCACATTGAAAGCATTGTTCAGGTTGAACATGGGGTTGTTCTTGGACAAGCGGTCATAAGCGATCAAGTCGGGTCTGAAATATAAATAAAAAATTCAAATCTTACAAAAATATAAAAGTGACAAATTCAAATAGTAACAAAAACTTACATTTCAAAAGGTTTCTTTAAAAGACTTCACGTAAATAATGGTTTTCCCATTTAGCATATATCTCAAGATAAAAATAAAATGGTGGATTTTGACATTTATTAAGAAAGCCAATATACATGTTTTTTATCTTTAACTCTTGTACACAGGATAAGTTTATTCCTCACGCCTGGTGATCAACACCCTCCAAAAATATAAATAAATAAATAAATAACTTAATTTCAAATTTTAACAATTTTCAAAGAATACATCTTAAAGAAACCACTGCATATTTCTGTACCTGTGTTTGTGTATGAGGGCGTTAAAAGCCAGCCCATCTCTCCAGCTGGTGGTGAAGTTCCTGACGTTGACATTGGCATAGCCTGCTGTCTTCATCTGGCACCACAATAGCAGAGCATCCTTGGCAGATCTGGTCTCACTGCTGTCTGCATCCTCTATAGTGATGTCCTGGATCTATAGGGAAGAGATTCAAAACAAGGACATAAATAATATGTAAATGCCAGATATTTGTTTTTCTAAAGAAGTAAAATGGTTCCTTTCTTTAAAAACCACCTAAATTTTAAATTATTCATCAGGTATTGAATCATTTTTAGCCATACAAACACAAGCATTAGATGATATCCTAGATCTCCATTCACTTCCTTGTCAATTGCTTATATCCATTTTATTTCTTACTTATTTATTCCATGACTTATTTATTCAGTAAATTATTCGTGTAATTCTTCTCTATAGCAGGAGTACTGAAATGTATCTTTATCATACCCTCCACATTCATGTTAGTAAAAAGAGGTTGTTTAGGTTGTCAAAAAGAGGAGGGGCCACCCTTCCTTGTGCAGTAACCCAACTCTTGATTAGGACCTTTAGAAAATTCCTCAAGTGCAAAATAAGGGCTTATCACCTGCATACAATACCTGTTTCATTTTCAACACACACTGTGCCAATGCACTTGACAAACTAGTTCTTCCTGAGCAGTGACCACCTTCACAAAAGAATTTCAGACTGAAAGTTGGCCCTTACTTATAGACCAAAATTCTAGCTCTACTTTGACTCAAAAGGAATCGGTGGAATCAGTACACTTCAATAAAAATCGTTCCTGTTTTATTAACAAAAATAAATAGCTGTTCCAGACCAATATTTCATGCATTTTAGTTGACGACTTCATTTAACACCCCGGACTAAAGACGCTTTTGGGGTTTTCAAGTTTAGACCAACTTCTTTTTGAGAGGTGCCCCAGCTGTGCCTCATTTAATATTCATCTCACGAGTGATTGGGAAGATGGGGTCTATTATGGCACAACCATAATGGTGGTTATAATATTGTTGTATAGACAAATTATAAATATATACTCTGCTGCTAGACTGACTGGGTGATTGAGTGAGTCACGGCTGCAGTATAGTTGGAAGTCTATAGAAGAAGCAGAGGTGACCTTCACAAAGATTTATGTGCATTCTCCTGCATCGATCAAAATAACCGCCGGGCTAATGCAAAATGGGGAGTTGATAGCAAAGAAACTGGAGAGAAATTATCACTGCAGTGAATGTGTCTGACATAAAACGTCAATTTCAAGTTCCACATTTTAATCCCTTGTGGCCAGTTAAATGTTATGTTTAATGCCAATAGGAAATTTGTCAGAGCAAATCCATAAAGAAATCTGACAAAAGCTTAACCCTCCCAGAACCCTTTCCCAACAAAATATTACGGAATTGTATTCTCAATATTCTATGAGTAATTCAACAGCATTCTGAAAAATGAAAGAATTATAATATTTCACCAAAGACAAGTTTGTGGGATGGGAGGTGGTGAGTTTGAAAATGTGTAGACCACCATTTCACAGGCCTACCCAACTACCAGACTCGGCACCGAATGATCCTGAATTCACCGGCAGAACAGACCACACTACCCCTTTTCAAGGTGTGTATCAGTACGCATTTCACAGTATCATACCGAACAAATTTTGAGTGGTGATACAATACTTTTCAACCCAGCTGAGAATCGTCACTATCACATCGCGTACTAGGCAAGAGCGGTGTCGCGTCTGATACTGTGAAATGCGTAGTGATACACACCTTGAAAACGGGTAGTGTGGTCCGATCTACCGGTGAATTCAGGATCATTCGGTGCCGAGTCTGGTAGTTGGGTAGGTCTGATTTCAGCAATTCATTCATTACACTACATATCTAATATCTTATTCTGTTCAATGCTGCTTTATTATTTTTTTTTAAGGTAACTCAGGTCTAGGAGAACCCAGAATATTAATAAATCAAATGTCTTGGTATGTTTCAGTTCCTCCCAGTCCACACCATCCAATATCATAAGCAGTTCCCCAAATCAGCTTATATACCTTGGAGGGCTGTGATAATCAAAAGCAGTCTCATGCCAAAAAGTACGAGAAACTTGCCAGAATCAGTTTTCTACCTGATCACCTGTGGCAGAGAAACACAGACATTTCCTGAGATCTATTGCCAAGTTCCAAAGGGACATCCCAAAGCTATCTAGATGCAAAATATGTTTGGCAAGGGAAGATCAATAGGGAAGTGTTCTACTATGATGGATGCAAACATTTTTTATCAAGGTAAAAAAAAATGATCTACTGAGCTTCAGAGTCAGAAATAAATAATTTAACAGACAGAATGTGAAGCCTTTAAAAAATACAACTACTATTATTCTTAATATTGTTTACTTGGATTGCCAGTTCACCTGACACCATATTGAAATTACTTTTTTTTTTTTTGATAAAACATATAACCTCTTGAATACTAAGTACTAGAACCCAAGCTGAGATACACCAGCTTGAAGTTCTTAACTTATGACTGGCTGGCACTTGCTGTGTCTGCAGCAGGAAGCAAAACCTGGCTTCAGGTGTGGTTAGTACAGTTTACACTGTGGGAACTGCGATGCTAGTTTGCATCTAGATCAGGCAAGTTTATACAGACAACCAAGGCATTAATTGATTATGCAACCTGCAGTCTGTTTAAACAACAACAAAGATAAAAAATAAAAATACTTTTGCATAATTTAGCCTTGGGTACACCGGGATCAACCATGTTTTCTCTTTTTTTAAACTTGCCTTCGGAGAACCAACACCTGGATGATTCATATGTGTACTTCAGCATATATGCACATGTTCTAACTGTATATAGGAAGCAAACAACATTCTCTACATACAGAACTTAGGCAAGAGAGAGAAAACAACTTGTAATATACAATACCACATTTGGGGGGCGGGGGGGGAGGGCATAGGGCTCTTATTTGGTAACTACAAATTCAAATAATGCCTATTAAACTAGATTTTCAAAGAAAGAAAGAAAAAAAAAACTAGTGGCAAAATTTGAGCAACATTTTTCTTATTAAACAGGACTGCAAGTCAGGCCCGTTAAAATTTCTGTCACTCCATGAAATGCCAAAATAATTAAGATATTTAGGGCAAAATGACTATATCAAATGCTGCACATTGTACAATGATGTGACCCATTTTGAAAAGTTAGTGGCCTTATCATATGAACAAATGCTACGCTTTCATGAGTCAGACACTGTTTAGTTTTTCTTTTTTCTTTTTTTTTTGGGGGGGGGGGGATGGGGGGCAGCTAAGTACTACTTGGATAGAGTGGGTATCAATAATGTTTTAGTGCCTGTTAACTTTTAAAAGATGATCTTAACTTCTAAAATAAATGCCATGCATATGATATTACGTAGCCAATATCTTTACACTGCTGTCTTTAAAATACTGCGTAATGTGTACCGAGTTGCATAATGTGTACTGGAATGGCAACTACTAAAACAGTTCACATAACAGCTGGAGTTCACCATAGACCTTCAGCATTATCAACAAACATCTATCTGCTTTTAGCTAACAGCAAAATGTGAAAGGTTAAGGACTGTGGAAAACATTATATCCTGCTGTTTCCATTGTATCTATTCCATCAACATTTCTCTAAAAACATCTGATGGGAGATTCAAACTGCCCAAAGGAACGCAATGCAGTATAAAAATGTCTGTTTATTTGTCTCCTCACTACCTAATTTTTTTTCTTATATCTGATTCTATAAAAATGACCAAAAGAGAAAATATGTATTCTTAAGAATGCCAAATGAATGAATTTAACACACCAATCGTCTTTATTTACAACAACAAACACCCCACCCCATTCAAGATGATGCGAAAGTCATTTCTCCGGAACTAAACTAAGTCTCCAGTGCAAAAGACTATTACATTCCTGAGCTTTCAAAATAAATACAAGTAGGAGTTGTGTCTATTGTAACAGAATAAGTCGAGCAGACAGCTCACAAAGCCAATGTCAATAAATTCCTGCAGTTCTCCATTGGCTACTACTATTAAGGCATTTGAAGCGAGGAGAAGTGGGTGTGTGCACGCAGTGAAGGGCAGCACTTGGAAGTTCAGTGTTACTCTCTTATAGACCTATAGATGTGTTATGTGCTATGCTACATATCCCATAACACAGTGTGACATTTAATGTTTTCAGCACTTTGATATTTAGGGATAGAGTTACACTTGGATAAATCCACAAACATTGGCAAATGTTAATTCTTTAAATTAAAAACATACCGAAACACACTGTATAATATATATATGTGTTTCAATGTATAAATTTGATCCTTCAAAATGACAGATGCAGCACTTGCATGCCATTCATAAGTTCGCCTTAGTCAGCACAAGAGGAACAGGGGCAGGGCTGGACTGAAACATATGCTTTCATTTCTGACCAAAAGCAGCAGTTGACCCAGTTTTGTTATAAAGCCCCACCCCACCACTAACAATGCCAAATTCCATGCTGCAGAATACATATTATAAACCTGAACTGGAAATGGAGAGATTAATCCAACCTAAAGTGAAAGTTTGCAACAAACTGTAAATGTTTGAAGCTTTTAGTTATATTTTCTTGGCTTTTCAAACTTTGTTCTTTGTTAAACATGTAACATGAACTATTTAACTAAATTTAACCAAACGAAAAGTATATTAATAGATAAATAATAAAACACTGATCATCCTTTGGTGAACCAATATCATATTTAACAAAGTATTTAAAATGGTGAGTTATGCTTGGATTTCATACAACCTACATGTAAAACACAAGCCCTGTAATAGCATGCCCTCTCAGGAATCTCACATCATTCCATCACCACACCATAATCCTATTCAATCTCCTTTCTAGAATACCAAGGGCTGTTTCACCAAAATATTGGTCATAGCTTTTAAGATCAAAATTTTTTGTCTATTTTGACTCAAGATAAATCAGCAGTAAAGTTGTCCATTTCATTATATAAAGAAATCTATGGCTAGTCTTCGGAATTTTTTAAAACCATTACCAACTACAAATTTGTCTCTTAAACTTGTTAAATGGGAGCATTTCCCCCCAAAATCTGATAAGAATTTCTGTTCAAGAGATGAACAAGCATGATATGTTCGAATCTGATACAGCCATCTTGTTCAAAATTCCTTGAAGCATCTAAATAGCAAGGGAAAAGAGTTGCTTTGAAATAGCTTAGAATTATTTTTTTTTTCAAAATTTAACACTGCTTTCATCATATATATCGTACTGTCACTAAAATGTACATTTTCTAATTTTTTTCCAGCTTTTTATTCTTTTTTTTTTAAACATGGACTTTTATCCTAGTTCTGGGATATCACCACAGAACATAATCAATGTTTTCACATTTTAGATCAATAGTACATCAATTGTTTCATTTATATACAATGTTAAATAACCAAAATAATTTTATCATCAGAGAATAATATTCTTGGTAAAATTAATGTTGATGCACCAGCAGTCCAGAATGTGTTTGATAATCAATAAATGCCAACATGTTATTCCTAATTACCAAAATATCCTGAATACAAAAATTGATCTCTTGTGCAAAAAGCATTGATAAAAGCATATCTGTGTATCTGCTGGAAGCTGCTTTCTTCTTGCTGTTTGTATGCAGGTGGCCGATTTCACTTTACTTCTTAGATTTTTCAAAAGCAATTCCAAAGCTAACACTGAGTAATATTTAATATATATTTACTTCAATCTTGCAACTTGCTTCACAAAAGCCAAAAGCAATAATATATATAAACAATGATTGGCTGAAAATATAAAAGAGAGTAAAAGAGGTAGTTAATACCATCAATAAGGGCTTAGTTAAAAGACAAAAAAAAAAGGAAGCAGTGTTTTACATTCTCTGAGAAAATGCAATTCAGTTGGTTAAAATTCAAAACAGGCTTTGCTTGGACAGATTTTCATCTTCAGAACAACATTCATCTTGAAATCTCACCTGGAATCTCAGGATAATGGTCCATATGAGGCCCAGGGTCAGTCTCTGGTTCCCGTCCACTATGTCATGGGCGCCCATGTTCTCCAGGTGGACACGCTGCTCATTCAAGAATGTCAATGCCTTGTCCACATTCTCCAGACAGTGAATACGCATCTTGCCTTTGGTTGGTCTTGGCTGAATAAGGGATAGCAATATTTTCAGCAAATATTCTACAACAAAATTACTAATAATGACTGCAATTTTTTCCAGCAACTTCTACATATTTACTCTAAAAACATCTGAATTAACAACAGCATTGTTTTCAGCAATATTCTATTAACTCTCAAATGGTTGAATCAACAACAGCAATATTCAGAACAACTTTTCTATTTCCCACATGTATTTGGATACATCAGTGGGAATCTTATTTCACGTAAATATTAAATCAATACCTGCGTCATTTCAAACTAAATAAATGTTCGTGTTTTGAGTATATTTTTACATGATGCACGACTGAAACAAGTCAATTTTACAAGGTGATTCAGACAAGATAGGAAAATGATGGATAGTGAAGAACACTGCAAGAAGTGCGAGTTCTCATCTGACATAGAGAGCAGAGAAGAAACAATTAAAGGGGACAGGAATTAATTTCTTTCCGAAAATGTTCCTCACCAGTCTTTCCCCTGAGAGAACTTCCAGCAGCTTCATCAACATTTTGCCATCGCGGAGGTCCATGTAGAGATCGCTGATGCGGCAGCCCACACGGGCGAGGTGTGAGTTGACCCATTTTGTGAATGTTTTCTTCTGGACTGTTTCACGCTCATCTATGGAAGAAAAAAATTATTATTTAATATTTGGTTGGTGTAATGCATAATAAGACAGAATGTGTTTGTGAAGCTTATCTTTTGATATGTTTCATGCTCATCTGAGGAAGAAATTGTTGCATCAATATTTGGCTGCTTTAAAGCGTGAAATAAATATCTTTATTGAGAATCTTATCTTTTGATAGGCTTTAAGCCCATCTGAAGAAAATTATAGAAAGTTGATAGCAGTCCATAGCTGATCAAAGATACAAGGCTGGTTGTTTGTGATGATTTGAGTGTGATTTTTCTGGACTGTTTCCTTCTAAATGAATAGGAAAGATATAAATTACATAAGATGTAGCATTATCATGACATTCTCTGGTAAAAAGTTACATGTGAATGCTGTCTTCTGGAACCATGAACAATACATAAAAGGAATATGTGACCTTGTAAAGCAAAAATATATGCTTTTGTAATGGGTGAGGGGCATGACTTGACCCTTGGTAAAACTGTTTAGAATGTTTTGATTTCTATCTTTCAATAAGTCTGAAACTCTTTGATGGAGTTGAGAAATGTACCATCTCTCTCAAACTGCACTTCAACCTTCTATAACTCTTCAATTAAATGTTAAACAATTAGTTTTGACTATCCCAGTCCTTTTAAGTAATTCTTTATTTCATTTAAACACTTCATTTGATATTTGTTGGTATAGAAGTAAATCCCTCATACAAATATTCTGAACTCCACACCAGAGTATGTAAAAAGAAAGCATTTCAGCACTAAGCTATTAAACAATATGGTTTGCTGGGATATCAAACAAACCTAAGACATTACTCATAGACAGTGATTCATTCAGAAAATATGATTATGATAGCAATGCCTATACGTAGATGTGACTGACAGGCAATTCAAGTAGGTCAAAATTTTGTGCACATCTATCCCTTTCTGAATAAAAATAACATTTACTATTACTGCAAATCTGCCATAATTTTCGGGGGGGGGGGGGGGGGGGGGGATCAAATCCTCCAATGTAAGGGGGCCTCTGAAGGATCGACATTGACCATCCAAACTGACCATTAGGCCAGACAGCACACCATCGTTATGCAAGAGAGGTGTTATAATAGCCCAGTGGCAGTGGTCATTATACCAACCACTACTCATTTAATGGCTATTTGACAAGACATTTGAAACTGATAAATGGCCAGACAGGGCAAATTGCTAGACATCATGCACATGGTCAGTTTGACAATACTACCAGACATTGCAAAGTGATCAAGTGTCAAGTAATGTGGTTAAATACCAACACAGTAGTATACCATTTCATGAACTCATGCTGCTGTCTATTTTGGGGAAGAGCAAATATTGGTCTAAATATATCACATATATGTAATACCAAGTGAAGCAGGCAAATATAGACAGGTCGCTTATGGGCTAGAATGTGCATGGAGCAAGCACAGAAGCATTGCAACTGTGCTCACAGTCAATTTAATTAACAAAGTATCCAGCAGTAAAGGCAATATTACAGATTTAGAGATACATCAAATTAATAAACATCTGTTTATATGATCCCTTATGCTTAATTTATATTCTGTCTCACATGAAAGTCCTACCCTTTTTTTTCACCAATCAATATTCAACTAGTTGACAACAGCGTGAAAAGACTTCCTATCACCATGTTTGGTCACACACAACAAACATTATGTAAGTGGTTAATATCAGGTTAATGGAAGAAACAAAAATGTCAAGAAGCATTGTAAAATTTCAAGATGACAGTCTTTAAAATGCAGCAGTTTGCCAAGCAGTCAGACATTGTAAATTTATGCTAAAAGTAAAATTATAGGTCTTTGAATGATATACTGTAGTCTTATCAAAATCTTCAACTGATAGTGAAAACTTTAGTGTCTATCAGTTACTACTAAAGGTCAAATGTTTTAAAATCATAGATGTTCCCAAGTACAAGATGTCATTCTACTTCTCCTTTTCCCTCTTTTTTTTTCGGGGATGCAAAGTTTTACATACATATCATGGTCCAGTTATATGCTAAATTATCATAACCTATTCTCACATTTCTATGTTTTCTTCAATCAGATATTTTTGTCCCATATATTATATTGTATTAACTGAGCAAGCAGACAGGTAAATTAATTAAGAATGCACATGCTATATTAAATATAGGAAGATTGGACATAATTCAGGTACATTAGCATCTATGTGTCTAGGGAGAAAATATTCCTGGATGGGGGCATGTTCAAGTAGGAACTTTTTTTGCCTTAAAAGTGACAACATATATATTTCTATCTCTGATAGTTCAAAATACTACTTTAACATTGGATATAAAATTTACAACTTTCATGTGTTAAAAAAGTCCCTTGTTAACCCAACTGTACCCAATCACCCATTGGTCCTGATGAACATCCCAATGAACTAGACCTTACAAATACTGGACATCATTCCACTCATATTATGAGTGGAATGATGTCCAGTATGTATGACATTATACCAGTGCACAGACACTAGCCATTTTGTCAAAATCAATACACCAGCTTCTCTTGCTCTGCTCTACGTAAAGCAATGGCATATTATTGATCCTTTCAGCAGACCAGCAGCCTAACTTGCGCTATATTTGTTGTTACTGAATATCTAATACACTAATGTAAAGGGCTGTGTGCATTCTCACAGTATGGCTACATGGTCTCCAGGTTTCAGCTGTCATCACTTTTTTTATGTCTCTTATTACCACTTTAACGATGGGATTTCAAAAGATGTAGCTCTACCTAATGGGATACCTGAATCCCTGGGCAGTGTATCATGTTCACTTGTACTCATAAAATGCAAAAGAAAACACTTCGTATCTCACCAGTGTCCCAGCTGTCTGTGACCTTTTGGTGACTTTTACATGACTCAAAAACACTTACAATTGGAAATTGGAAGTGAATCATGTATTTCGATTTTCTTTCTTTTTTCTTGTTTGTTATGTTTGTTTTTGTTTCTTGTTAGTTTTCATAAATTTATTAATACAACTAGGGCAATATATCAAATGACCTTAAACATACAGAATACCAAGCTGTGTAATATAGTTTTTCTATGGAACATACAAATAGTTGATATTCTTAGCAGCAGAATGAATAATTTTACCTTCTGCCACCATGGGTATTGTAACATCTGACAAATGCACTATCCACAATTAAACAAGTTTGTCAGCATAATAGAAAGATGTAGCAGCAATCAATATCTGACCAAGTCATCTGTCTGATAACTACATGATAATACTGCACTTGACTATTGAACTTTGTTAGCCTTTTCCTTTGGGGGGCAAGATGTTTTGTTGATATGAGGGTGCTCCCTGCTTTCATATGTTTCACTGGAATTAATGTATTGTAATACTCTTGATTATATTGACAAAACTTGAAGGCAAACAATTAAACCAAAGCACCTTATTTACAAAAGCAGTTTATCCACAGTTTACAGGCGCAAACCTGCACAAACATAAGCCTCAATACTTTGACTACCTTTCTACTTCAATATTTAAGCTACTGTTCAAGTACACATCTAAATATACTCAATAAATTATTTGCAAACTGTTCAGTCTGCTGCTGCTGCAATAATAAATAAATAAATAAAAATAATAATTAATTTAAAATATAATCTGACAGAAAATGTTCTATTTTTTCTATCTTACTTGGTACAGACAAATGGCAGGATCCAAAAATGGAAACTTATCTGAATTCATGCTAAGACCAAGACCAGGTTGGGAATATTATGATCATTATGATGATACCTCCTGCTAAAGATTTCCCCTAGAGAGCTTGCAGCTAAGAACCTGCTGCCAGCCATTAATCAAAATGCATTCTGTTACCTTGCACAAACACCCAGACAAATGACCTGAATATCCAGACACTAAAACAGTGACAATTAACAATTTCAGGATTCAAAATTCAATTTGAGAAAAGTCTGAAGCATAATGAGCTAAACAGAAAAGGTGCATCTTCTCAATAAAACTGCACTTGAGTGTAACTATAAAATTTAATAATAAATGAAACCATAGCTTTGCTTCTATTATTCCACCTTTATTCTCTTTCTAAATGTATTTCTGCACACAATAATCAGCTTCTGTTCCAGCAACCGGTTTATTTTTTTTGCCTTGCAGTGGGTGTATTAATGTTGGCCCGACTCAAAAGTAAATCTGCTATATGGGAAAGAGACGAGAGACTCTTGGTTTTTCAATAAGTTGCCAGGGGAACCATAATGAGTGTGCAAGTTTCTCATGAATCATGAATGCCACTTGACAACAGCCTCCACACTAACAGCTAGAAGCTACTTCAACATAAAACAGCACAGCAGCAATGGGCCCAAGATGTGTACAAGAAAAATGGCTGTCAAGGTAAAGGGCAGGATATGCACAGCAGATCTTTATACATTTAAGAATTTCAAATCATTAACTTAACTCCTTGTATATTCTGTAACATTTAAAGAATGTTGCCATCTACTCAATGGGAATTTCTGAGCAAACAACTGATTGCAGACAGATGAGGACAAATAGCATTTCAAATGCGAACCAATGCTATGCAAAACATTCCCTTTCAGGCTACAGAGTCCCATTAATTTTCATATATGGTCAACCAACATCACAAGACCAAAGGCAGCACCTGATATTGTTCAGATGCTTACTTCCCTGACCTTCAAGACCTGTGTGGAAACAGAATAGGTGGACACAGTAGCCTGTATTGAAAATGGATCTTCTGCTCATGTGCACTATTTTGGTGCCATTTGTATGGGCATTCTGACTAATCTAAATGATAATTGTGGTACTGCCTTTATAAACAGTGAGACTCCCTTTCTGAATTTGTTATCCATCTTTGACCCAAAAATAACAAAGCTTCACAAACTTCTTCCCGAATCACCACAATATATTGCACTAAAATTTATTGATCAATCTTTCGGAGCCTATCCATCCAATGGGAAACAACAAAAGCATGCTCTTTCAGTCAAAACTGAAAAGTAACTTTAGATTGTCCCTCAACCTTCTAACTCTGAAAAACAGAAATTTCTTAGGCTCTGCTGCAATGCAAGGCATATGGATAAAATGATACAGATTCAAACAGATTCACAGAATAGTTTTTTTTAGCATTTTATATAGAATAAAATAACTGACCATAAGAAATTAAAAAAACAATAGATTCGTTAAAAATATATATAGAAGAACTGTATGCGGTAAGTTACCTGCAAGGGCTTTGATTCTGGAGCGTTCAAATAGCTTTGATGAATTATTTCCTCCATCCCATTCTTCTTCCATTTGTACCTGGCCAGGCTCCCAGCGGATGCCCGCGTGCACCTGCTGGACCTCCGTCATAATGCTAATGGCTCACGCCAGCAAACCTAAACACAGAAGAGGAAAGCAATCATGAATTTTTCACTAACACGTTATTCCACAATTATTGTGCCTCAGATAATGGCAACAAGTATTTATATTTTACATAAATCTGTATAAAACACACGCACAGACAGTGACACACACACACAGGTTAAAAAAGCTGTTCTCCTGCTGTAAAACTCAAACAATCAATTTACTGCCTGCAGTTCAGATAAAATATCAAGTACTGTATAATTTAGTTAAGGCCCAGAATCCATCTAAAGACGCATCAGCACATAACTCTTCAAACTTAAACGGCCATTAACTGAACTTCAAAGAAAGCTTGGTAATCTGCACTCAGTCACTTTAAGCAGAAACTTGTTGGAAATATCTTCTTTTTCATACAGAGTACAAATGAAATTTTCACTGACATCACCTAACAATGTATGTGCCACAGATAATGCCAACTACTTGTTTACATACAAGATCCTGAATTAAATCTGCACCAACTTTGAACCCACGCTATAAAGAACCTGTCCATAAAATCTGGCAAAGAAACTTAACAGTGGATAATTTATTACTGCTAGTAGATAGCAAGTGTGTGAGTGTGTGTCACTATCTCTGTTTGACTTTCAGGTGGGAGGACAAATAGCAGTCAACTACAGCAGGAAGCCAGGGTTACGATGCCTTTTAAGATTTATAACTCACATTGCAATTTTGTAGAAATATAAGACATACACATAAATTTGTGTAAGGCCATTGTTTTAATGCTACTCAACACAGTCTGACCCTGGTATGAACTGATACAGTGCTGCATGGCCCAGTGTAAACACACCCACAGAGATTCCAGAATTGGCCAAATGGCCACACAAGACCTCCAGTGTCTGCTATTACAAACATGCCTTGATAAGCTCAGACATAAGTCAAGAAACGGGGAACATTCGGGTCTGGAACACCAGGCTACATTCCACCTACATCAGTTAATGTAAGAAAAATGTTTGTTCCTTGGGTTAAGGAATATGAGAAATAAATAACTAGCTGAGTTTGTGTCTGAAAAAACATTGAAATCAAGCAGATAAAGATTGCATGTGCATGGAGCCTGTGAATCAGATCAATAAAACCAGCAAGGCCTGTTAGTTTAAGCAATCGATAATATATGCATTGTTAAACCAGGCTTAATAGCAAACAAAATACTAACATCACTGTTACGTCAAAATACCTAGTGCCACCCTTATATATCTTTACTGGAGTCTGTACACTTACATTGATTTTAAATAGATTTTAAGGCAGGATGGGATGGTCGAAGTATTGCAGTAATGCAGAGGGGTAATTTTAATTCATATATCCATTTATAAGTCGGCACACTGCAGGTTTTCTGATGGCTGCACGCACACTGTCATAAGTAACCCCATGAAAAATCAATGAAGCTATGAGAGAGTAAACATTAGTAGCTGGTCCGTTTCTGCAGTGACCTAGATATGAAGAGCTGGCCCAGTGAGTCATCGTTCCCCTATGATCTGCTGGTAGATTTCGTGCTGACGCCTAATCAGCAGGAGGAAGGCATAAAGATAGGGCCTTACTTCACTGTACTGTGATACTAAATTTGATCAAAGAGACGGAATGCTTTGTAGTATCATGGTAATGACTGCTGACCTTAAAGGACGTCCAGTTATACCCTATAAATGCAAATGCCTGATGCAAATTTCCTATTTATTTTTCTCTTAGTTTCATTTTGTATTTCACTTCATATCAAGGAAGTAGTTGCAAAGGAATCCTACAAGGACTGAAAACTCTTTTATTTCAACCTTTTCTCCATTGCAAAAATTGTATTTTGCCTCAAGAGGTCAACATTAAATGCAGGAATCCATAATTTCCTTAGTTTCCTCAGAACAATAATGATATGATAAAATACATATTCCCATTCATTCATATTTTAAAGGAAGGCGTTATGTTGTAAGTAGACATTTACTAACTTCTGTCATGGACAAGATTAATGACAGCTGGATGATGTTCATGGCCTGGTGTTAATCTCTTCCAGATAAGTATTGCTCATTACCGCTTTCCTTGAAATGTCTACAGATTTAATCATTGATAATAAAATACCAAGAACAGATTATTAACAGGAAAAAGATTCAATCTGACAAAAGATGCTTTTTAAAAATAATCTTTACATAATGCTCTCCAATGTCAATGATCTCACTTGTATAAATCTTGTTAATTTTACAAATTGGGTGTTGAATAGAAAGATTGCATGTAACTAAAACATATGTTTAGTGTTCAATAAACTGACTTTTACCTAAAATTATACCACTAAAATGTATACACACACACACAAAAAAAAAAAAAAAAAAAAAAAAAACAATTAAATCTACAAGTGAATCAACTGGTATCTCTGAACTAATGGAAAAAGAACTGAAACAAAAACTACCACTGATCTTTTATGTTCCAAGTCCCTGGAGATCCTGATTCTAAATTAGCAAGTTAGTTGAGACTACTTCTTCAAGGTTTATCTAATCATGCCAGTAGTAATACACTTAATACAGCTCATCACATGTTAATGCTGACAGCAGAGCAAAAGATTCTTTAGTCAAACTGAAGAATCATGGACCAAAAGTAGAACAGTATATTCCAGGAATTTCCATTGCCTGGACGTGAAATCAATAAAAACATTGCCACGATTCACAAAAATTCAATAAACTGGTCTTATCTAATAATTTCATTCAAAATATTCCTTGTATCAACTGACAAATATATCACACCATTTAATTAAATCTGCCTTAAGGACTTCATTGCAGTTAAACATTTGTTGTGTTCACTTCATGCAAGCAGTATCAGGCCCGTAGCCAGGGGGGGTTCGGGGGGTTCGAAAGAACCACCCCTTTTGCTGGGAAAAGGTTCACTCTGGGTAAAATTTTAGCTATGTACATGACGTTTATATGGAAAAAGGTCCACTTTTTCAGAAAAAGAACCCCCCTTTGGAAATTGCTGGCTACAGGCCTGAGTATCATGTATGTAACACCATATGGACTTGGAGCCAATTGAAAAAAAAAATTAAAATTAACCCAAGACCAACTTTTAAAATTTAGTCTGAACTTAAAGACCAAATATAGTTCTCTTGTGAAGTCCGCCTATGGTCAGTAGTGGCGGGCACTGAGAGAGTAGCAATGCAGACCATGCCAGCTATGCACTGATGTGGTGAGCAAGGGAGATCTACAGTACAACACCAGATGTGTGCAGCATGCCAGGTCAGGGCACCCTGGGTTCCACAGACTCATCTTCTATAATAATAATATCATGGTAATGGAATGTGGAAGATGAGTGTATATTACCCAGCCACTCACAGTAAGTGATCCAGACTCATTATAGATATTCTGTTACCATGATGTGCACATGTGGAAAATAAATTGCTTTTCCCACCTGATGAACCTCAGGGTGGGTACCAGTACTCAGGTTGTAAGTTCTCACATTATACCCCATGGCTTAAGCAAACATCACTGTTAAGAATCCATAATTCCACAAGGGATATTATTGGATTAAACACCACATTTGCCTTAATTTCACCTTCTCACACCTGAGGAAGATTGGGGAGGGGGGGGGGGGGGAGCACTACAGTTTGTCAGGGTCAGCCACCATAACCCTCTAAACAGGTGAAGGGGAGTGCCTGAAAATACTTTTTTCCACTTAATTGCTATTAAACCTAGGCAGTGATGTTTGGATAAGGTAAAACAGCTGATTTTCACACTTAAAATCTTGGGCCACTTTCCTGAAGCATGACATGAAGATATTTTTGCCCTTAACAGTTCTAAAGATGTATCAACAAAAGCTGCCATGCTGAACTGTCTAACAAAGCAAAGAATGCTTATGAATCCGATCTTTTGCTCCTTTTTGCTATACAGATATAAATCTATCATTTTTTTTTCAAATAATATGTACGTAAGGTCTTCATGGTAATTTGGTAAATCAATATATCTGATGAGTCAAACATTTAACGAGCTACTTGTCTGTAATCTTTATTAATGCTATAAGCAGTAAATTTCATAGACAATGCTTAAAAAACTGAATAAAATTTGGCTGTGATATACACCAATTCTAAGCAACCTTGTTCAAATTTTTATTTTCTATATATATATGTTTTAAAATTCTTTATATATGCCCTCTATAATGGAACATTATTTACTAGATTTTTAACTTTTTTTTACTCACATACTAACAGCATTAAATTTTGAAAATATCTGTCTCCCTTCCGAACTCCAGATCAATGTGACCTTTCCCTCGACTTAACTTTCATCACATCTACTATCTAACATCGTGGCCTCCCTTATCAGTATGACCCGTCCATTACTGCTACCGGCGAATCTTAAGCTCAAAATTATCACAGGTCAACTCCGCGTTAGACTGTCACTAGATCAAATGTGTACAGATGCACGTTTAAAAGCTAACCTTGTCTCGTGCTCTACACCAGAAATAAAAAAAACATCAAATATGGGTGGGTGTAACCCAACTTAACGATTACGTCTGGGACAAGAAGCGTACCATTGGAGACATAAAAAACCTATACAAGGGATAAACAGTATTCAGTACCCTGCATTTTAAATGACATCTAATCATGGACGTTGCTCTTATTCTGATAGCAAAGATATGTACTATGTTTCCCACATTCCAAACATAGAACCCTACGCGCCATGTTGCCTGCTTCGGAAGCCCAGCCCTGTTGAATGGGTTGCTCCTAGAATCTGCCAGAGCTTGGGTAAAACTACAAACCGATCGTGCCCTTCCTTACCTAAGAACAATCTTGGATCCTTTTTCCCCACGCCTGCTGTAATGTCGCTATCCCACGTACCAAGAATTGTAAATCCACCCGGCTTGTTTTGGGGATTTCTCGTACGTTGCTGCAGAAGATTGCGGGAACCGACGCAAGCCGCTGCACTCAGCCGGGAAATTTACTTCCGCTGAATATTAAACATGCACAGTGGACTTTTTCCGAATGAACTTAAGCTGTGCTCTACATTTTGATCATATATAAAGCTATAGAATAACTTCGTTTTATTCATGTTTGTATGCTTAAATAGACAACATTTTGCATTAAGTGGCGTATGAATATAATCAATATAAGTGTGAGTAAATGATGTCATCCATTTAGCACTATGACCTTATTACATATTTATGAGCCAAGGAGGCCGCCAATCATTCACTTTCACAAACAAGCCGCCCACATGGGTGGCGAAGCTGAAATCACAATCAGTACACCAAACACAATATGCTTCTGAATATATTAGTCTGCACCAAAATTAAACTATGTTAAAATAGTTGGCCTGAACTCTTCTTTAGGAGTTTAGGTGGAATTTGGGGAAAGATTTGTTCTTGTAGAAGTATTAGCATTATTTGTAACAACAAACACTTGGAAAAGTCTTGTTTAATTTTTGGCTTTGGCTCTTGTGAAAGACTAATGTCTGCAGCAACATCCATGGACAAATTACAAAGGACATTTTCACTCTATCAATTCAATTGCCAAACCGTTTTAATTGAAATTAATGTTTGAGCCTTGCCACAAAGTGAATAAAAATTGCACTTATTTTTTATTTTGTAGAATCCATAGAAAGGTGAAAGGAAACATTCTTCTGTGATGGTTTTGGTGAAACGTGCTAGAACCAGCTAGACTAGTTATATCTTCAATCAGGGCCGTAGCATCCGGGGGGGCAGGGGGGGCAGCTGCCCTACCTGGGATTTGAGGTGCAAAAAAAATAATCGCAATTTCTGACTTCTGATTGAGCAATAAATAACAGTTAAAATGCACCAGAATGCAGTATTATACATACAGTTTTTAAAAATTTTCCACACCGTGGGACACCCCCTCCCACAACCTCCCCACTCAGGGGGCTTTGCCCCCTCGTGTCCGCTTACTGCCCCCCCTGGCATTTTGCTCAGGCTACGGCCCTGTCAATTAATTTAAACTGCAAGCTTTTTTGTAAAGTTGATGCTTGTTCAGACAAGTTAATTGTTGAACCACAAGTATTCACAAGTGAAAGACATTGTAATATCTCTAAAATGCAATACACACACACATACACACACACACAGCCAAAATGGAACAAATGAAAAATTGATTCAGCAACAAGTTTATTTCATTTATACTGTGCATGGAAGCAACATTAATCGAAATTTCGATATATAACACTAAATTAATTGAAATATCCAGAATTCAAAGCCACTTTTGCCTTTGACAATATTGTTTGAACATTTGTATTCTCAGAACACATACATCTGTTAATTGTATGCCATATAGCTAATATAAACAAATGGAATATAGAGTCAAATGTGAAAAAAGGAATTTATAATCAAAGCTGCACCTTAATTCCACTCTCTTGTCAAAACTTGCTCTAAATGTAAAGGCAACTTAGATCTCTGGAAACTGACAGCCTTTCCTGAAATAATAACAGCTCACATCAATTAACATGTACATGGCATAATATTCATACTACATAGATGGTCTATGTATTTTCTTTAGAACATTAATGCCATTGGAACCCATACAATACTGATATCAGTCTTTAAAACGCATTCTTTCATACAGTGCTTCCAAGGTTGACTTTTTTTCACAACTTATGTGGGACATCTCCCAAGCAAGTCTTGCAAAGTTGCTAAGAAGGCTAGAAAACTGAAAAATAGGTAACCTCCCATGGATGTATTGATTATCCATGTTGGGAGGCATGGAACATCAGTTTCTTATGACATTCTTTTTTTTTCAGCTTTCAGTCTTAAGCAGCTTGCCTTGGTGATAGCTTCCTTGCTCTCTTCTTTACATTTGTAAAGGATTTAAAACTGGCATTTCCAACATCATTTGTTCTCATGTTTTCTCCCCAAGTCTCATTTATTGGACACTTATACCAATAATGATGGTGGGGGATACTCATGATGCAATCAGTAATTATGGATTTCTTGCACATACTAAACATTTGCCAGCAGTGAAATTCCTGTGTGTACAGGAAAGACAACCACCATGAACTTGGAACCTGCACTGTCAGAATCTGACTCATACCACAAAACTAAGGAAGTATATAATAACTATAAATTGACTGAAATAAAAAAAAAAAAAAGATATACCCATGAAATACACTTTTGCTTTATCAGTATTAAGTATAATTCACACCAAAGTACAACATATCAACAGATATATGGTAAATATTTCACCAAATCATAGCATGTCATATTTACTTTAACTTCAGCATTTCCTGACTAGGGGTGACACCTACTGGCACTTGACTCGTACATGTTTATATATATAGATATAGACACTAAAAAGAAAGCTTTTCAATATATATTTAGTAGAGTGCTATATTCAGTTAAATAATTCTCTATTATACCAGTTCCAAACTCTGAATTATCCCACAACCAAATAAAAAATCCAGAAACTACAAAAAGAAGTTCTTACAGAGCTGTGTAGCAAATATACAAAATCTAACTAATATTAAAATTTAAACTTAGGATAAATAAAATTGCATTATAATTGCAAACACTATAATAAAGTTATCATTTCCAAATTAATTTTGGATATTGGTAAATGATTTCATATTCATACTATATATTGTATGAAAGCCTAAATAATTTGACTACCAAGTGGTAATCAATCACAAGCAAATGAATCCCATCTTAAGAAAAGATCAATCTACAGCAGGAAGAAAGTCATCACTGAAAAGGACGTCAAATTTGATCCTCATAGAATTACAACTTCTACTATAATTCATTGCCTCATTCATATCAAAAAGTGATAACAGTCAATGACAAATTTTACTAATACAGAATATGAGAGCATATTAACTGTCTACACAGCAAATAGTCCTTTTTATCTAAGCTTCCCTCGGTGGTTTGATAGGTGTATTAAATCTAGCAGCTATTCGGCACTTCTTGGGTGTCCCTCTATTGGAGGAAGGACTGGCACTGTGCTCGGAACCCCCACTGCCACTCTTGCTGTTAGGGCTGGCAACTGCTGAAGGGGCATTCCTGCTGGGAGTGCCTTGAGCAACCATCTCTCTTGCTGGTTCAGCAGTACTGTTTGCTGAAAGAGAGGCAGCTGAAGACTTTGTTTTTTCCTGTTGCTGTTTCTCTTTTTGTGGTGTTTTCAGCATCTGCTGCAATGCCAGTTGCTGTATGTGTAGTGCCTGCTCCAACTGGTGCTGATGCTTTATCATCTCTGCTTCCTGTTGCTGTTCATTTTGCTGCAACTGCTGCTGCTGCATTTCCTGTTGGTGTGGGTGTGTCCTGTCTTGCCAATGTTGCCATCTATGTATGATCTGCCCAGGAGGCATAGAAGAACCAGACTGGTGTGGTATCACTGGCAAGGGCTTTGGGAGGGAGGAGGGCAAATACTGGGCTGCAAACTGTAGCATGCTGGAGACTGGGGTTTGACAAAGTGGCGTCTTCTGCCCCTTCTTCTCGTCAGCTGTCAGACTGCCCAACACTCCTAGAGATGAAAAAAATACAACTATGATCAATCAGTCACAAATTTGCTGTATATATCATATTTGCTTTAAAAAAATATCAACAATCTCTAAATTTGACTTTTTGATTCAACATAACTGCCAACTTCATTCCACTTCAACTAACAATACCTAATCTAAGGAAGATTTTAGATGTTCGTTAATTAAATTACTTTTTAATTTTACTCACTTTGTGAGATCAATAAACTATGCTTCAATGGGAAACAACTATAACTACTGAGGTATAACATTCTCACCTTCTAACAAATTCTGGGGCTTTTGCATACTGTAGGATTTTATTGCACCATCAAGAACTATGAGATCCTTTTCATCCAGTGAAGTGCTGCTGGGTTTTAAGTCAGGAGATGGAACAGAGGATGGCACAGGGTCAGCCAGAAAGTCAACAGGACTAGTCCCCCTGCTGACTGCTAGATGCATTAGGTCTTTATCCTCATCATCTGTCAGAAAAATTACAAGGGATTATAAGTGTATAAGAAGCTTCTGATGAAGCTGAATGAAGTTGCTATAAAAGGCCAAAATCTTTAACATAAATGGCACATCATTTGCCATATTTCTTAGGGTCTTTGACTGAGTAACTTTTCTCTGAATATTTGTTCATTTTACAATTGACAGATGTCAATCCATCATCTCTGCCCTTCACATTTTAATTCCACTTTAAGAGGGAAAAAAATCATAACTATGGTCAATCAAACATGCCCTACTGAAACAATAAATGATATATTATTTTCTCCAAACTCACAGTATACAGAAGGACACCTACCTGTGATTCCAGAGTCATAGGAAGGACTTGCAGACTTCCCATCTTGGTTAGACCTCCCTGCAGTGCTGCCATCTAAACCTTGAATCTGAGAGGGTGGGATATACTGGGACAACTTGCCTAAAAAGGAAAATTTATTTTTGTTCCACCTTCAAACTGCCCAAAAAGGAATGGAGTATTTTGCCATGGTGTTTGAACTTGTTTCAGATACCAACATCAAGCAGATTTTATTACTCTGATCTAAAATTTTAACCTTTTACAAATCATAGTTTTTTTTCCATCTGTTTTGTTAAACATTTGGTAGAAATCTTGCCCCCCCCCCCCTCCACATCAACCAATCAAGTACAGCAACAAGAGCACCATCTTTCTAAAAGTGAAGATCTGGGCATATTCTTTCTATAAAGAGGTGAGAATATGATGATCTTTTTTTCTATAAAATGGTGAAGATCTGGATATAATGATTCATTTCTCTATAAAGGTGGAGATATGGAAATATATTTTTCTTTCTCTAATGATGTGTCTTTTAAAATCATTAATTTTATTTTATTAAGAAGTGGAAAACTTGAGATTTTTTTCTTTCTTCTTACCAATAAAGTCCTGGGACAACAGCACTGTCTTTCTATATCCTTTTCCACGGATGGTAGCAACATGAGGTATGGCTTGGAGGAGAGCCATCAAACTGGCAAAGCCATAGCGCACTGGTTTCAGCTGGACCATGAACTGGCCCTCGTAGGCAGATTCAAACTGCTGCAGTCCTATCTTGCCTTGGTTGCTACGTAGAAGCAGACGAACCTCACGAGCAAACATCTGTAGCGGCTGAAGCTTCACTACCCGTCTGTTGCCTTCCCCTGTTACCTGTATAGAAATGGACAAATGGCATACAATATTTGATGTTTAAAATAAGAAAGGTATTCTTGACTTTCATATGAGCCATGAGAAAGTAAGATTTGGGAGATCAAAAGGCATTTGACACTTGTTGGCATGATGGCGGGGTCCTGAATGTATCACATCTCTGTGATCTATGACAAGGTTTTAACCCAGTACCTCTTCTCCTACCCCATCCCCACAAAATAGGGGTTGGGGTGGGGGCAATTCAGTTTTAATACCTTTCAACAGGGGTAATACCTGATAATTAATGATTCTATGACAACAGCTATCCAACAATGTACCTTTTTGCATCATGATGTTTATTCTTTTACTACTTAACAACTGCTAAAAAGAAGGAAAATGTAAACATCTTCATCATTTTACTCTTAACAGTTGTAAAGGCACTGTTCATATGTACCATGCTAACCTCAATGTAATACTTGAGCTCCTTCAATGCAGTATCCACATTGAGACTTGTATTGAAGGTGGTCTTGTATGTATCCCAGAGATCACTGCAGGTCATGGTGCCTCTGTTGTGGTCCATTAACAGCAGGAGGACACGGTAGGCTTGCTGGGACATGGGGGCTCTGTTGGCCAAGGTGACCCACTCTATTCCATCATTCATCTCCACCTATATGTGTATATGTAATGTGTATGTATATGAATTTATACCTTGAAGAGTGTCCTGAACAAAAGAACAAGAGGATGGATCTCACATGCAGGCTCGTCTAGCATGCACAAGAACATGCTGTGCAACAACAACACCAGACTGCAGGATGCATGTGACATTAATTCATGCTCTTCACCTTGCATATCTAATGTGTATGCAGGCACATATGCACATACAGTAGGGAAGGTAAGTTTTAGTATGAAATTATGTTAGTAACTGAAAATCCTAATTTGAAATCCATATTTCACTGTGATAGCTTGAAATAGATAATCATTTAATTTTCAGGGTTTATTATGATTTGGTCCTGGAGGATAATCTTTCTAGGTTAATCTATCAAGTAGAAAAAAATCAAACGATAACTTTCCAATTTGTGAAAGAACAATATTTTTACTGTAGAAAGTCAACAATGACTTACTTTGACAATGTGTTTCAGTTTCCCTAGCAACTCGGTAGATGACTCCACCTTGTAGTCTTCAAGTCGGAGTGCGTGTCCATGGCAACTCATGAACTTTGACCCCAGCTGTGCCAGAGGGATGCACTGACTGTGCTCCGACCTAAGCATCTCCACCATCTGCTGTGATAGCACCTTTAACAGTTCCTTCTCTGTCAGTCGAATGATTTTGTCATCTCCTGGTTCTTCAACAATCTGAAACAAATATGGGCTGGTTAATATATTTTTTTCTTTTCAAGGTGGTTGACAGTTGCCCAACAAACCTGCCTTTAGCAGCATCAATCACGTCTTTGTGAACTGTGCAGTAGAACAGTTAACTGTGAACAGTAATCCTGAATAATACTGAGTTACATTGTTAAAATTTGTAAATAGTACAGAATACAAAAATAATATGTATAAATACTTAATAATCAAATCAATGCCTTTGTATATACTTAAGAATATGGTCTCAATTGTAAGAATATGATTTGAATAATAAATACAGTGCAAGTACCTTTGAGAAGACTAGAGTAAATAATTTAATCTTTAATGAAGTAAAAGTATTCATCTATACCTCTACTGTGTCTGGAATGGCCTCAAAGAGTTCCAAAAGTTTGGTAAATCCATAGTCGGAGACCTTGCACTGTTTGCCAAAGTGATGGTGGTAGGCCGGGATGAATTTGTTGAAGGGCATGTCACACTGGGGGCTGTGCTTCAGGAGGTCAACAACCTCCAGGGCAAACTGCCTGGTCCGCTCCATCTCCTCCTCAGTTTGGTCTGCAGTACATGTAAAACAGATAAGGTGTTTTTAAATTAATAAGGTATTTCATAGTTTTCATTAATCATCATTATTCTCATTTCATTTTAAAAATCCTGGATGACACCAAACAATTTCTTTTAGAAGAATATAAAATTTGGTACTTGTTTTAAACAACTAATGCTAGTATTTTACTTTTTTCTTAGGCTGTAAATGATGTAAACTGATGGCTATCCTCACCTCTTCTTGGAATAGTGATGATCATTTCTTCACCAAGGCCACATACCTACATAAAGATGGTAAAATGCCAAAATAGAATTTCAAAGGAAAATTCATTATAATGAAAATTTAAGTTACAAGTTATTCAAATTCAAAAGGAACATTAAACATTCTTATAATGACTTTTTTCTGAACATTAGCTGAAACTTGTGATAAACAGATAACAATGATAAAAATAATGAAAATAATTATTTTAAAAATGCCATGGCTGAACTTACAGTGACTGTAGTTTCTGGCAGTTCCACCAGCATGTCCTCCAGGAAGCACACACCATAGTCAACAATATCAAATGGCTTCAGGACATATTTAGCTGATTAAAAAATTACAAAAATTATAAGTAAACATAAATGCAAAATAAATTTTGAGGATTTTTTCTCTACTTTGTTGTGCCTTTAACTTAATAAAATGTATTACAAATATACTTACAATATGCATCTGCAAATTCATGCACAGGAATGGACTTGGTCGGCTGTGCTTTCAGAACCCTGAGGAGGTCAGCCGTGAACCGCCTCACCTGGACACGATGGGTCAGCGTCAACACCACGCGCTGACCAAAGCCCATCACCTGAAGAGGAATATACATATATGTTTAGATATTATGCCATATATACACACAAGTCAGTCAGGTGTGTGTATGTAATATACATGTATGAATGCCAAGAAAAAGTGGATGTCACATAAATTACGCTGACAAATGGTGTGTCTGGCTTACAGCACAGGAAATGCCAAAAACAAAATACCAAGGTAGTGTAGCTTTAGTCATGAGTAGGATACACGGAGACAAGGTACACCATGCCTATATTTTTGGAGACAAGGTACACCATGCCTATATTTTTCGATTTATCCTCTCTCTATTTCCTCTTCTCTGCCTGACAATAAAAAATTATGTGCTACACCAAATATATGAAAACACTTCAATGTCCATGATACAACAAAGGAGATTCATTTCATCACCTGCAGCACATGTGGCACAGCCTCAAATAACTCCATCAGCTTGGTATAGCCATAGTCCGCCACCCTGCACTGGCGGCCAAAGTGGTGGTGGTAGGCTGGGATGAACTTCATGAAGGGAATCTGTGAGTGGGGGCTCATCTTCAGGAGGTCCACTACTTCACGACTAAACTGGTTCAACTGCTGACCCATCACCAGGGATGGACACGGACGGTCATCATCAGCTGAAACATTTATCAAAAAATGTCATTGGATGGTTATCTTGAGCCAATAATATAATCGATTTTTCAACCTGTCTGTACATTTTTTGCCACATGAGTTAGTTAGGCTGTTCAATAAAAATCAATACAGAAGGCTATGAAAACAAGACATGCAAAAAAATTATTTGAATATTTAAATTGAAGTTACTTGTAAAAGCTAGTCTGCGATCTCAAATGCATTCTAAAACATGAAGGGCATTAAAAATAAGTTGCATTTCAAAACAATCAAACAATATATAATTTTTTTCAATCTTTAAAATTTGGATGAACCCAGAAATATAAGTATTTAAAGAACAAATGTTACCATCACAGGCCGACTTATTCTCGGCCCAGTGAACTTTCTTGATACCAGACTTGGACAGCTTGATCTGCACCCCGGGGACACAGCTTATCAGGTGCTCCAGGGGCACCCCGTCCTGCTCCAGCATGGGGAGGGGGCCAAACTCTGTCTCATAGCACTGGGGAAAGCTGAAATGTTCACAACAATACCCTTTGAGCACATGGTGAAATTGAGTGAATGTCTTTAGTCATCCAGTAGAATAAGAAATGTGGGTAAATAAAATTTGGGAACTTACGTACATTCAGCAACTAACCAGCCTTACAGTCTCAACTTGAGACCTTTCACTATGTTATGCCCTGGATGGCCTCCTCAACTGATTTATTGACATATGGCTCAGAACAGTATCCGGTGCCACATCTGCTATGTGTGAAAGACAAATGCTGGAGACTACTCTGAGCCCGTTAGTTGATAAATGGAAGTTCCAGAACTTCATTTATACACATTTCTCACCCAGTGAAATTAATTAAAAATACAAGGTCAGAAACTGAAATATCTAAGGTGCAGACAGCATGTAAGCACCCTCACCTTCCACACAGACTAGTACAGAGCACATACCTGATGAGGGGCAGACTTCCATTGTGAGTCTGTAACAAAGTGTGAACATGTGGTGCAAAACTCCTGAGAGACAGCACCACATTGGGCAGCACCACAGCATCCAGCATGTCTACGTAGTTCTGATTGCCACAGTGAATCTCACACACTGGCACTTCGAAAATCTCTTGAACCTGAAATCCCAAAGAAAATCAGTGAAGTGAAGAATTTCAGAAACTCACTTTTCAATTATGTCTTAAACTCTAAGAACATCAAGGAAAATAAGGTAAATAAGAACAGCACTGTATTGGAGTAATCTCTTCTCCCTAATACCTATTTAAAAGACCTGGAGGGAATTTAATACAATGAGGAACATCATAGAAGAATCCTTCCAGCAGTGCATAGCATAGCAGGATGAAAAACTGCACTAAACTTACAGGGGATTACTTTGAATGACCCATGTAATTTATAGGTGCAATGATTGCACCGGCAGTACTAGAGGCAAAACTAGCACAATCTCTGTCTTTCCACTTATAAATTGCATAAGTGAGAAGTAGTCCACATGACCTGCTAGCCTTTTCTGTGCTGAATTTGGCAGACATTTGAAAGTAGTGATACAGGCAGGACCTTAGCTTAGGAGACCTTACCGGATAGCAAAAAAAGTTTTAACACTTAAAGTGAATGAGACTGAGTGTACATAACCAACTTATTAAATAAATAGGGAGTATATGTTTCACAGTTGTTTGTTGATTCTAGAAAGAATAAAGAACATAGTACAACCCGCCAGCATTATCTTTTGTTACCTGTCTACATAATTTGTTGATTGGAATTGAATGTACAGCTTGTAACACCAGTCTCCTTTCTTTTCAAAGCCACCTCATATATATGTATATGTATTTGTATATGTATACGTGTTTGTATATGTGCATGCATTTGTACCTCAGCATCCTCAGGGTCCTGCAGTGTGGGGCTGTGCAGCAAGCCTGGCAACAGTTTCACCCTCCTTCCTGGCCCATCCTGGTCCTGGATCTCCACCACATCCTTCAACTTGAACAGCTCAGACACACTGATGGCACGGTGGTACCTAGTAATTTGTAGAATAGGATCAAAGATATTTTAATAAGACATACACCTCCTGATCCAAGTCTTGCGACAGTTTCAGTCAGGCTCTTCAAAGCCCCACCCCACCAGCAACCCCACCCCCAAGCCTTTAGGGAGTCCTTTAACTAAGTCCTAAGTTTTAAGTTCTATGGTTATGTTAAGACAGCAAAGTCAACTTCAAAACTTGGTCTGAGAGCTTTTAGAAACCACTCACCCACAATTATCTATAGTATGTGAGCTTAAGTGGTGAGCTATTCATTTTAATATTAAGAAAGATAATTATGGAAAATATTCATTTAATGGAAAAATTAATTGAAGTAGGAATTCATTTGAACTGAATCTGGTTAAGGGACTGACCGCTTTTCAAACACTTCCACAAACTTGAACAAAGGCAACGCTTGACCAGGAACTTCTTTCAGTAAAGCAATGATTTCTGACCTAAATATAAGTTGCAAAATCAGAACACTGAAAACATTCTATTAAACAGTTATTCAAATAAATCAAACATTACAAAGAGCATTCCTTAGCAGGCAAATGAATATCATTTTTAAAATCTTATCATACAGAAAGGTAAACAAATGATGCAGAATTTTAGCAAAAAGGAAAAAAAAATTCATAAAAATTACTTACTTGATTGTAGATGCCACTCTGCTGTCGTTCTCTCTCACAGTCACATGGATCCTTTTATATCCAATCTTCTTTCTGTGAAATATAGAGATGGCATAGCGGGCTTCGTCCAGGGAGGGAACTCTTATCAAGCCAACATTGTTGTTGTCCATCTGGGTCTGGATGTGGACCCCCAAGACCTGAAAAAATTGCAAAATGATTCACTGTTATCGACTAAAACAACATAAAACAGCTTTGTTACTGGTTTCAGATATATAATTCATACAATTCCAAAGAATCATCTAATTATCATCTAATTAGCAATAAAACTCCTAGTTTCCTAGTCTGCAGAATAAATAACTAACACTTTCAAACTTTTTACAACAGCAACTGGTAAAGTGTGGACTTTGAATTCCCGTATAGTCACTTAACTCTCTTAAATCTTTATACTTACAGTAATCTGTTGTGCAAATGTACTCCACAATATTTTCTTCCATTCCCTAGCACTGATGTTGTAATCCAAGTTGGAAACCAAAAGCTCAACAAATGGCTCCCCTAATGAACACAGAGAGGTCTGACTGCCACCATCGTAAGAAGCTGAAAGGATAGGTCGAGGGGCAACCCGATAAGACTGCACATAGCTGTCACTATTCTGACGATTCATCATCATCATCGGTGATGGACTCCTCTTCACATACCCAGAGCCATGGAAGGTCATATCACCAAGTGTTGGAGCCGATGCTGGACGTGGAACTTCCTGTGGTCTCAGAAATGGCATCTCTTGGACACTGGTGCCATCTTTCTCTTTGTTCAGTTTATACTGCTGCTCATCCTGAAATAGCTGCTGCTGAAGTACCAAGAAGGTCTTTGTGTTGGGTTTTTGTGGGTTCCCTGGGTTATCATCATTATCATGCACTTGTTCTGTCCTCTCTGAAGGTCTGTAGTAACTCTGCCTGGCTGCAACTTGCTCGGTTTCTGTGCTGCTGCCATCTGCACTGTCAGAGACTTTATCCGCAGTTCTGCTGCGACAGGGGGACTCTTTTTTGGCACGAATAGGTCGAGGTAAGCGAGGAGGCTCTTGTACGCATGAAGCTGAAAAAAAGAAAAATTTTTTCTCAAATAAATATTTACAAATCTTACTACGATATACAACCCTATGTGGCTAAAACCACATGTTGTACAATAAAACATCATTCAGGAAATACATTTACAAACCACATGTAGGTCTAAAACTAAAAAGTAGATAAATATTAACATTCAGAATTTAAAATTCCCACTGGTATGTTTCAAAATTGACATAGGATTTTTAACTTGTGGGTCATTTTGGATCCAACATGAATTAATGTGTTAGACCCCATTCCCATAGACAGTACATCCATATACGTCCCCACACTGATACTCCCCCTCAAGATCGATGCAGGGAAGCAGTGATGTGGGGGAGTATCTGTGTGGGGGAGTAATGGTGCGCCAACCTCAGCAATTTTCCTGGGGATGTAACGATGCGGGGATTTATTGGTGTGGGGTCATATCGATGCGCATAATACACAAAAAATTACTAAGGGGGGTTAATGGTACGGGTGAGTTTTGGTGCAGGGGAGTAATGGTGTGAGGGCGTATTGGTGTGGGGGGAGTAACGACATGACCCAACAGTAGACACCATCGGCCGATTTCATAAAGGTGGTTTAAAGTTAAACCTGGTCTAAAGTGAGTTTACACCAGGTTTAGGAATTGCCTGCATTTCATAAAGGAGGTTTTAGTATTGGACCAGTGGTCTAGTAAAACCTGGCTTAACATCATTCTAAATCTGGTCTAGACAGGATTGTGTTTCATAATTGAGGCCTAAGTTTTTGATACCCGGACTATGGACTCAGACCAAGTCTAAAAATAAACCTGGTCAGACCCAGGTTTAACTCTGTAGCTTGGAAAAAAGATCTATCACTGCTTGATTTTCTTGACTTAATTCAACCTCTTTTGGCCCCCTCCAGTCTTTTTTGCAGCTTTTTTAACATTTGCAAATTCTTTCTTAGCTTTTATTTTAGCTCGTTTTCAGAAGTCTTTCACCTGCCTTTCAGCTCTTTTCTCGGCTTGTGGAAAATGTGCTGCCAATCTTGTTAGAATTTCTTTCCACGCCTCATTTTTTCTTTGACTTGATGTGACATCATTTTTCTTTGATTCAGTGATGTTGGACTTCTCCTTTAATAGTTCTGAGATGTATCCCTTCTCTTCAGCAGAAAAATTATCCGCTCTCTTTCGGCTCATTTTCACGTGCTCTTTATTTCCAAAGTTTTTTTTCATATGAGCTACACAGCTTATCTGCTTCAACGCTAGTGTGTGTCATCTATTCATTTACGCCTACCTGATTGACACAGTTCAGTGATTTCTTTGTTTATGTAATCCTGTTACATTCAACAGGAGGTCAAGGACAAGTTAAAACTGGTTTAGCTAAACCTGGTTTTCTGGCTTTCCTACACTGTTAGTGAAATGCAATTTAGGTCTTGAGTTAGACCAGGTTTTGCTAGACTAGGTTTTAGCCTTAAACTAGGTTTAGTTAAACCTCCTTTATGAAATCGGCCGCATTGGTCTACGTAGATCAGTCCAAATCCACATGGCTCTTCCTGAATGCAATCAGTTTAACAGATAACTGTTTCGTTAAGTAGAATACAGATTATTATGTTTCCTTTTAAAGTAGAATACACAAAAGCAGGCGATCATACGCGTACGTTGAAAATGAGGAGATGTGTCATTCAGGGAGAGTCTCTGCAAAGAATATAAGTAGACTGACGGGGTTAAAGACAATGGGGGGGTCTTTCTTCTTATACAGAAATATGCCACAAACCCCTTGCAGTCATGTTGTATAAATGTAGTATGCCTTTAAATAAGAGTATTGCTACTGTAACTGTTCTCATGCATGGAATCTTAATAACATGTAATAAGAGTAGAACATACCATTTTCTCAGAAAAGTGACAGCCTTTAAAAGATCATTTGGTTACTGGATTTGGCTAATATTTGCATACCGCATAATATTTAAGGGCAGATTGAGGGGGAAGGAAAAATAGCTTACCTTTCATCCTTCTTCTCAAGATTTCAGTGACTGTTCTGTTGGAGTTAGAAGCAAAATTCACCTCTATTTTCGAGCCATATATACTTTCACCCTGCATGCGCGTATAAGCTCTGAAAAAACAAACACATAAATAAACCATGGAACTAAACATTCCAAATAAGTCAAATATTTTTTTCAGAAGACTCAAGCAATGCCACACTACAAAGAGATGTGAAATGTCAGTTTACCTTATGGCCTTTCACTGTCTTCAGCATACCTGCTAATGCTCCACTGACAGTGCACTGTACTGTACTTTCTTTTCCACCACAGCTGTTACATAATATGGCCTATGGAAAAGGCCATCTTCAAGGGGTGATATTTACAGGCCTTATCTATTTCTTCTATTATTACATTATAAAGTTTTCATACAAAAAATGGATAAAATTTGTATCAACTGGATTATCTCTAAAAAGAGGCGGAAAATTATTATAAGTTAATTGACAAAATTTATATTGGAAGATGAAAAAGACAAATGTAACACTCCTCCCCTAACAAAACCCCCTGTCAGTTGATGGTCCAATATCCCAGTTCATTCAGTGAACAGTATTCCCACTTAATTACACTACTGGGAATGAACTTCTCTTGACAACATGTCACATCAGCAATAATGTCACAAGTATATTCACAGGTAGTCCATGAATGTATTTCAAAGGGACTAGTTAGTTTGTGTAAAAAGGATAATATCTTCTCTTGTATTTTAGACTGGGTTGTATCAATCCTTGAACTTTTTTGTATTTAAATTTTACTACAATTTTCAAAAACTTCAAATTGTCAAAATGAAAAAAAATAGAAAAAACAGATTGCAGATGGTATTTTTTTATATTTTAAGAGAGGGTATAAACTTGACAAAGAGAAAATTGTGGAAAATTCCAGAATTTTTTTTTTGTTTTGTTCAGTTGTAATGCATACTCAACTTTATCTTTTAAAAAAAGGACATACCTGGCAGCATCATTTGCATTAGCAAAGCGGATTAAAGCAGATCCATGAGAAATATTCTTCACTTTTCCACCGCAGTTATCAGAGAGAAATCTCAACTTCCGGCGAAGATAATGTGTCTCCTTGTTCAAGGGTAAATTAGTAACAACAAGCTCATTCTTAGAATTGGCTGTCTGAAATATGAAGACATAAAATAGTTAGAGGAGGAGGCCACTTGAATTTAATCCTTTTGTACTGCAAGTGATTCAGTTAGTTTGTGAAGAAAATGAATAATCCATATAACAAAATTCTTTATACCTCAGTTGATCCAGCATCAGAGAAAGTTGGACTTTCAGCATAATTTGAGCTTTTTGATAATGATTCCCGTTCTCTCTTGGATTCCTTTTTAAAAATAATAAATATTTCAATATAGTCAAAAAGAAATTGTAAAAAAAAAAATCAAATTTTAATATTTCCCACTTAAAGGAAACAATAAGTGCAAATCATTAAATAAGTTCACAGTTATCATGGTAAATTTAATTATTATTTAATTATTAAAAATCAACTGATAAAACAAGACAAGAATTTTGAAGATTAAAAAAAAATCAAGTACTTACAAGTAGTTCGAATCGTGAAGATACATTTGCTACCAGATCATCAAAACAACAGTGTTCATGTGCAAAAGCAAGGAGTCCATTGGAAACTTGTCTGCTGTGGACCAAAACCACATGAAAAGCACAGTTGTGTCGCAAATACCTCAACTCTTCAGCAAAGTTAATGTCACCTGATTAATGGCAAAATGAAGAAATAATTTCCAATAGATGCATTCAACCAGTCAAGTATTTCTGACGTGTAAAATTGGAAATATTCAAAACAGACTGTGGTAACTGACCAAATCGAGGGCCAGAAACTACCTTAACCTAGGCATAGGATCTTATAACATTGCACAGCCACTAAAACTAATAGTAACCCTCAATTATTTATTCAAAATAATACATGGTAACTGACCAAATGGTGTCTTAAGCCCTAAAACAGTATATTGTCCAAAGAACAAAGTAAGATAGACTGACTTGAAATAAGCACTACAGTAGCAGGGGGAGAGTGAGTGCTGCCAAAGCGTCGGAGTTTCTGGCGAAGTTTGTCATCTGCAGCATTTTTAGATGAGGATCTGACATGGACAACTGTTACCTGAAAACACATAGGCCCTTTTTAATGAAATGCATGCAGTGCACAGCAGACAGTCATATCTTTTAGAAATGGTGTCTCTGTTGCTCAAAAGTCAGATCTTTTAGAAATGGTGTCTCTGTTGCTCAAAAGTTGATCTTACTGCACGCTCACCTGGGCATTATGCAATTCCTCTATAATCACAGGGTTTTCCTTGCTAGCATCACACACCACCATGAACTCGGCCTCCTTGTGCCCAACAAAGAACTTCTCCCGTATGCACTGGGCCACTGCCAATGCAGATTTGGATCTAGGGACACAGCAGTTTTCTATGTCCCAAAACACTCCAATCGGGGGCAACACCCCTTGGTTTTTAACTAAAGAGGAATGGAACAAAACAATTAACACACTTTAATAATGCTTAAACTTTTTCTGTTTTCAACTATGCTAGTTCATTAACATTTCCAAATTCTTCTGTCTAGTCACTCATTCAATCACATTTACTTCCATTCAAAAGTTTAGAAATTGGAAGTTGTATTAGTCTATACCACAAAGCTTGAAATATATTTTTCCTTTTTTTTACTGAGTTATATATTTTTTCTTTTTTTTACTGTTCTCCAATCAGCAGCAGACTTGGTAAAAAAGATCTGTACAATATCATTTCACTGAACAAGGAAATATACAAGCAAATACCTGCTTCAGCATATGTTGTCATTATTTATCATTCACTTAGCGATTAGAAGGAAAAGCGAAGGAACTACAGAGTTGAAGAGCTAAACTACTCAGGGCACTTTCAGTTTCTTTTCTTTTTTCCTTTCCTCATCCTCCTCCTGAAAACAATTAAAACATTCCATTAAATTAAGATCATTTCTGATATATTGTGATTCCATGAGAGTTTGACATTTCTGATCAATAGTTGATTTAATGTTTATTTTACTGTCAGTAGGGTGTACTTTACTCCCTTTTAAAATATTCAGTGACAAACAAACTTAAGTCACTAAAAACTGATTATAATTTTTTACAACATTATATGAATACCAGATAAATTAAAGAACAAAACCAGTAATGATTGAATTTTCAAAGTTAAAACTTTACCACAGCTAGACGTTTTGCATTTGTGACAGTAAAGTATGTTCCTTTTTGGGGTTAAAAAATTAATTTTATTTTATTATTCATGATTCCAGGAGAGTGAAACTTTGAAACAAATTTATTCATGTGAGACCCTAAAGTAATGAAATATAGTTTGCAATCTGTACACTTAACGTTTTTAAGAGCATGTCTTTTTTCTTATTTGCACCTGTATAATAATAAACTATATGTTGGGTTTGGGTGATAAGAGTATGGTAATTATTAACATACGTAAATTACACTACAGAGCTACAGTGCCCTTATACAAATTGAAATCTAAAGCACATTGATCTTTTCAAAATTCTTTTAGACTATTGAAAGCAATCCAAAAGGTCAGTGCTTGATGTTTCCATTTGCACAAATGGAAACCATTACAAAACAGAAATTATGAAACATATTACATAACGTTCATTTATACCTTACATACGGACAGTTTGTTTCGCTTTCAATCCAATTCATAATCTAACACCGTTCCAGTCGATTTAAAGTATATTCTATTACCTGACCTCCTCCTCCGACGGTGAAGCTACATCATTCCGCTTTTTTCTGCGTTCCAGCAACGAAGGAAGGAGAGAAGGGGGAAAGAAAGCGTCGACATTCAAAACTTCACGTTCATGATTGTTGATAAAGCCGAACAACACCCACGAGCGCGATGTTGCGCTCTTATTTCCGGCGGATATTATAGTGCATCAATATATCTAAATAACATCGCCAAAGATGGCCTGATTTTTACAAATGTGACTATTTCAAAAAATTAATGGTATTAATGTTTAATTGGAAAAATAACTTTGACACTTGAAACAAAGCTAAAATATGCCACATATTTTAATTGCGCATTTATTTTTAGGACTACATATGGCAGCCATTTTGAAGGAGAGCTTCCGTCACAACAGTCTGTGGTCGTAGGAGTGCCTGTGATTTCGTACTTTTATTGACTATCTAAGAATATGTTTCGTTGTGAATTGTAATTTTGTGTCAGGGATATTCAGGCAATAGAATCTGTTAACTGAGTTGTCATATTCGATTCATTTTCGCAAGATTATCGGTCTTTTCTCAGGACGAAGGCCGCCTACACATTTCGTGCGAACATTATCATGGTAAAATATTCTCATATGAAAGGACTTCTCTGGGAATCGTAACACGCTGCCATTTGTGTGTTTTCAAAGATCTCCTGAATGCTTTAACCATTTGTTTTTCTATAAGTGACATTGCTAAGACAATGGATGATAGTGACAAAAAGTTTAGCTCACCACAAGAAGAGATCGCCCATTGGAGGCGGAAAGCAGAGGAATTTAAACTTAGGTAAGACTTGTAATATTCTTTTCTAGTTGTAAAAGAATGGTTCATCGTTTGTGATTTTATGTTGTCAGTGTTAAGTGTAGACCGGCACGTAAGACCTGTTGACTGTTCTCTGAAAATTGTCTTTCATATGTATGGTGTGGAAAGACCAAACTTTGGTATCTTAATATCTAGTCTTAAGATGTGTTCACAATGAAACTATCATTCTATGTAGATAGATCTGAAATCCTCGGAGACCCTTGCTGAATCCAATCAGAACATCAGACTAATACTCCTCCCTCTGGCATTGAAAAGAATACAGGAAAGCTGATTATATGAGCATGTTGGCACTAAGAGGAGAGTTGTTAATCTGAATGCATTCAGCAAGAGTCCCAACAGTTGGATCAACCTATCAAGTTTTATTGTGTACATACCCTTAGTAAAATACTAGTATTTTGGGGTCATACTTTAATGCGCAGTACATTGGAAAAATGACTCTAGATGTCAAATAGTACAGTATGTCATATATTTTGTTGACTGTGTGATAAGAAATCTGTCACTTTTCATTCATTCAGTTTTTCAAATATGTTTTTACCATTATCTAAGAAATGCTGATATGAGTATGATAGGATAAAAGAATAGGCAATGTATGGCAATCAACAATAGGTAAAACACGAATACATAAATTAGCATAACGATGTATAGGAATGCTTACTTTGCACCCTGTGTCACCAGTGATATCACTGATTATGATTCCATGCCATAATACTTAGTAGGAGTGTTGTGATTCATGGTAAAGGTATACAGTGAATAAGAGTTAAGTGGGGATTTGATTTCATTTGAGTATAATGTTCAGCAGAGAAACTGGCACACATTGTGACCTAGTTTATCTATGGGGGAAAACACCATGTGTACATTACTTTCTTAGTCTGATTATATGAGCATGTTGGTCTTAGTCTTTATTTTGGGAAGTTTATGTGTAGATAATCAGTTTGATAGGTCTACTACTCAAAAGTTGTTAATGAAACATGGATAGCAGAATTTTCTTATACTATAAAAATTGTTGTTTGTGTGTGTGTGTGTGTGTGTTTTCTCAGTTTGGCTTATCAGTCCATCTTCTTTCTCTAAGCTTATGGTTACCTGAATTATTAGGCATCAGAAATATTTGTCCAAAATTAAAAAAATGATTCCAAAGACAATACACAGGTAATTGCAATATGATCTTAAGCAAGATCTAAAAAATTCAACAAGTCTGATCTGAACAATTCATTTAGTTTTAACTATTCTGAAATCAAATCTGGTACAGTGGTCTCCAGTTGATTGTTTTTCATATATTTCTTGGTTTATTTTAGCCTGGAGGATACTCGTGAAGAGCTTGAAGAGTTCCAGATCAGCAGCAGGGAGCTTGAGGCGGAGCTGGAGACGCAGCTAGAACAGTCAGATAATAAAAACCGGGAACTCCATGCGGCCAATGAACGGTTGCAGATGGAATTGGACTCCATTAAGGTAAAGTGAATTCATTATGATAAGGCAGTAATGTTTACATTTATCTAACAGGATATTGTATTTATCTGTGGGTGTACTGCCAAGGAAGATTGCAATCAAAGATGGAATTCAGATGTACTTAGAAAGAGAATTGGCATAGATGGTCAATGCCAAATTTTCCTGATATGATTATTATTATTATTTTTCTTTTAATAAGTTATTTATTTTGAGTGTGAGTGATTGTGACCCAGTTATTTCACTATGACATCTAAACTTTTTCTCTTGTAATGTCAATTTGAAAGCTCACCAGAAAAAGTGTTAAAACCTGTAATAACATTATATTTGAGCTGTGAGTTTATGAAAATATTGAATAGGATCTATTTCATATTTTAAGCTTCACAGATATGAAAATAAACCATTGACCCACATTTTAGCAGACACATACTCTGTAAGAGCAGTGGCCTAATAGAAACTGCATAGGCTGTCATGTGTTAATCTATTTTGTGATGGCAATATTGAATCAATAGACACTGGCATGAAAGTTCAGCTTGTGCTTTTAGTTGATCAATGTCTGTGGCGTTTGTCGCTGTGGCTGGCACTGAGCCATATAGAAAAATACGACATCTGCATCTAGGAAGTTGTCCTGATGATGAATTTGATGTGTATTTATAGTGACCAAGATTTTCCTGTTTCATTTTATACAGGTGCGGAGGAAAACCAAATAAGTAATGCATTGAATAGTTTAAACTATAACTTTCCAAAAATGAGTAAGTCAAGCTTGTTACTCTCATGTCATATTGTTGTCTTCTAAAATATCCTAAAGAACAGATATATTTGATGCAAACTCCTAAGGCAGTTTTGACAATGTAAATTTGTCAGTAGTAGATATGTATATCTTGGACTTGCCCTTACATGAAGATCCATTGGCTACACTCCTTTTACCACTGAGTTATATGTTGATAAAGGGGGTTAATTCCTGCTGCTAATTACTGCATGAATTGATATAGTTAGAAGTACCTGTATTTGTTTAATAGATAAGTTCATTATGGGTTGGGTCCACCCCATTCTGATGGAAGAGTTCCAGTTAGTCTCAGTTATGTCGTAAGTCTTAACCAGCTTACCTAATGAATATTATCTAGAGAATGGGGAGGAGGTCAACAGGTGTGTTGAAAACATAGTTTGTGTATAAATAGCATCTGCGTTTTTATTTTTCCTGTTTTTTGATGATTTTCAACAGTTTAATTATTGAATTCGTATTAAAAACATGTTTATTCACTAATGCAGACACAAACCTTGCATAGTAGCTGGTGTATGGAATTGTTTTCAGGCCTTCTTAGAGACTGGCTCCCATCAGGTGCAAGTTTTAGTTTGAGCGACAGACTTCGTTTTACCAGTTATTTATTTGAATTAAGTTATTTCATTTATCAACTCTATTTAAACCTATTTGAATGTTATGAATGTGAGTGTACAATGAGGTCTTCTAAATCAGGAAACTTTTTTTCCCCTGGATGTGATACATTATATAAAAGGCAGATGTAACGGACATGTGTGGTTGATAAGGAAAGAACATGTGTATGCAGATGTAATCTCTTTCCGCTTAGCAGACTGGTTTAGCAAAAAAGGCATAGTTATGATATGCACCTGGGTGATTTTTCTTTTGATCAAAGATTGTAAAAGTATGTCCTAGGTATGTCCTAGTTATTGTTGAGTTATTGGAGATGTGGGTTTTAGAGGTGAGGCCGTAAAATTACATTTTTTTTTTCATTTCTGTACATGGCATAAAAAGATCAAAGGCAGGAATCAAGCTTTCCAGTGTCACTGATATTTGTTCTCCCATCTAAATCTAAGTTTCTTTAGTGGAAAGCAATTTTTTATACCCGGTGATAATTGGGTTAATGTTATGTAAATTATTTTTTGCTCTCTGCTGCCAGCAACCCTTGGGTTTTGATGTCTTTTATTTATATGGATTAAATTAGTAGTAGCAAGGTTAAAGGTTGTAAAATGTTATGTATGTTTGAAAATCCCAAAGTCATACTTTTTGGCTAAATACCCTGCAAAACTACTGTAATTTCCATATTCAGACCTAAAAATATAAAAACCCCACATATAAAAAGCCCCTGATGTTCACATTTCCTTCTGAAATGATAGGAAAATTATGGTGGTCTAAATGCCTGGCCAGATATTAAGAGGTAAATTATTTAATAAAAATCCAAGTGCATAGATGGGTTGAGCAATTGGTATTGAGTAGGAGAAAATTGCCCTTTCCTCAAGGAAAATTACACTTGTAAAAATCCCAGATGTTAAAGAATGATACACAATGTTTGTTTCACTCATTTTCATGCCAGAAATTAAATGTTGCACAAAAAAAAAAAAAAAAAAAAAAACATGGCATAATTTTCTAGGTCAGTTTTACAAAAATTATTCTGTAGATTTATATTAGGGAATATGTTGATTAAAAGGGTACATTTTATTTGTAAAAGCTAAAATCCTAATGGTATTTACCAATCAGTATCTTAAATATCAGATGCATGACATGTACTTTTAGCAAATTTTAGAAAGGTGTGTGTGTATGTATACAAAAATAATCAGAAATATTGCTTAACTGTGCAGGGGATTGTCTGAGCAGTGCAACCAATTCTTTTCTTATATGTTTCAGGAAAAGCTAGAACAGACCCAAGAAACTTACCACAAGCAGTTAACAGAGCTGCAAGATGATCTAGCACAAGTCAAGGCATTTAAAGATGAACTTCAGAAGTATATCAGGGAACTAGAACAGACTAATGATGACTTAGAGCGAGCTAAAAGGTATGCCATAGTGTAAACTTAGTAGATTTAGAAATATATTTGGAGCAGTATTTATTTATGTTCTTTTTAAGAAGAGAATGAAAATGCAGCTATGTTTGTCATGAGCATTGCACAGCAGAGGCAGATTTCACAGAAGAATTGAAGATTGAAAGTTAATCTCGACACCAAAACAGAAACACAGTACAGTAGCTAGTGTTCTAAAACAATAGCCATTTGTTAAAGACACATTACAGTATTTCATTTATCTTGGGTTCAAGAGGGCTGAAGCTTTTGTCTAAAATTTTTAATACCAATTTTTGGTCTAAAGTAGTAAAGGTATATTTAGAAATCAACCCCTACATTTTAGCTTCAGTGCAGGATATATACTGACTTTAAGTAGAGGGTGATTCACTTACAGGTGCCCATCATTAAAAGGCAATGCTGCCTTTCACAGCAGTCTGTTTCTGGCTGATAAATCTCTCCATTTTTCGGTTTATAGATAGATACAGCATCTGAATTTCCTAAACTTTGAAACATTTTCAGATACAATATCTTAGTTAGGGGTACATTTGCCTCTTTTCTTGTTGATTACTATACTAGTAAGTATAAAAAAGATGATTATAAAAAATATATTTATTCATAAAATTATAATACATTGCATGTAATTAAAAATTATTTAATGTTCCAAGAGTAGAAGAAAAACAAGATATATTTACTGAGTCAAAGATTTAATATTTGAACAGTGAATTAAAAAGAAAATCCAGCACATAACGTATAAAGACTTGTTATAGTTTCTTTTACATGAAGTGAGCAACTTATTTTGTGTTGTTTTGTAGAGCAACAGTAGTATCGCTAGAAGATTTTGAACAGAGGCTAAATTTGGTAAGTGCATGGTGACTCATGGCTTATGTGGTAATTGGTGTTGATTTATGAATGGATTATGTGGGCTGCACAATAACCAGAATAGGAATTGGGAATTCATTAAACATGAGGTCTGTGATATAGTTAGAATGATTATTTTTTATCAATATGTTTTTGTTTATTTAGTAATATTTATTTTTGTTTTGTACAGCCTCTGTGTCACATATATAGAAAGTCCGATGTATATCTTGTGCTTATTGAAAAATGTTCAAATTGTAATAACTGTTGATGGACTTGTATCTCAAATATAAACAGGTAAAACCCTATCACTCAACATGTTTATGTCCATTTCTCTTTCTCCACAGGCAATAGAGAGGAATGCATTCCTTGAGAGTGAATTGGATGAGAAGGAATCACTGGCAGAGACTGTGCAAAGGTTGAAAGATGAGGCAAGAGGTAATGGGTTAGAAATAGTTTGACTTCTGAGATTCAGCATTTGTGGAGTCTAAATACACACACGTATGTACATGCTGATGTGAGCCTAAGGCAACAGATATTTCCATCATTTTGTTGGTGTTTGATTTGTCATTAAAAAATAATAATAATAACTACATTTGGGATGTTTTCTAAAATTCTTAATAATTTTGAAAAAACATCCTTGTTTTATGGGGAATTTTAGCTGCAGTAATTTCAAAATTGCAGTCACAGGTGAAAGTTCCAATTTTGGGGGCAGTCGTCTTAGTCCTCATCTAGTTGACATTTAGGTCAGGTCCTCACACAGGGCGTTTTATGCATTATGACCTGAAATGGGGTCAGCCATATCTATTCATTTAACAAGAAGACCTGCAGTGATCTGTGTAGAAAAAAATTAAGTCTTGAGGCAAACTAGGTCTCGTTATTTGTACTTTTAGTTTGTTTGTAAATCTTTTAAGGCAAGAATATCATGAATTGTATAAATTTTAGAACAATGGTAATCCGAAAAAAAAAAGACTTAAAAAAAGGTTTACTAAGTGGCCTTTAGGTGCTGGTATTAATGGTAGATATGTGTGTGGTATCAGTGGAGAGGATAAGGTGTTCTATGTGAAGGTATGCAGGTGAGGGGTGCTGTGATGTTATCAGCATACACTTGGGTCAAAGGTGTTATCAGCCAACACACTCTCAAACCAGACTTTAAGATTAAAACTTTCACTCTACTTTGACACAGATAAATATCTTTGGGAGTCTCATTGAGTGAAATGCTCTGCATGTTTTATTGCAAGAAAGAAATGCCATATCTTTTTGACCAATAGGTTGTTCTAATGGATCACTATGGATTTACATTGACAAAATTTTCATATTTTAAGGAAAGACCAGCTATTTGTCGTGGATTATTTCGTCTGGCCCCAATAGATTAAAAATGTTAGCTTAAAAGGGTCAACAAGGAAAGAACAGTTTATGTGAAGCACATCCTATTGAAAATCAACATTTAAATGTTCATGACACTCTTGTACCTACATCAGAGAGGACAGAACATAAAGAAAAAAATCCCAGATAAAATGAAAAAGGAGTATATATAAAATTTTGATAAATTACCTTTACAAAATTGAAAAATTTACAAAATGTTTTGACAGAAATAAGTAGTTAGATTCATATGAAAAAAAGGGAAGTAGTAGAATGATAGCTGCATATTTTATTGACCGAGACAAAAATTAATGACCAAGTTATGAAAGTATTTTTCCAAATATCTCTAATGTTAAATTCATTTAATTCCAGATCTGAGGCAGGAGTTGGGAGTGAGGACACGGCAGGCTCCAGAGGAGCCTCAGTCTTCAGACACAGAGAAGTCCGACATGGTGGTCCAGACTGACCGCATTGACTCTAACAAGCTGGCCGAGGAGTCAGCTCCCAGTACGCCTAGGACACCAGCACAGACTGGTAAAGGTGAGTGTTATAAGCTGGTTGAAGAGTCAGCTCCCAGTACACCTAGGACACCGGTCCAGCACAGACTGGTAAAGGTGAGTGTTATAAACTGGTTTAAGAGTCAGCTCCCAGTACACCTAGGACACCAGCACAGACTGGTAAAGGTGAGTGTTATAAACTGGTTTAAGAGTCAGCTCCCAATACTCCTGGGACACCAGCACAGACTGGTAAAGGTGAGTGTTATATGCTGGTTAAAGAGTCAGCTCCCAGTACGCCTAGGACATCTGTTCTTTTTAAATGGCTTCCATCATGATTATTACTATTTACTCAATTAAGAAGTCTCTTGTTTTTCAGCTCTCCCTATTGGTGCCAATGGCAGCTCCACCCCACTCACTCCCACAGCTAGGATATCAGCGCTCAATATAGTAGGAGATCTACTACGTAAAGTAGGGGTGAGTACCCTGGCAATGTTAGATGCCTGGACCCCAGGGAACAGTGGAATATAAGAGCTGTGGACCATAACTTGAGCTTCATTATTAAAAATTTTTGGTTTTTTTAGAATCAGGATAAATTAGCCTACTGTTGATGCAGAAAACATTTTTTAACCAAATATGCATATTGTTTATCTTGATGGTGTAATATAGCAGCTTAATTATTCTCCATTGTTGCAGTATTTTAATAGAAGTAAAAGAAATACAGAAATAATGGTGTACCCAAATGATGATAATTGCCTATTCCCATTAATGTAGATATGAAAACATTGAGTAAAATGATGATTTTTTAAAAATAATTCTTTCTGTGTTATTTCAGGCCTTAGAATCCAAACTGGCATCCTGTAGGAATTATGTGAAAGATCAGCCTACCAAGGGTAACACACCAAAAGCAGGGTCAGCACCAAGCCCTGTTAATACCCCAAGGTAAGGGCACTAGCATGTGTTGAAGGATTTGTTCTCACCTGGTTTGATATATATCATGCCAGTCTCACAGTCTCACACAAGAACCTTACACCCATAGTCTGTCTTTAGAGGAACTAAAGACTGACCATTGGTTTCAACGCAAGTTTCATAAATTTGGCTTACTTCAGTGCAAGGTAAATCTGTGATAATTTTCAAGATAAATTGGCCTGAAATGTAAGCCATGTCTTTCCTTTTATAAAGCAGCCTCAGTATTTCATTCAAGTTGACCACACTAGTCACAAATGACTGAAGTTTTGTCTTAAAGTTTAGACCAACTTCCACCCAGAAGTTCTGTTGTGAAACTGGCCCCAAAACTTCTTTTCACTCTATACTGACATAGTTCTAATACAGTACAGGCTTTAACTGTTAAACAATCTCTTGACTTTATTAGGAAGAGATGTCTGTGGGTTACCTCCTTGCTGTAATTACATACAAATGTGAGCAATGTCAATTCACTGTCTTCTTCCAACCTTATCTTTTTATACAAATTTGTTCTTTCCATTATTGGCATTATGCAAATAGGAGCATTTACAGCAATTCAACCAGTTTTAGAGAAAACTACTTTGTTATTTGCTCATTTTTGTACGGGTTGTTATTCAATTTATTTATTTGCTCTCAAGTTTTTCTGAAAAAGTTTGGCTTTTTCTGTTTATTTTTTACCAAGTACAAAAGGAAAGTGTGCATTTATTTTTGTATCATTAACCTCATTTTGTTTTATTCAATGATGTGCCAGGTCTGGGCAAAGTGGAGGAAGAAAAAACAGGTCATTTATTTGTCACAACTATAACCTTGTGTCTTGGTTTCAAGGAATGAATAAATGTTGTAATAGTATATGCTTGTATGTAATCGATGGCTTTTTTTTTATGTGAATAAGTAATTGACCTACTTAATAAGTATTTAGCACAGGTGTTAATGAATGTTGCAACAAACTTGTTTTTCATCAGTGCCTTTTTTTTTAAATTTTCCATAGTAAATCTCAATCACTGTAGTATTTGTTCACTGTTGTCCTTGATATTCTCAGTCTTCCCCCTTTCTATGTCCTCCTGCTTTCTTCTTGGGATATTAAGACCATATATAAGCTGATAAAAGTTGACATAATAGTTCTCGGGATTTACTGGCTGTGTTACAAGTCAATCTCCATATTATTGGGCAGAAGTAAGAGCAAAAACTTTTTTCAAAATAAACTGGCAATTTATAACGTTGGGATACTTCATTTTTACCAGAGATTCAGCAAGCAAAAGTAGATGGAATTGAATGATGAAATGGATTTTTATTTATTTACTTTTTTTGTCACGTTTTCGAGTGTGTATATTTCTGTCTAGTGCACTGATGTGTTGTAAGTAAAGTACACCTCCTTTTGAGCAGTGCTTGTGTTTTATTTCAGTGTCTCCAGTGCCTCGCCGTCCTCTTCAGCATCTATTTTTGATTTCGGGTTTCGCGGCTATCAAAAAGGTGCCAGTTATATACTTGAAAAACTTGGGAGAGGTGGAACCTAGGGAAACCTTGTAAATATTTTCAAAAAAAAAAGAAAGGAAAATTAGGGAATGGTCATTTTGGAGATTTGGATTTTATAAAGAGCAAGGATGGTTGCTAATAGTCTACAGCATGTGTATTGTTGCTGTTGTTGTTGTATGCAAGGACTTAACTAGTACCTGCCTTCTTTACACTGCTCTTGTGTTCCTTGTCAGGCATTACATTTGTTCTCTTCACATATTTAACAGTCCACTTTAGAGTAGTGGCAATGATATGTCCTTGATATCTTACCCTATTGTATCTTATCCTAAGGCATGTGTTCAGTTCTTGCAATGCCTTCTTTCAATTGCAATTTTCCTATGGTATGAAAATTTTATTGTGCATGTGCATTGAGAATTTGGGTGGGGTAGGGTAGGGTGAAAGGGACAAGTTTTTAGTTCCAACATATAACTTTTCCCTTTGGAGCATGTTTGAAAAAAGTTTTACTCCTCTGATAACTATCCTTAAAATTGGCTCCTGTGAAATATTCTTTGTGATCTAAGAAAAGTGTACTCTTCAGCAATGATCCTTACTTGGTTGGCACTTCTCTTATTTCCAATAGTTTGATATGGATTCTGTCCTCATTTACAGTATAAACAATGCATTTCAAAAATTTTATTCCTATACATATATTTGCTGTGCACATTAATGCTGAATGAATATTACAGGTAGAGAAGACTTCATTAGAATTTTTCTGAATTTATTGTTTCACTTTTGCATTAGGAAGACTAATTTCAGCAATAAGATTATTACTTATAGCATGTTCTGCTGTTAGGCTGCCTTATGTTCAACAACTTGTGAGGCAGCATGTGCATTACACACATTATCCATCAAACCTACATGTGTGTTACAACATTGGCATGTACTTAAATGCAATGAACAGTTTATACTGAAATCAGTTATTAACCCAATGTGAATTCCCTACTTTAAGATGCTAATGATGAATCATTTCAGTAATTTCTCACTACCTAACTGAGAAAATAAGGAGAATAAAATGTCAGTGATTTTTGTCTTTTCTAAGTTTCTCCTAACATTGGATTTTTATAATCAGCCCTGAAATGTTGTAGAACCTAATAATAAAATTATAAGATGTCTTGTTCTTTGTCTTCCAGGAGTAAGAAACTCAACCGAGGGTCCGCCACCCCGGCTCAGAGTGGTTTAGTCAAGATCACAGTGTAGTTCAGCAGCAGAGATCTGGGCACAGACGAGTCCCACACGGTCTTTCTCAGACTTTTGTGGAAATCTTTCTGTGGGATTCATGCATGGGTTTTTGCACAAGGGGGCGTGTCTCACTCAACATCTCGTGTAGATTGTACAACCAGTGTATTTAGGGAAGCATATCTAACAGCTGTGATGGTGACTTTCCTTGAAAGAATGACCACAGCTCCTTCAGATATGTGTGGAAATTTGGAAAACATGAGCAGTTGATGCATTACGTAGGTCTTTGTTAGAAAAGTGTCGCCCTTTGGGTTACCTGGCATTTGGGGTTGGAAATGATTTAATTTGTTATCTACGGGTGTTAGAAACATATTAAACTCATGCGTGATTGTAGGTTGTTACCAGCTGCTGATTAAATCTTGCAAACCATCTTCACTCAAAATGGGATGTACCTCAGGGTTATAGAGCCAAGAGAGAGGATAGCATGGATATGAAATTCAGAAAAAAAATTCCTGTGCAAAACCTACCCTTTGTTAAACTATTTTTTTTTTTTTTTTTTTTTTTTTTACTCAGATTGGTCAACATTTCAATGCCCATACTGCTATTGCTGCTTTGTATAGATTCATTTCATAAGGCCAGACTTCAGCTACTTGCAGCAGTCTGTCCCTGTCCCTGCTGCCTTAGGAATCATTGTGTTCTTCAACTCACAACTTGTTTTCTGTTTCATTGTATATTTCACATACACACACTGTATCATACCTCATTTCAAGATATCCTTATTTATGAATCGACTCTTTCTGAGCACGATTTACATTTTATTACCTGTTTTATTATATGTAACACAGGTTTCAGTGGGTAGAGTATATCTATATATATAAATATAACTTAGGTGGTTTCTCAAGAGATGGATTGAGGTAAATCTGAATATCATTTAATTTGATTTTTTAATTTGATGATTTAAATTAAATTATTTCGACATGCATATCCAAATGAAATTTGTTGACCTTGTCAAGTGTTCCTTATTTTATATATCTGATATTTGGATAAAACGAAATGTGGCTCTGGAATGAATAATTATATTATATATATTGGTAACGATATTCATTTCTGAACTTCTTTACCTTTTACATGAAATTGTTATGATAAAAATGCATTTTCAGTTTGGAAGGTTTAAGATAAGCTTCATACATCCGGGCAATTTTTAATTTTCTGGCTGACCAACTAGGGGATATTGACCGGTAAAAAGTGGCAAAAAATAGAACCTTATTTCCAGTTTCTGAGAATCCTAATAACCAATGTCAGTTTTCATCTGGATGAAGGCCATATAGATGTTAGTCATGTTTGGTTCTGGCCAGAAACTTTATTGTGGATATTATTATCATTATTATTTACTTTTGGCATAGGATAAACATAGTATGACGATTGGAGTATGACGCCTATCTCTCCCTACAAAAGTGTATATTCCTGTTAGTTAATAATACGTCAGCCTTTCAGGTGTAATACATAGAATGAATGTTAAAGCAGTGTTTTTGCTCAACTGTGCTGCTATATATGATTCGTTTTCTTTCGCTTTCATTGAAATTTTTAGAGGCGATATATTTCTTGACTTCGTATCTTTAATGTAAATTATAATGTGGCCACAATTATACGTTTTAAAACTTGCCGAAATGACTTAGTTAGTAAGAATGTTATCGGAAGAAAGATTAAGTGTAAAGTATACTTTTTAAAAATACAATTTAACCGTTAACTTGTAGCTGAAACGGTTACTTTTTAAATTCGACTTCAAACTACATTAATAAATTTTTAGTCCACGCATCGTTTGGTGTTTTTATTCTGGTTTGTGAGGTCCCTGGTAATCGTGATTATGTAAGATATACCCATGGGATCAAAGAAAAACGCTTCACATTTTGTTTCCTCAAAATGAACTACAGTATTTCGTAGGGTTTACACATAATTGTACCACCAGCGTTAGCGCTGGCGGTACACATGGTTTTAGTCCCGTCCGGTCCGTTCCGCCGGCTCCGCCGCCATGTTACCGTTACCGCTTCTCCTCCTAGACGGTAAGGGCCTACATACCCATCTCTTGGATTTAGGTCACCTATAATCTCAACTCGTTCCACGTAAAATTTGGGCTTTGTCGGTATTGGGGTCTAGGTGTGGCACTCATTGCAATGCACCCTTGTCCAAAAATGGCAAAATTAACTGCTAATTATCTACCCTACGGAAGGAATTATGGGAAAAATTTCTACAGACGGCTTTCCAAAAGTCATATGTGTAGATTTCAAATATGCCCTTGGATTTGACCTTTGACCTTTATTTCAAGGTCAAACGGGCAAAAATTTTCAAAAAAATGAATTTTTTTACGAAAAAAAAATTATTTGCGCTGTTATTCAGACACCACACAGACTTAACCAATAATATAATTGGAAAATGTTACCCTT